TTGAGGTGTAAGGTTTCGTTCCACAAGGCGATCGTGTATTGTACCCCACTATGACAGTCGTTCGTCAAAGTTACAGTCGGTGAGTGGCGATCACCTTAGCGCTACGATCATGGTGTGGAATTCTAAAGGTGTTGCCTGAATTCTAAAGGTGAATCGACAGGCACAGACATGGACGTGCTGAGAAATGCAGGTCTGGCAAAGTCATCTCTGGCCAGGGTGCCCCGGTAGATGGCATCAAGTGACTTGTCATCAGCCACGAGGGCTTCTAAATCCAAGGTGCTCAACCCGAGTGGTTCATCCATGGTCCTTGTAGGGGGGGGGGGGGGGGGGGGTTGCCATCCCAGTCTGGCAAAATCATCTCTGGCCAGGGTGCCCCGGTAGATGGCATCAAGTGACTTGTCATCAGCCACGAGGGCTTCTAAATCCAAGGTGCTCAACCCGAGTGGTTCATCCATGGTCCTTGTAGGGGGGGGGGGGGGGGGGGGGAGTGTGCCATGATCGTCTGTCACTGCTCTTTTTATACCATCATCCCATTCCGGAAATGATCTATTTCAAGAACATTTTCGTATTCCTCATAGCAGATGAGGGTGACTGGGTTCTCGAGAGCTTGTCCAAACTGGATTTCCAAACCCAGCTTGCCAGTGTGTCAAGGATAGTTGATGCCTTCATCAGCGCCAAGGTCTGGTGTGAGATCCACCACTCACAAGGTGTAACCTTGAGCAAAGGGTTTGACAGACACCTCACAGGTCTCAGGTCGCCACAGTTGTCCCGTGTTTCAGAACAGATTCATGTAGATTTGTTTCAAATTGGCACTGTTGTTGCTGAAGTCGCTTTTCATTTCCCTGCCATGGACTTCCTGACCGTTGACTTTGAGCTTCATCATGGTGACATGATTGTGTTTGAAGTTGTAGGGATTCTTCTCTTTGCTTCCTACGTAGGCACTATTGTCCACCAGTCACAGGACCACGCGTTTTGGTAATTGGCCACCGATGAGCTGATCCTTGTGAAAGTCTCTACCACCTGTGGGGATGTCATGGGCTGTCACTCGCACACGTGAAAGGGGATACTTGGCAGTCACCCCTGCATTCAGACTGGACATGTGTGTTTCTTGGACAGCAGGATCGATGTTGAGTTGACGAACATAAAATTCGGCTTTGGTCAGGGCTAGTTTGTAGACACCATCAGCAGCACACATGAAGAAGAACTCATCGGGACTTCGTAGCAATTCCAGTTTCATAGGGACACCATCCAACAGATAGCGTTCTTGAAGAAACAGGTCACAGTGTAGACGTCCTGTCAGTTCCACTTCTTTGGTGGGCACGATAAGATCGCGTTGCGATCTAACACCTATGTTTCTTGCGTTCGCCTCTGCATCAGGATTGAAGGCATCCATTTTACCAGCACTATCGGTGAACCATCCCGGACATTGAAGGTGAGATGTTTTGGCTCCTGTACCATAACTCAGAAAGGTTTCAAAGTAGGCTCTGTAAGGGTAAGTGCCCATGGAGGGCGTGATCTCCAACTGATTGTGTCCCACTTGCAGCCGCACTTCGCGAAACAGGGAATGCATCACATTGTTGACTGTCGATACAGGGTTATCCGCTAGAACGGTATCCGTACCATCTTCTTTCGTCACACGTAGACATACTCTCAGGTAGCACTGTTTCAAATCAATGTAAGCATTCACGGGATCGGAAATGTTAAACTGGAGCGGTCCTGCCACAGAGGGTGGCGCCAAGGGACTATAGCGAATCCACTGACCCTCTTGCACCGAGGTGGACACAGGAGGTACAGTAAAGAGATCCAACTGGGCCTTTGAACATTTGCAAGCGTCTAGGCGCATCATGATGATGGATGTTCCTCCCTTTTCTCTGCCTTGAAGGACGTCTGGTCAGGTTGGAAGTCTGATGAGGACTGACCTTTAAACCATTTATCTTTTCCTTTTACGCTGTTTCTGGTTTCACGTTCCTCCAAGACATCCATCAGGGCTGCTGTTCCACGATGTTTCAGACTCTCTGACCATTTGCGTTTGCCTGCAACCACATCACTCACCAACCCGGGTAGGTTCTTTTTACCCATCTTGAGCACCGATGTTCCGGCAGATTTAAGGAAAGGCAACGCCATCTTCAAGATACCTCCCAGGCCACTGCCACGTTGATGATATCGTCCTTTGTATACTTTGATGCCACTCCCACGCTGGCCGAACTGTCCTCGATAAAACTGGTGTGCCAATGCGTGTCCCAACATGTTGCTTTCTGCGTTAGTAGCGGCGTCTGAAGTGAAGTGTCACGATGGCTTTCCTTATTTGAAATGGCACGGGTCGCCCTGTGTCGTCCATGATATAGAGTTTAATACCGTCAAAGGAACCATGACGCAGTCCGAGGTAGCAAATGTGCTGAGGGCTTTTAATCACCACACTGTCTTGCATCATCTTCTTTGACACAGGCACATGGATCAGCAATTGGGCCATCGTATTGCCCACAATTTGATCTTCAACCAGGTTGGTGTAAATGTACACGGTATCACATCCTGACAGGTGATTCACTTTTGTATCACCTGTGATTTGTTTAAATTCACCTCCCCCCACTGTCATGGGTTGAGCCCCCACTTGGCGCTGGGATAATACACTCAAGGGAACAGCAGTCTCTGTGTAGCTTTTGTATTCCTCATCATCGAGGATCGGTAGTTGAACAAATCCAAGCATTCTCGAGAGTGGACTTGGTAAGATCACTTCTGTTGCATAGACTTCCGTTGCATAGACTAGAGGGGCTTGGAATCCTTTCCTTCTTCAAGCATGTCAAATCGAAGACTGTCTTGGGGATACTTGACATCAATGTCAAATCGTCTGCCATCACTTTGGATTTTGTCTGAGGACTGTTCTTTCAAGACACTCGTAATATGCTCCTGAATCAAACGGTTGAGGGTTTTCACCAAATCTTCAGATGAATAGACGCCTTTCTCGATAGGAATCTTCTTGCTTTCGTAATGGACACCATGCTGTGTCTGGGGTACAGTGGCCGATGCACTTTCATACACATAGGTGTCTTTTTTCAGTGAGAGGTTCATTTCGCCGACGCCTACCTCCCACTGTTGGTCCAGATGCAGAGGATAAGGCAACTTGATTTCATACGCATTGACGGTGTTCTTTGGATAGATGTCCATGGAGGCATCACTGGGTAGGGTCATGTAAAAGTCTTGTTTCGAAAAAAAGGTGGCAGCCATGATGACGTGAGTTAGGGTAGAAAACTCTGGGTGGATGAGATATCAAGTTGAAGTCTTCTGGTGGGTGGGCAAGTCGTGGGTATGCCTGGTGAGGCGGCCAAGGTGGGTGGTGGAAGTATGTATCCCAAACAACTGGAGAGCAGGGCTGTCCACAACTGTTTTTCTCCCTGATCCAAGGCCAACTGTACCATGCTCATGATGATCACACCATATATCACTGCGGGGTAGCGTCATGCCAAAACAACACCAAGGTGAGTGTCGGCGCTGGTGATGACGTGGTGCAGCAGCAAGGGGAGGTTCATCGGTACCTACAGATGCTGAGAGGCTTCTCTGCAGGGGTGGTGGTGGTGGTGGTGGCGGTTCTGTCATCGCGTGTGTCCACCCCCTGAATGAGTCTGAGAGACAGTATGCACCTTATTTTATCTGTAAATGATCTGCAGGAATCCACGAATTAAAACTGGCAGGGTAGCCAGTCCATTTCACCAAGACCTCTTCTTGACCCTGTTTCGGGCCTGGATGTCTTTTCAGCACGCGATCCACCGCATACACATCGTCTGTTTTCAAGATGGGTTGTATTTCTTCAGGGTAAAAGGTTCCTTGGAGGACTTCATCATGATCATCTTTGATCCGATACACAGGAGGTGTTCTCCCTGTCACCAACCGGTCCACCGTAAACAGTTCAGTGGTCCAATTGGGGAGATAACCTTTCTCAAAGGTGCCTTTGGTTTTGTTCAGACGTACACGGGTGCCCGGCAGTAAAAGAGAGGGGGATCTTGTCTTGGGGGACAACAGTCTTTGTGTTGTTATTTTCTTTTTGCGCTGCAGATGTTGTTGTTGTTTTTCTTCCATGTAGTCTAACACCTGAATTTCTGACAGGGGATCTCCTGGGAGGACGTCCACAGGTCGCTGGCCAATGGTCCGATGCACACGACGGTTGTACGACTTGATCAACTGGGGGTAAGACTTTCAAATAGTGTCTGGTCCCATGCTGTGTAAAGTATTGCCACATTTTATTTTTCAGAGTCCTTTGAAACCATTCCACCACGGCTGCTTTCGTTTCAGGATTTTGACTGGTGTAGAAATGAATGCCATGCTTCGTCATGAGAGCCTGGAAAGGACGGTTGACAAATTCTCTGCCTTTGTCTGTTTGCAATTGAGCAGGGCGTCGACCTTTGGCTTGTTGCATCAGCAAGGTTTGAAAACCTTCGGTAAAAGCAGAACTGCTCTTGGCCTTCAGGGGTTGCACCCATGCCATCTTTGAAAACACATCGATCAGACACAGCAGATATTTGAATCCTTGGTTGTCGTCTTGAAAGGCAATCATGTCACTCAAGTCTGCTTGCCACAATTCATCGACCCCTCCCACACGATAGTGATCTCTCGGAAAGGAGCGTCTGGCTGGTTTATGCAAGGTGTAGGTACTTTTGGTTTGCAACCAACGCTTGATTTGACTTTGCGATGGAATGGTTTTCTTCTTGCTTTTACTGGTTCTTGCAGTTCTTGAGCGTGGATGTGTGCGGCTTTCCACAAAGGTCGCCAGCCTCCAAAACTTGCAGGATGTTCAGGATGAAAGTAGGTTATTTCCAACCAGGCCGTCCAAAGGGAAGAAGGAAATCCTTTGTTTTGTTTCCCTGCAGCAGCAGAGGGAAGAATGCGCTGTCGCGTCTTGGTCTGTCGCTTCATTTCTCTCAGACTGATGCCACTTGGTACATGAATGGCCTTTTTATAGAGAAGGGGAGAGATTTATTTATTTCTTAGGTGGTGCTTAAGGGTATCCATCAACCTCGCTTGTTGATGAATCTGTCCTGTTTGGTATCAGATGGAGGTGGGGTCATCAACCATGGGGTTGGCATCACATCTTTTTCTTCTTTCACTTGTGGATCCAGTTGCCACGGAGGAGGTGGGGGTGGCATCTCATCTTCTTCTTCTTCTTCTTCCGCTTGTGGATCCAGCTGCCGCCTCCTTCTTCTTCTCTCTTTGTGACTTTGCGGGGTGAACTTGGGTGTGACTTGAGGATGGTGTTGCTGCTGCTGCTGCTGCTGCTGCTTCTGCATCCATTGCCATTGTTGAGGATTACCAATCATTTCATGAGGGACATGACTGTTGACCAAATGGTGACCCAAAATGGTCCAACCTGCAGGCCCCTCTTTGGTTTTCCAGCAGTTGGTTGAATTCTTGTTCCCGCATGTGAAAAGGCTGCTGTGACCTCTGCATCAACCCGTCCATCTCTTCCAAATTTTGGAGACGTTTCTTTTCCAAGAGAGGGGTGTGGAGTGTCTGACGATGACGTTGTTTGGTGGCCTGTAGACTTTGCCATAAGTCTTCAGGCACCAACACCATCTTCGTGCGTACTACATGGTGGCACACCACACACTGATCCCAACCTTCCTGGTGTCAGACCATTTATTACTTTCCTCCAAACAAAGAGGCTAGGGCAGAACCAATAAGAGGGATGAGTCCTCCTAATAATCCTCCTCCATGTTGAAGAAGTTTACGTTTCTTCCTTAGAGGTACTTGTTTTTTCATGAGCGTGTTCAAGACTTTACTGTGTCGTTGCAAGTTTTGACGTTGAGTCGTGGTCATGGGAATATTGCCTGCATACAAGTTCACCACACATTCACAAAGGGCACGGATGAGATCGGTAGGAGCATGTTTGAGAATGGCTTTGCGCATTGCTGGAGCGGCAGCACACAAATGACACAGAGCGTGTTTCTGTTTCCTGAGGTACTGAGACATCTTTCTTGCATGGAGGTGTTAGCCTGAATGAGGCACCTGATCTGCAACTTCTCTCTTTTATCAGGCAGTGGCAGGAGGGAGTTGCAACTGTTGATCTGCCTTCTTGGACTTTCTTTGGGTCCACATGTGCGCCAACCGTCTGAGATCATCAGCTTGATACGCTTTCATGACATTTTCATGAGCCTTTACTTTTGGCTTAGTAGTCATCGTTGTTGTTGTTGTAGGTCGGTGGCGCCTGGTGTTACCCTGTTTGAGGAGTGATGCTTTAAGAAAATGTTGCCATTGCAACAGAATGCGTGTCAAGACCCCTGCAAGTGTTCCACTACCACTGCGTTGCATCAGGTAGCCAAGACGTTCATCCATAGGCAGACGTGGATTGACAATTTTAGTCAGGGTATCATTATGTCTCTGCAACCACGTCTTATGTTGAGCTTTCAATGGGATGTGCCCTGCTCTCAGGTTTCGCACGACAATCGCAAACCACTGCAAAAGACGATTTCTTCCTTTGACGGCAAGGGTTGTCGCATCCCTTGTCGGAAAAATAGACGGTCTCTTGTCTTTTTTCTTCTTTCGTGGGGACTCCTGCTGCTGCAGACGTTGAAAGCGTTGAAGATCGAGTGGGGGCGATGGTGCTGATGAGGAAGGGTGTTGTTGTTCCTGACGATGCTTGTTCAAGGGTACCATCGAAGAGTAAGACGGTCCTGTCGGGCTGCTGCTGCTGCTGCTGCTGCTGCTGCTGCTGCAGAGGTTGAAAGCGTTGAAGATCATGTGGTGGCGAGTGTGCTGATGATGTTGAAGGACGTGGTGATGGGTGCTGCTGACAATGCATGTTCACGGGTACCATTGAAGAGGGAGACGATCCTGGTGGTGAAGGTGTCTTGTGAAATACAGAGGTCACAAGTCCCTGTAGCGATGAGGGGGAGACCATACTGTCATAGACATCATTCACCATCTCTTTGTCTTTGTTCTTTCCCTTCGTAGGATGAACCTGTTTCCGTCTTTGCCCCATGATGGATGTAGGTCAACTGAAGGAAGGTCTGGGGGTTCACCTGCTTTTAGGAAAGTCTCTCCATCTCATAGGTTCGCACATACAGGAGGGGGAATTCGGATCTCGAAAACAGGCGGGCGCGTACGCGATGGTCTTGCAACGTGGTGGGCTTCAAGTCCAAGAACAGGTAAGTGTAAGGCTCTTGGGTAGCGTCTTCATAGGCTTCACGCAGAAAAGGAACTTTGCCTGGAAACACCTGGCGAGCCAGACTGTCGATCTGCGATGCCTATCTCGGATTTTTAAAGAGGACCATGTAGTGAGCATTCAGACTGATGGTGCGATGTTGCGGCGATTGAGCAAACAAGTTCTGAGTGAGATACAGCAGGGATGTGTTTCGGTGAAGACTTTTCTTGGTGAACCATCGCAGCACTTCGGTTTCTTCTTCTTACGTATTGTCCCCCAGCAAATCATTGATGACTAGCCAATGTGGGGCCACCCCTTTTTCAGGCAAGGCACGATCCGCTTCTTTCATGCTGTGCACAAACTCAAGAGCGACCCCTAAGCGGTCTGCCATCTCTTCCAGCTCATGATGAAGCGGTTGCCATTCGCTGTACACCCACACGATGCGATGGGGTGGCGTATCCAACACCTCGGGGCGATGCATCTGTTCCATACATGATTTCACAAAGGAACTTTTTCCTGATCCCGTGGGTCCCGCAATGAACATCGTAAAAGGATGGCGTAGGGTCAAAGGGGTGGTCATGACCTCTTCATCATCATGTGATGCCATCCTGTGTTCTGGCTGACTGACACCAGGCAACTGATCCTTTCAAGCATGACCTTTCTCTTTTATCTATTTTTTTTTTTCCCCCTATCTCTCCCATGACCCATACAATTTCTTATGAAAAAGAAACACAACAGTCGGTCCGATTTAGAAAACCGGGGCTCGGACCAAGTGTCGGAATGACCCATCAGCACGATGCGTTTTCGACCAATCAGGAAGCAGGGTGTCAGTGCCTCTCCTATAAAAAGAGCGAAGCCACGCACACCGTCACAGTCCGAGCACTGAAGGAGAGATCAACCATGTCGTCTCGATGCAGCTGTCTGACGTGCCAGACCAACAGTCAACAATGTCGGTGGAGGAGGAAAGTCTATTCGTGGACAATAGTGGGCTACCCACGGGGTGAACCGGAGACGATCCTATCGCAGAGCCCACACTGGACACAAGTCTGAGGCTATGGCAGCATTACAACAAACTATTCAACGCGGAATTGACATACCCGACTGTTGGGGTGGTCCGTATTATTATCTAGTATCGAGATCAAGGAAGGTAATGTAATCAAGGAGACAACCCTTGTCCAGCTTGTTTCCAGTTTGTTTTCCCAACGGCCCTTTTCAGGGCCACCAGTCTCTCCCGAAAGAACGCTTTCATCCTTTGCTTTGACGACCCTCAAACCCAAACAAAGAACCCACCTCCTCCCTCCACCCCCCACCACCACCACGTCTATGTTTAGAAAAAAAGAACCAAAAAAAAGATTTTATACGCGCTTCTTTCAATGTCGATCTTGTTCACCTTTTACGAGCGCTTCTCTAGGTTTTCCCCCCTCCTCCCCGGAAACGGATGTGACGACCTCTTGGAGGTGCGCACGTCACCGGAAACGGATGTGCCGCCATCTTGAATGTGCACGCCACTGGAAACGGATGCGCCATCTTGGATGCGCAAGCAGGACCCACAATGCCCTGCGCACACCCAAACGGAAGTGACGTCATCAGAGGTCACGTGACCCCACCAACCAATCAAAAGCCAGGAGCGGTCCTGTAGTACGAGCCTCAACTACTACCATTGACCATAGAGATTATGCCCACAAACTTAGAAACGTCAGTCAGGGCGATTCTCTGATCACTGGTTTAAGACATGCCTAATGATATAAGGGACGCAATGCAATTTGGTTTGCAGAGCCTTTTTCAGACTTGGCCCACCCATTCAACCGCCCATCAAGTGTACTGAAATTCTTCATCAAGGTACATAACATTACCTTAATGCATAATTGTTAAACCGATTGCGTGCAACAGATTGATTTCCATATTCTTCAACCATTTATAGCAATTTCTATACTTTCCTTGGTTTTTCATTCACTGATCAAATTTTGTAATCTGTAGGGATGAACAAAAGTACACCAACAACCATGTACAGTGAAATTTGTTTATTGATATCTTACAATATAATATTAATACAGGGGTAGAAAACACATAGTAAGTAATGAGTACATGACAGACCAAGACTGTAGTACACTCCATCCACATAGTACAAGAAGAAACAGAAGGGAATGTAATGGACAGACTGACACACTGACATGACATAAGGGAAAACCCAGGTGGCGTAGCAATGATAAGGTGGTGTTTGTGGCCCTGCAGCCTCTCTCAAGATAGCTATGCCCTTAAAACAACCAAACACATCCATCATACATACAAACAGCATGCAGAGAATGGTTAGATCATTATGACCCCTAAGGCACATTTACCTTGAAATATAGTGTACTTAATGTGTCACACAAGAAGCTTGTTTTTTATCCCTTATGTCATGCCAAAATAACTTAAAGCATCAAGATAAAAACATTGCTTTAATGATATGGTTTAACCAGAATTATCACGATCCTTATTGTACAACACTGGTGAGAGGAGATTTTATGGACAATATTCATGAAATTCTTGGTGTTTCCATACCATGACCCCTTAAAGCAAGATTCAATCTATTAGTTTTAAGTTATCTACAATTTCATAAAGTAGTAAACAAGGCTCGTTTCGCTCAAAGACAAACTCATCTTACAAACATTTTGATTACCCTGCATAAAATGACAACATATTGGAGTGTACTATGTTGTAGCTATGAAGCAAATCTATGTTCATGCAGGAAGTGGACATTCTGTAAGATTATCAATGCCGCTACAGACATTTCTAACTTTACTACTATTGTATAGTGCCAGAACAGACTGTCCACAACATTCTGGAAGAAGAGACTTAAGACAGATCAGAGAAATAGTTTATGGGAGAATAAATTGGCTCTAACCTCACACTACTTTGTACATGAATTGGCTTTGTTGCAGCTATTAGCAGGTAAAGCCTTTGAAATTCCAAACAATCCAAATATGAGAGTTGTGAGCGCATTAGTGTCTAATCAACATACTGATTGGAGCTGCTTTTGGCAAAAAAAGTCAGCACAATTTCATAACCTCCAAATCAGGTTTAAAAATTTACTCAATGATTTGTTTTCAGAAATATTCTAGGTAATGATAAATAAAAGACCTAGTTTAATTCAACAGTCTCTAACTTCTTCAAACTCAAAACTGCCAACACATGAAGACAGACAATATCCTTTGTGTAGATTACAGTCTATAGTGTGTTGTTCATTATGTGATTGATAATGGTCAACATCACATTCTCAAAGACACTTTTATCACAATACAACAAATTCATTTAAGGTGTTCCAAAGGTTCATATTAATCATTAAAAGTGGAAACCATTAGTTAGGGTACATATCTTACTAAAACTTACCAAGAACGCATAGCCCAACATGTATATTAAAGGTTTAAATAATCATATCCATGAAGGTCATATGCATAACCTTAATACTTTGTCTATATGCAATATAGGTACAAGACTAGATCACAAATCACAAGTGTAGTTCAAATAGATATTTTAAGGTGAAAGTTAAGACATGTCCTATGTACAACTGTGTTAGCATTGTTTAATACATCAAGCTAGATCTAGCTGAGATTCCAAGTGCATGCCACTGTTTGGCATGTTTGGTAGTAAAATCACCAACAGATACAGTTACATGGAAGTAAGAACATTTTGGAAAATAAAAAATTTGGCCTTTTTTTTTTTTAAATAATTAATTTTCATGTAACAAAACTTGGAGCATGGTCTGTCAATGAAATTTAAGACACAAGGGATTTCTTGTGAGCAAATGTACAAAGCAGATCAACAATGAATGAAGCGATGTGATTGCTACACTTGAGCAGACTCCCAGTAGACAATGACAGCACAGAAATAAGAAATCAAGTAGTCCAGATACAGGCCAGCCTTAAATAATCATGTCATTGGATGATATTTATAAATTCAGTTTTATGTACAATATTAAAATTACATAATCATGATAATCAGTCATAAAGATCGAAATCCAAGCATCCACACACACAGTTGCCATATACACAGGTAGTTAAAACGTCAAATGTTCACACTCGCACATGTTGAATTTGAATCTTGCGCTCATGGCTGGTAGTGACATTATTAGGTTGTTTTGGTCACAGTCAACTCATGTGTATTCTCAATCTTGTGATAAGCAGCAGTAGTAATACTGCCTCAGAACAACTTATCTTGTCCGTATCATCACATAAGCTTGTGTCATACCAAAGTCAGAATACTACTGTAGGTATATGTAGTTGTCTATCACTCTATAGTCACTCACTAGTGGAAGCTTTAACTTCCCACAGCCTTACAAGGTCTGTCTGCTCACTTTACTCCCCAAGCAATGGCACAATCAAGAAACATCATGTAGTCAAAGTGTCCAGTGTCACTGGGTAGTACAGATTATCCGGAGATATATATATAATATATATATATATATATAGTCGGACCCGATTTTTGGCAGGAATGGGTTCAGTGTGACTGAGAGATCAACGTCCGTCATCCCCGCAGGCCTCTAGTCATTTGCGGATTTGGCGAGATGACCCGGAACGCGGAGGCACTTCTTCTTTTGACGCGCTCCCTCGTCTGAGCCCAGAGTTGATTGGTGTCATCATGCCCTGCTGCATCTGGACTGAGGACATGCGGGTGTGTTCACGTTGAAGTTCGCTGGTGGGAATACCTCTGTGTAGTTTGGTGCTGGTGCGTCTCTCTCTTTCTCGGGATATTGGCCTTGGGGAGGTGGCTGAACAGAAACAAAAACAATCTCAAATTAGCTGTGCTCATCTTCATAGGTGTGTATTTTACACCACCACACTGTAGTAAAGATACATTCAACATCATTGAAAACATTTAACTGCAGGCCCCGTGATTGAATATGAGTTACATAAGCTCCTTGCCAAGATAAGCATTCAAAGCAGGCCATATAAATCTTATACCTCCTGGTATTTTCAATGTTAAAATTTGTTTACCATTCACCCATCGGTAAAGCAAATAGGAAAATCAAGTTGCATGGTTCAATATTAAACACAATTACAGATCAGAAAGTCTCCACAAAAGAGAATTTCTTTTCTCAATGTTCCCAAATTGAAACAATAAATTTGTCATAATGATGTCTCTTCTGAACATAAATCAATCAAAAAGCTACTTGTGTGTCCAGCAAGATTGCAGTTGAACGGAGCTCCACACTTGTGCACTGATCTGACATATTATTACATACCAATTACAAACCAGTACAAGTTTATTGAAACCATGTACTGTACTACACAAAAAATGTATAAACATGAATACATATTACAAAATTTACCTTCAGTAACAGACGTCAACCATGGTGTTAGAAATAATACCCAATGAATACTCTGCATTAGGAAACATCACAAATTGTATAGCTATATAGAAACAATTTATTTACAAAATGCACAAATACATAATGTACAACACATACTGAAAATGTGTTTCGTAACAAAAGAGATCAATGACTTTCTCGTATCAAAGATAAGGGAGAAACATTCATACTCTGCTTAATAAGACTGTACATTATCTTTTCAACTGCAAACATTATTTTAAGGCATATCTTAAATTGCCTGACCATAATTATATTTAAAGGTTTATATATAAACAAACCTGTCTCAATATCAACATGCTCAAAGAAAGCATGAAACTTTTTCGAAGGACGGTCTTCCTTGGATTTAAAACTATCACATTAAAATCTGTACTAAAAGAATATTTTTTCTCAATGATCAAACCTACAAAATCAACATTAGTACTCACATTTGATACAAGAAAGTCTATCTGGCAAAAAGTGCATTGTTTTTGGCTTGTATTCGAAGATAGTGATATAAATGAATCAGAATTTTTGTTTTACTGTATAATGAATGAAAGTAAACACTCTTATAGAATATGTATGTTTGGTAACCTGGCGTGGTAATGATACTAAATTTTGAAGGATAGGATCAGAATGCTCACATTTATGTTGATGATTATGATAAATGAATTCTTAAAGTAACAAAATTCAACAAAACATTACAACAAAATATTCTGTACTTTTCAGAAGTAACTTAGCGACTGAAAATGGATCTTTCACCATTGCATTTAGAGTTATCACAACTTCAAATTATTCAGTGATATCAAATTTGCATTGTCTGAGTATCACATTTTGACATATACCGATATTCACTTTGTGACACTAAAATTTAAAGCATGGACATATTGGTAATGACATGTACTTGTATAACCCTTTGGAATTCACAGCACCAATTACCACTGATCACAAACAATACGTTTCAGACTAAATTCAACACAAAATACAATTCATTTCTTGATACAAATGCTGCGCACATTTTGCCATCAACACTTCAATGATAATCACTATTTTGTTTTAAAGGAGCAAGTCATATTAATAACATTGTACTGACATTGTACTGACACTGTATCAGACATTGACTCCAAGTCTCCTCATGCAATCACTTACAGAGTAAAAGCATGTATACGAACAATGTTAAATTACATCACTGTGGCTACTCTTATTCCTTACACTAGGTCTGATCAATCAGCAACATTGTATCATCTCACTATGTTACATAAGAACACAATAAAATTCTTTCTGCACAATCACACCGAATATAATACAAATTTAATATAATAATATTGCACAATCTATACAAGCCTTTATACAAGTTTCACAACATTAGGTTCTAATTCCCATTGAGAAGTAATTTTCTATACACAATTTTTTTCTACCCACACATACTTCATTAGTATGTACCAGCTACTGGCTTGCCTACCCACAGAGGAGGATCAGATCTCCCTGCTCGTTTTAGACGTTAATAAAATGTTGAAAACAGTATCATGAAGAAATGCACAAAAGTTCCTGAGGTCATGTGCAGTTCACCATTTATCTTTCTATTTAAATTAAACCTAAAAAACAGAGGAAAACTGAAATTCTGTCTTCATACATTCCTTAATCTTTCGCACAAATCTCTGACAAATCATTCTTCACCTACAAGAACAAACATTCATTCTTCAGGTTGTACACAAGCACACAATATGAAACAGAAACCTTCAGTGAAAACAAATACAGAAAACATTGAAAATGTCAGCCTCTTTTGTCATTGAATGAGATATTCTACAATCTGTACTAAAATCATACACACACAGGCCAATACAGTTGTTGTTTAACATCGATCATCTGCAGCAACAAATTAGGATGAAAGGTTTGCAATTCATTAACTATACCATGTTCGCTGATTCTTGTACTGGTAAAAGAAAATAAATAGTAAGAATTGATATCTTCCATTCAAACATGTACAAACTTCATTTCAATATTGCCAGTAAGATCACTAAAAGTTTCATTAATTGTTTCACAAATGCAAAAGAAAAATCTTTCATAATGCCTCACATACCATGAATTATCTGTGTACATCCTGCAATAAATAAGAACTCTTTGACAAAGGATGAATTCAGGTACTTCTGGTACATAAACTTCAGGACATAAGCTTGATGAGCCAAAGTACAACACTGGAGTGATAGGTCTCCCCTGTTCAGTAGCATGATACACGTTACACACTTGCACAGGCTCTTTGAAACTGTAGCTGTGACCTGAAGCAACACGAGTGTGGGCCTGGACAGACATGGAGAGGCAGACCAACAGGTAGGCAGCAGAGATGAATGCTGGATTGTATGTTGCCACTAAGATACCTCCTTCAGCATATAACACAGAAACATGAACTGTGGTAGGCTGATGCTGTCAACACTGTGGCCACAAGCAAGTCAGTAGTCATGAACCAAACCCTCACTCACTCTGCAAGGCATTGGTTAAGGTCTCTGTTTGAGCGGTGCACCCCGCCCCCTCCCATCTGCAGCAACCCGGCGTATTTTTGAGCCATCAGCACTACTCCCTACAGGCACAGGCAGTCCTGATCCCTTCATACTAAGCCTCCCTCCAGATGAGGGGGTAGCCAACCTATCACTGACCCTACTGTCTGTAACGCCCTCCTGTGACTCGGAACCTTTTGTTGCTAGTGACAACCGTGCAGGCAGCCTATCTTTGGGCCGAGACGGCAGACCACGAATGTCTGAGTGAGGAAAGAGAGAAATCAAGTCTTACAAAGCTGACGAAAAAAGTTTCAGAAAGGAAAAGAAAGGTTTAGCCATTATTTATTTGGATCATAAAGAAATAAAACAAAATTACTGGCCAAAATAATTCACACTTATGCAAAATACAATCACATTACTTGTGGCAAAATAAATGCTTTATCAAAAGAAACATTATATCCTTACTTCATTGGCATGAAATAATGTGCCACTGCAGAAATAAGATGGGTTGAAACAAGGTACTGAAAAAAGCATGCATAGCAGTGATACAGAAAAAAGAAACTGAGCAATATAGGGTGCATGCAATAGAGACAAGCAATACCAAGCACCAAATACCATGCAAGGCGTGCTGGCATCATAGATAGATATGCTGTAAGTCAGCAGGAAGGCGTTAAGAGACTATGATGATTGTGCTGATGATGACTAAGTGATAGATGATTCATCATAAGACTGAATAAACTGCAATGAAACTAAGAAGAGATGACTACTGAAAAGAAATTTGAAGAACAAATATTGTTTTTGGAAATCTTCCCAGAAAGCTTCATTAGAAGTTTCCTTTATTATTTCCTCTCACATGAACCTCACTACCTAAATTCTTGACACTTGGACAATTTTAACAGTTCAACCTTTTACTAGGATCTGTAAAAACAAAAATTCAGTGTCACGATTTCTGTTTTGTTTCATAATATTACATACCAACTTACATCTTTAAAAAGATATTAGACATCAGCAAGAATTTGAGAACTACCAATTTGACTTCTTTCTGTCGTGAAAGCTAATACAACTGAGAAGTGTTTTCCCCTCTTTACTAGAGATAAATGGAATAAACAATTATAAGCAGAAAAAGCAAAATCTGGCGCAAGAGATGACAATACCTGAAATTGAAGCAATTTAAATACATCAAAATTTCCTGACAGAAACCTAGCATTCATCATTTACACACATGTCACACATGAAAAAAATTTCCCTTGCTCTCAGTCATTGAGTCACTCACAATTTACCACTTGAAACATTCAAAAGGATTCAAAATACTAAGCTGATTTAATCCTGGAACTTGTTGACTGAAGGGGTGTCAAATAAGCTGCCTAAAGAGTTTCATGAAATGTCATACCTCACAATCTTGTGAAAATGACAAAACTTTAGTCACATAGTAGATAAATTAAAAGATACACTCCACTACTTATTTTGCAGGTGATGTTTTCACCTTCTCTCATGAAAATAGACTTTACCAACAGATTTTAACAAGCCTCAGTTTATATTGCACTGATCACTGCTGTCATATTTTGTGTTGATTTAGAACAGTAGATTGTAATTTTAAGTATTATGAAAACATGATTGTGCTTAGAGCATAAATCTTTGATTTTATGGTTTTTTTCCCAATTGATAATGTAATGGATGAAATGGAACTTGTTTTGATGGCATGATGCATCATGATGGTTACATGTACATGCCATGCAGAATCACCAGGAACTGCTATATCAGCAACTAGGAGGATCTAATAAAACTCAAACAAGCTACTCAGAACATGTTTTGTAACTGGAGTACAGTGGTTGTTTTTCACTTCCTTCAAGGCCCTTGTTTCATATTTTTCCACTCCTGTTCAGTCATAATGAACTATCATTTTAATGGTCAACTGAACTTACAAAGGGATATATTGCTTCTCAAAGAAATCATTGTCAAATTCACAGATAGAAAGTTAAAGAGGGTACAGCCAACATCAAACAAACCTTTGGGAATCCATTAACAACAATTACTCAAGATAGTACTCTAAAATCCTAAATTAAGGTATATGAATGTTCATAGACAAATTTTGTCCCCTTCAAACTAATGTTATGTGTTACCAGAATAATCCTTACAAAAAATTATCCAGTCATATAAGATTGAAATCACATTGAAATATTTTCATACAGTCAGCATGTGTCCACTTGCAGTAACTCACAGTAAAGTCGTATTGAAAGAAAACTAAGTAATTGATAATTTTCCTCTAAATTTAACATTGTGCTGTATGGGCAAGTGTGGGTGTATCTCTGGAATATTACTTGAAATTTTCACCTAAAGGGCCCATGTCAGAAAATACCTAGAGTGAACCCTGTTGATGCATACATAAACAAGTACTAACCAACATTTCAAACATCCTATGATATTCCCATAGATAAAATAAGTAGACCCCAATAATCTTTTTGTAATCCTAACAGTGATCACGATACCTCTTCAAATCAAGCAAATGTTTCACGTCACGTAACAATCACTAATGTACCATTTCTTGTACTAAACTCAGACTATTCAGTAACCTTCAAATTAAGTTTCAATAGATAACTCTGTCATGCCAATGTCAGAACACAAACTACTTCAATAACTTAACTGCTTCTGTCAATTCCAACACTATGAAGAGGGGTGTGAATGGCTTTCTTTCCCTTTCCAGAATGGGAAAACATTGACTAACGATGAAGACAGCATGCTTTGAGGGCTATGAGTATGTTCTCTTTCCACAATATTTGACAAAAATAACATGCTTCATGGTATCAGAACATGTTGACATCTATCACACTTTCAACAATATTTTCTTGCTACCAAACCTTTGCAATAAAAGCCATACTATTCTTCAGATATTCCTGCTACAATAATTCATAAATTCTTGAGACAAGCAGCCACATATGGTTACTTGAATTATTAACTGGTGGCAGCTGTGCCAATTTTCATTTGTCAAAACTATCTACATAAATTTGTTAAATTATAACATGACAAAATTTGTCACAGCTGTGACAAAATGAAATTAATGTGACAATAGCTAGGAAATATATTACTTTCTTTGGATGTGTTGTGCTGTTAAGAAGTGAACAGTAAGTTGTACCCCTAAGTACATCCAATACACTGTTGAATGTATGAAGAGCAACAATGATACTCATGTAGTTATACTATAGAACTGTGACGCAATGAATGTCCTGCAGCAGATTTCACTGTGATGCTTCTTTCAAATGTTGATTAAAAATAGGAATGTCCATCATTGTACAGGTCAGCAGATAAATGATTTTCAGATGTATGCACTTGGTATGTGCACATGAAGTAAAGCACTATCAAAGTGTGCTTGAAAGTATTTTGATATCTAAACATGAAGGTCAGATTAGTCAACAGATACTGCAATCTACAGGTGTTGTGACAGAAATGTTACATGATGAAAACAGAAAACATTGAGCCCTCAAGAAACATTTGGATAATTATCCCTAATTCTCTGTACATTATTGTAAAAATGTACATATTTCTTACAATGGTTGAAAAGTATAACCTTTCATTAGGAACATGCACAAGTGATGATGAAACAACATGACGGCAAGAGTTGAGTTCTGTGCACTTGTGTGCATCAATAGATGCAATACATGAACAGAACCATCTTTACTCCTCCCGAACAAGTTAATACATATGACGAAACATGTTTATTAGTTCAGTAAAAGTCTAATGGATGAACGTAATCTGACCTTCACAAAGTGTGTATTTAATGAGAGTCTGAGAAAATAGAGTATGAAGATTATGTAGCATGCATGAATAGAGAGAATGTTGGTACTCACAATTGAAATCCCCTGCAGGTGGCACAGCCCCAACTCCTAACTGATCACTGCGGACTCGACCTGGAAGTGCTGTGCCCTGCAATGCCCTTGATGTTGAGCTATGTAACTTCCTGTCTCTATCCAGGTCCTCGGCTCCTCGACCTCCCTGTAAAACATATGATACGCAGTAAGAACAGCTTAAAATATTTAACAGAGAAATTAGTACGAGCATGCAAATCATTACTTGTTACACTTAAATCTCGTGAAGCCAAACGTTCTAATCAATTAAGACAAGTTTGTTTTAGCCAAAAGGCTAATTCACTTAATATTACTTGTAATAGATGACCAGACAGTGGGGGACAAACACCTGAAATGTCACTATCTATTTTAAACATGGAGTAGGTGACTTATACTTACAAAACCTTATGGTATGAGGAAAAGGTTGATTTCATGATTTGGGGGCGAGGCTTTTTTGCATGCAATCATTACTTGGTATGGTTGGGTATTCCAGGAGTCTCTATCCCACTGTTACGGTCCTTAGTCCTTTGTGGCATTTACAATTTAATCATTAGGATCAAATTTGAGAGACAGATAATGCTATGTTTCATCGACAAAAAATTTACAATTAATTGGTTAAGATTGTATAATAATAAATTGAAGGTTGAAGAAAGTAATCAATGATAAGACTTACACTTACAAATTTTAACATATTCCAGTCGAAGACATAATCATATGTGAAACCCTGTCTGTGGAAGAGATTACGGAATAGCTGCCGTAAGTAAGAATAGTCAGGTTTGTCATCAAACCGAAGAGACCGACAAAAATTCAGGTAGGTAGCGAATTCCGCTGAAAATAAAGAGTTAGAGCATAAGTATTACAAAGATAATTATACGTCATCTCCATTTCTATCTCTATAATACATAAATGTTCTCCTTAAAACAGTCCTCATTTTTCTATGTACTGATGCGGGGTGAAAATTAAACCACAACCATGTGGAAGAAGAATAAGTGGTTTTCAAATCTCATGCAAGCATCACTTAGTTTCATATGTGGTTACCGCTTAATACACTAAAAATGAACAAAAGATTAAAGTGGATTATATAGAGAATATGATCAATTACACCTACAAGGGAATCCTTTGCACAGTTCCTCGATTGGCGTAGACATTTTCTTTTCACTGATTCTTTCATATTTTTGTCTTTTAGTGGCTGCTTTCAAGCCCTGCCAGGGCAGACTTCCTCTGAGGAAATACATGAACACGTATCCTAATGATTCCATGTCATCTCTCCTACTTTGTTCTGAAAAGAAGAATGATTATCTTACACACCATCACATTGAACAGGCACTAAACAATACAAATACTTTCATAATCAGAAAATATCCACATTTTTTTCAGACAAAGTTTTCAAATTTACACAAAAGTTGGAAAATTGAACGTCCTTATTTCTAGCATTGCTTTAAAGGGCAGAAGTCTTATACATTTTGTGAAAAACAATATTCTCACGGTGACAATTGCGTTACTGCCTCTTTTCATATACCAGTAGCATATAAAAATAACTGATGCCTACCTATTCCTAAATGTGTGTTTATACTGGCGTATCTTGCAGTTCCAGTGAGATTCTTGTTTTCCCTGTAGGGTATGTGCTGGTGTGTGCGAGCATCTCGATACTTTTTGGCAAGACCAAAGTCTATAATATATACAAGATTGCCTTTCTTGCCAAGGCCCATCAGGAAGTTGTCTGGCTTCACATCTCGATGAATAAAATTTTTCGAATGTATGTATTCAATTCTGCTGATCTGTAAAGTAAGACAAAACGGCAATGAAGCAAAGGCTATCACACACAACAAACTTAATTTCAATCTTAATAGTCATACTCATTATTCCGGATGTCACACTTTCCAGACAGTTGTGAGTGGTCTTTTACTACATAAATTGTCACTATGATCCCGAATTCAGTTATCGGAACTAGATGGTCATTTGCTGTTGTTTGTTGTTTAATGTTGTACTCCAGTTGTAGCAATATTCCAGTTTATATCATGGCAGTCTGTAAATATCTGAGTTTGGACCAGACAATCCAGCGATTGATATCATGAGCATTGATCCACAAGCATCAACTAAGTCAGCGAGCCTAACCACAGCAAGTATGGGTTGCTGAAGACCTATTCTAACCTGGATCTCATTTGCTGTAACGAATCTGTAATATACACAGTGAGCTAATTCTTTAACCTTAAATGCCAGCTGGTTCACTTATTTTGAGAATGCTTGATTAATGTTGAAACATAAGGCAAACTAGTAAATGCTTTGTCAATCAATTACAGTACAAATCTTATTGTTTTAGTAGAGATTTTTTATCCTCAACTGTATCTGCGAAATCAACACGTCATAAGGCGAGGATGACATCATACTTGTTTTGTGATATTACAGCTTAACAATGCTGCCAGTCACAACTGCTCTCAGATGAAATTAACTAACGTTACTGTTCATTTTCTGTCACCAAATACAACTTCCCACATTCAACATATCATAGTATCAAAGCACTAAAACGCTGTTACATTCACTTATTCAATGTGCGGAGAATTCTCAGTCCCATCTGATCAATTTACAAGCTTCTGTTATATTTGTATTGGCAGTATCAATTGTCATTACTATGTTGAAATTGGATTCAAGAATGAAGTCTGAAGTCTGTATTTCGTATTTTAGTATACTTATTTAATTATTTCAGATCTATCTAACTGGTATCATCTTTATCTATTTACAATATTAAGACTATTGACAGGGGAGGTAACTCTTCACACACCCCTTGTTTCCGTTGTGCAGACAAGTCACAATCCACATGATTTGACCAGAAAACGAGACCATACAGATTAACAGAGATTCACTGTATCTTACTTAAACATAACCATGATAACAGTTTTACTTTTATTCAAATACATTAACAGACAAGACCTTTTTATCATCACTTATCCTAAAACATAAATATTCAAAGTAAACCATTCTAACATATTCAGCAAGAGTGTTAGAAATCTGCATACAAGTAAGTATCCAATCTCACCAATTGATCTGCCAGTAATAGCACTGTTTTAAGACTGAACTTCCGTGAGCAAAAGTTGAAAAGGTCCTCCAAACTTGGACCAAGAAGTTCCATGACCATGACATTGTAGTCTCCCTCTGCTCCACACCACTTGATTGTCGGGATGCCCACTGAAACAAAGTCAAACGGACCATGCTTCACGTACCTTACAAACATGAAAAAGTTACCTCAGTCTATAAGATGAGGATATCCAAATTCCCGTCTGAAAGACTGAGGTTAAACTCAGAGATCTGAGACGAAACTTTTAACCATAGTAGTCCTGTACCAGTTTCCATTCATATGCCAGCATGTCAATTAAATGAACACTTGACAATCTATGCGACATAACCTAATAAATGAGATGTAAATGACAGGATAGTTCTCCTGAACCCATAAATTCTGAATTGTTTGATAGGCATTACTTAGAAGTTGACTGATGACAAAGTAGAGATAATTTATGGATAACAACTTCTTTATCTAATGTAAAGCCTTGGTTGACAACAATATACATGGTATAATGATCTATACCGAAACATCGCCTTTACAGTAAATAAAGAAGTTGTTATCCAAAAATTATCTCGACTTTGCCTTAAATTCTAAGTCATGATTATTTGTAAGCAATAATATCATTAGTTAAATGAAAACTGAGGGTATCATAATGATAGCAAGAGTGAAATATTTTTACGGACAATTGTGCCATCAAGTTTTAATCAACAAATTGAATGGAATAGGCTAATAAATCAGGAATCCTTACAAAACTTATCTGCAGATATTCCCAAACGCAAGGTTTCGTAAGAATGAATAAATGCACAGATCACAGACAGCATCACATTACAACAGATCTTATGTTAATTATAAGTTACAATAACAAATCGTTACCTCAAATATCATATCAATGTTCCAATATTTAGTTTACTTGTATCTATTGAATTAGAAAAGTCTATTGTGAAATCTTCATTGTGAAAATTTAACGCAACAAATAACAAACTTTCCTGCTTTTAAATATCCAATCATATCAATGACTTATTGTAGTCACAGCGATCCCTTGCAACATTTCTGGTCCAAATAATTCATGAGCGTATAGACAATCAGCAGTTTAACTGGGGTGGAGTTGTAGGGGGTAGATGACCAACACAACAGTACATGTTCGGCCTACCTAACACAATCTACACCGCCTGTTGCATATCAGAGTTTGAAAAAATATTAGAATATATAAGATGTTTATGATTCATTGTGATTAAAACAAATTATCGAGTGTTATGTACAGTAAAAAAATACATCGTATCACGAACAGTCATTACAAATTTGGTCAATAAAAATTTGAAAATTGAGATAAAACATCACGAGACAGGACGATTTATCATTTATATTGTATTTCCTTCTTGTATGCAGAGATAAAGATTACTTTGTGTATTTTCTCGTAAACTAAGCTGGAAATAGCAATCAGCTGTACACACATTTTCCCCAATCTACCAGTGACTCAGTTGAAAACTTGCCAATGATACAACTTCTAAGAATTTTGATGCAATGGTGGAACAAAATTTTATCTGAAATTATTATTTTATCAGAAATAATGTATTACAATATTGTGTTATTTTAGTTGGAGCTTTTACTAAATATATTTAAGATTATTAGAATCAAAAGCATAGCACTTCGGTTCAGCTGATTGTTACTGACGGATATTTTTTAAGAAAGGATAAATTTCATCAGTCACATTAGGGACATCATATGCTACACATATTTTGATTGCGAAAACATAATGTTAACATAATGCTCGAATTGCCATAAATATAACTTTTGACCACACACACACACACACACACACACACACACACACACACACACACACACACACACTGACAACTAATGTTCGTTTCAAGGCATCAATAGCAGTAATCTGATCATGGTTGATGTAAGAAGGCATAACAGTGAGTCTCACTATCGCGTTCGTGGTGATCAGATGACAATTTATTTTTGCGATGGGGAAAAAACACTGAGTCCGTGTATAACAGTTTATCAAAAATGTCTGTACATTTTTTTTAACCATGTGTTACCATGCACTGTAACCAAGTTAGCGCCATATTGATGGGCGCAATAGCAAAGGAACACTGTACCATGCAAAATCATGAATTCAAGTTAGGTGGGGAAGGTGTGTGGGACTGAACAATCAATGCAAAAAACATGAACAATCTTAATACTTTCAAAAACCTGTCGACAAGAGTTGTTGATATTTTTTCAGATTGATGCAATTACCACCCAAATCAATACAAGAAAAGCCACAGCTTACATTCAACAACCATTAAATGAAAATTTTATACTGCTACATTCAATAATTGTCAACCAAAATATACACAAAAATACCACAACACTTGTGCGATTACTTCATGTTCTTAAAATGTCATGCCAATTTCTGTAACTCAAATTGTCATGCAAAAATGACAAACTATTCAAAAGCAACTGAGGAAAACAAATTATATACACCTCAATCAATAGATTCTACCATGCTCATCTTTTTTTCAAGAACATAATGTGCTCCTTTGCAAATTTTAAATGAGACCAAAACTGGTTTGTTTTACAATCTGCTCTAAAGTCTTTACATCCCTCCCATCCTCTTCCAAATGCCTCAAGTGCTCTGATAAAAACATGCAACGTTTGTTAGTTTTTTTAGTCAAATAGTTTTCATAAAAATAAAAATCTGATGGTGTTTTTCATGATAGCCTGTCCTCAGAAAAAAAAACCTGTACCTATGAATTGTTCGTTACAATGTAGTTTTATATGAAGATACTGAATTTCAGGGGACTTTCCAAATATTTTATTGAACAGAAAAGAGGACTGAACTAACTACACTAAACTCACAAAGATCTTATTGGTAGAAGGACTTATTTCATAATGATGAATGTGGATTTAGGATTGTTGAAAGTAGATTCTAAATGAAAAGATAATGTCTAGTTATATTTGTTGTTCCATAACAATCTCTTCCCAAGAAATCATAATTTCAATCATGTTTATATAAAACTCAAATCAATAACTGGCAAGCAATCATATAATTATTCTAATCAAATTTCCTGGCCACTGAAATGTTCCAATTATTCCTGACCAGAGAGACAAGCGTTGACATGCTTCCAGTAACGTGCTGGCCAATGCTGCCTAGGGGGCTGCCAAGGTCCAGGCTGTCACCAGTCCATCCAGCCAAAACATTGATTAGATCATCCTAAGGTTAGTCCATGCAGCACTACAAAGAAATGAGAAACTCTTACCACCTCCCTGCATCATCCGATAAATCTTGCTCTCGATGTGGAGCTGTGGGTGCTTGGTCTTCACACATTCTAACTTGATAGCCACTTCTTCTCCATTGGAAATGTCGGTACCTAAAAACAGAGAGTTAAAAGTAAGTAATATGCCCTTGGAAATTGTATGCAATGTAGTAACAATTATAATTTTCAAGTGAAGGGATTTACCTGAGTATACCTTAAAATATTAGAAAGTAACACTAGCCCGGGGTTAGTACAAATTCATGTGGGATAGTACAAATTTACCCATTGTTTTAACATTATAAGGGCATTTTATCTTTACCCGGGGTAGTGAAGTTTACACGTTTAGTCCTAACCCTGATATATTAGTGTGGACTCACTTTAGGATAATTAATACTATCTATTGCAATCTAACTGATGTCTACAGGTTTGCAGAATACTGCATTCTGTACTAAAATTTAATGACATCCTGGCATCACTATATCAGTCAGTGTGTCCTCTTGTGTATGCAGCAATTCATTTCCCATTACTCTGAGTAGATATTCAATTATCCCTGTTTTTGCATATTTTATCCCTTTTTGTTTTCAAAGAAGTATAGATACATTCATTGTGTTTGTATCAATGTACCTTTGAAAAATAAATAACAGTAATCTTGACTTAGAAAGGGAAAAAGGTTTAAAAAATCATGAACAAAAGTAGGGTAATTTCATCTGGTAACTGCAAACTTCATATGTTGAACTTTGTTAAAAACATATAATCAGAATTGGAAATGTTTAAGGAACTTCATAACAGTTTTTTTCAACTATCTTCTTTGTACATGATATTCGGTGATTTCATTGTTTAAAGTTAATGAAACAAAACAGAATTGAGTGATGAAATCAGACATGGACACTCTGAACTTCTATTGTACATTTTACATCAAAATAGAAACATCAATTATTTCAATGTAGACGCATAAACTGATTTAGTTTAAAACGACCTGATACAGCCTCTTGCAACCCAAGTGCATATTATTTGTGTCCATTTGCAATACTGTGCATCTGGCAAAACCCTGGAATGATATTAACATTAATCCATTCCAAAATAGGACACCATTTGCTATAAGGAAGGTTTCTCCCCCACAGCACTGTAACTTGGCTAACTACGTAGTCAACAGATTTAAATATCAACAAAGGCAGCCAAATAACAAATATTTCCTGCATAAATACTGAGGAACACTAAAATGAATGATTTGAACAAATTCTGAAATTCTGTACTACCATCATATATGAAATTAAAATATAATCTAAATGTTTTATGTTTTCTTTATGTTTAATCTAAGGGCTATTCCTTGAAAACATTACTTTTCATTTTTGCAAATCCTCCAAAATAGCAGCATTCATGAATCTTCTGTTATAAGTATGATCCCAGCCATGTTTTTATTGAATGTGATCATAAATGTACAATCTGATTCAAGCAAAGGAAGTAATTTTATGTACTGAAGTGTTCTGATGCTCAAAAAGTATATCAATTATTGCTGAATGGTTCGAGCATGTCAAAGTTCTGTTATATATAAAGGCGTTACTGGGTCAAATGAAATTGATATAGCTTCTGCAAAGAATCACCATTTCAGGGTTAATTCTTGGGTGGGGCCTTGTTCTTTTGGCCCCCAAATTTGAAAAAAGGTCCACATTTGTAAATACAGTGGCTCATTTTAACATCATTTTGTTGTATGGGCATACCTCTGGAATATTTGAAATTTTCACATAAAAGGCCCATGTCAGAAAATTCCTAGTGTGAACCGTCATTTCCGAGCAGGCCGCAGGGTCAGAAACTAACAGTTTTTGTCCACTAGTCCTTAAAATAATAACATATAGCAAAACCTTTAAAATAGGCCAATTTCTACTAGTCCTTATGATACCTTTACTATTGGCCAGTTTGTTAAGGACTACAGGACTAGTGCCAATTTCTAACGCTGCGCGGCACATGTTGGTGTAGACTTTGACAATGAAAGTGATGACCATTTATTGTTTACCTCCCCATCATGCTTTTGTGGATCTAAAGAAAAATGTGTTTGACTCCGTATATTTGTAGTCAGTATTCAAGTCTTGTGTTGAGACACATGAAGGTATTACACATTTATTCCAGTGTCCTATTGGATTAAGATGTGTTTAGTCCACTAATCCTTACAATGATGACATATAGCGAAACCCTTAAAAATGGTAAATGTCTGCTATTCCTTATGACACCTTAACTATTGGGCAGTTTGGCTAGGACTACACGACGAGTGCCAATTTCTAACACATCAGTCCCATTCTGTTTTTCTTATTTATAAATTAATTTAATAAGCTCTAGGAGTTGTTACAAGGTTCATACAGATATGGAATACTAAAATTCAAGGCTGTCAACTGTCATTTTCAAGGCTTTTTAGTAGGGCTATTAGTCTGTCAATATTTGATTAAATCAAGCATGCTTATACTATCAGACTACACTATCAAAAGCAGTATCACCATCAGACATTTTCCAAAAAAAGATTAATTTTCACACCTGACAAAAAATAAGTTTGTCACAAATTCTTCATGATTTTGGCACACAAATCAATCACTGTGATAAATCTCACACATCCTTGGTTCATATTTTGTGTGCTTTTAATTAATACCTTTAATACCAAGTATATGTGATTTTGTACAAATTCAAGGCTTTTCCAGGTATTTTGGTTATTTTCAAGGCTGTTCAAGGTTGACACTTAAAATCAAGGCTTTTCAAGAGGGACCTTAAACTTCAAGGTCTTTTCAAGCCTGTATGAACTATGTGTTAATGCTTGGGATAGGGGTGTTCAATTACTGCCAAACTATTTTTTTTATCTATTACTCTTTGCTGACAATGTGGCTCTCATTTCAGAGTGAGTGAGTGAGTTGGGTTTAACGCCGCTTTTAACAATATTCCAGTTATATCGCGGCTCTCATTTCAGATTGTGTATATGGATTACAAAAATGGTTATGTATTGCACATCCTGGTCACTAGGGCTGGGACGATACACCAACTATGCGATCCGATACTTATCACGATACTTACATGTGCCCTTATCTGTATCACTGACGATCTACTGTTGGCAGTATCAAGAACTAAGCAATGAATGAAAAAGATTTTTACATTTTCACTACTAATTAGTTTTTCAAACAAACATTCAAGGTGAGAATCAATATTTTTACTTAGTGTGTGACTGTGATCGATACTTGTATCGAGAAGTAAAACATCGTAATCCACCAATGCATCGGTATATCGTCCCACTACAACTGGTCACTGTCAGTTCATATGTCAAATACTAACATAGCTGTATTCAGAAGTAGAACAGTAGTGACAAGACAGTTGTCTTTCTCAAAATTGTAGACATTTTACAACAAATGCCAAGAAATAATTATTTGAATCAGGCCAATGTATTATTCTGTGTTTGCATTGTTCTCCAAAATAATGGGGTCCCCCGTGATGGGAGAGCTGCGAGCGCCGAGCAAGGCTATCTAGGGGGGTTAGGGGGCATGAATTGTCTGGTTCAGACTCGATTATTTACAGACCACCGTCATATAAATATAACTGGAATATTGCCAGTGCGGCGTTAAACAACAAACAAACAAACAAACATAGATTAGCCACTTGACTCTTGCAACACCAGTCAACCAGAAGCTTTAACTGCTACAAGGGTGGTGATTGGTCAAACTAGAGCACATGACCTAAGCAATGCTACCGTCCTTGTGTGTAATGAATTTCAGAATTTGCCCAAAGGTTTTTGTTATTCTGAACATTTCAAGCAGGAAAATCATGATCTATATAATCAAATATGGAACTTTGTGGATGTATCATGCTAGGTTAGGAGCTGTGACAGACTTTTCAGGCATATATTTTGGCACTAAACATCGTATCCAAGCCAAGAAATCGAGGCAAATGAAAGCAGAGATGTCATTTGACTTACATTACACGTGATCGCACGAAAAGTTGAAAATAATAACTTTGACAACTTTTAAATATATTTTTGTTGATTTGCTTAAAAAGTTTTTATTTTGCTCTTTGACATGTTCTATATGGCCCCGTTGTCGAAATTTGTGTCCTAGAATTTTATTCTCAACAACATCGGGGGAAATAGATCTAGAGAATAATTTTTAATCAATCGATAAAAAATGATAAATTGAAATGAATATTTCAGACATTGTGAAATGTGATAGATTTAATAAATGAATGATATGACAGGTAGGTTCATAAAATTATATACTATTTTGAAGTCACTACGGCTTGGCTGGTCTACCAGCCTGCGTTGACTGGTGACTCGAGGCTTCTTGGCCGGTGTACCGGCCTACGGTGTTGAAAGAGTACATTGGCTCTTCAAGCCAACTTTCTTGAAACCTTCTTTTCTTTTGACAAAGTTTCGACGATGCCGTTTTGACCCTAGGCCTTAGTCCATTACGGACATGACATGGTAGAGAAACGTCATGGGATACTTCAGTTTCCCGCCGTCACACTGAAATCTGGCTAGCACCGGAACCCAGCGCATATTGGATACAAATTATCACATGGATTTTGGGAGCAAGAGAAACTCCAAACAAAACAACAATAAATTATGCGTGAAGTTAACTTTTTTCAAAATGAAAAATTCGTAAGGGGACGTGTATGTGGTTTTTGCATCCTTTTTTTTTTTCAGTACGTATTTTTGTATATGGGACGCCATAAATGCAAAAACACTGTTATTATCATCAGATTCAAGTTACTTTTAAGCTTTTTTATTCTCAAATTAAGCCAATTTTACTCTCGCTGTTCCGAAATATGGGGTTATTAAAGACAGGGGTGCATAGAGAGGGAACAACAAAGTTTTGGATAAGGATTTTACATTTGCCCAGTAGTAAATATGCCAGTAAGGCATATGAAGTGCTTTATTTCTTGGATTGTGCTATAAAATGGCACATATGGACTTCTGTCAAGTACCTGTATGTGATGTTATTTTCAGTTTTAACTTTGCTTCGATCTTCCTGGAAGTGTGCAGTCTTCAAATATGACAGTGTTAGAAATTCCCGTAGTCCTTGCCAAACTGCCTAATAGTTAAGGTATCATGAGGACTATTAGAAATTGGCCATTCTTATGGATTTTGCTCTATGGTATCATTATAAGGACTAATGGACTAAAAGTGTTAGTTTCTAACCCTGTATGACTAATGGATTTTATTCAAGATATGTTAAAGATATGTTAAATCAAGAGTGGTTAAATAGTTTACAGTCTAGGCATAGATATGATAAATACTCTGCATTTCAATTTAAGATACAACCTGAGTTGCATATTATTACAGATTCATCATTTGCTTCATATCGTGGCAAAATTCTGTAAGGTATGTCCAAGTTAACTGTTGAAGAAGGAAGATTGTCAAGTGTAACTAATAATCAGCATTTTGTGTTTTATGTGATTCATATTTGATGGAGGATGAGTTTCACTTTGTTATGATCTGTCCACTTTCCAAACATCTTTGAGAACAGTATCTCCCTGTATAGCATATCACACAATATTCTCTACATTCCTTCTTAATCATGTCAAGGATAGACATGGCCACTTGTATGTTAGTCCAAAACTTAGTGAAAATCCAGAGAGACCAGTATGTTATGTCTTCACGAAAATAAGTATTATTGAAAAGCTACAATTATTTGTCCACAAAGGCCTAAATGTGAGGTGATAACTCATGTCTAAATTGGATTCTTGAATGAATATCATAAAATACAACACTCTTTCCTCAGTGAAAGTGATCAGTGTATAATAATAATTATATCCTAGACATTTACCAACATGACCTCTTGATTATTGCTGTCATACCATATTATTCTTTTACTTGGGCCTGGTTTCTTTGGGTACAGAAATATAGAATTTAAACATTTATTGCTGAAATTGATATTACGACTGCAATTTATTACAAGACATTGACAAGCCATGTAGTATGATGTACTAATGTCTCTAAAGATACCACCAAATAGTTAATTACAAGAGCAAATACAGACATCCGAAGAAGCCCTCTATAAATTAAAATGGATCGCAAATTCATTTTTATAAATAATTTATTTGCTGGAAAAAGATTGTTTTCTGCGTACTCAGTGAGTGAGAAACTTGGGTTTAACATTTCTTTGAACAGTATTCTGGTTATATTATTGTGTATCATCTTAATGTAGAAGAAGATCCTGAATCAATGCCTGAGTACTAAGACAGGTGGTAGGAAGTTAATATGCTTGAAGATATTCTGGTTGTATTTAAGATGACACCCCTTAATCCACTCGATCAGTGTTATATTGTTGCTGCTTTCAATCATGAAAGAAAACTTTAACTTGAGTGGATGCCTATTTTGATCTCCGACTCAACAATAAAACAGAGATATAATACACTGGATATTTGAAGATAGCCTCTCATATACCGTGCAATGAAACACTAACATCTCCTATGGTTAGCTATTAAGTCATAATAGATCCTGATGTATTGTCTCAATACCAGGGGAGTTGATATTCTACTTAACATGTTTTTGTAAATTGTTTTTAAATGGGATTTACCAAGTAAACCCACAAGAAAATAACTATCTGTATCATCATAACATGTCATGGAGAATCAGTTACAAGAAAAACAGAATTGGTATAATCTCTTGAAGTGGTGTGTGATCAATGTGATAGAACACATCCCATGTTCAATTACACTCGGGATGTCCACCAAACCTTTTTTTAACTTCAAACTCAGAATCCTCACAGGGTTGTCAGTAGTAGAAATTCGCAGTAGTCTTGTCCTTGCCAAACTGCTCAACAGCTAAGGTATCATAAGGACTAGTAGTAATTGGCCATTATAAGGGTTTTGCTATATGTTATCATAAGGACTAGTCGACTACAAATGTAAGTATCTGGTAGTAAAGAATGGAAATGTTGCAATGTTTAATTTAAAAAATCCTAAATGAATAGTGAACTAGTTGGGTTTGTTCACGTTGTCAACCCGCCCCACAGAGCAAGCTGGACAGGGGATGCAAATTGGCACTAGCCTGAGTCAGTGTTTTAACTATTAAAGGTATCCAAGGCCAGTAAAATTTCAGGCTTGTTATAGGGAATCCTTGTATATCTTATCTCTATTTGGGCTAGTAAAGGTTTCCCTGTAATCAGTCTGACCTACACTTAAATAATTATTTCCCTAGTGACTGCATTTACAGCTGAGAAAACAAAGAATACTTTTTATATTACAAACTAGCAATTCTGCACAAAAATGGTCTCTTAATTTCAAATTATACACGACAGCTGTCATAATAATATCAATGACACTTTGTTAAGCAATTAGACTTCAAGAGATTTTCACATTATCATAATAATTTTTACTATTTTTTTTAGTATTTGAGAATGTTGGAATAGCATGATTACGCTTAATTTATATGCGTAAAAGAAGCAAACGTGAGATTTGTATCCGTCATAGATCTCCCCTGAAAACATGCGCGAGGGAAACATAATCTAGATTGACAACAGTCGAGCCAGTTTCCTCCGGGGATAAACAAACGTCAAATGACCAACATTATAACACACCTCTCAATGATTTAATTATTTTTAATAAATAAATCTCTTGAAGCATATAAGGTCATGCTAGCGTATCAAGAAGCAGATCTAGTCGCAATAGAATGATCTGTACATGAGTAATATTTCGTCTACACGATCATCTGTTGTTTCGACAATGGCTACCAGTCAGACAAGAGCTCCACCTTCGTCTGATCTGTCAAACTGCGGTTTGACACATACTTACCCAAATAGATATCGCCGAATGATCCGCTGCCGATCTTTCGCCCTAGACGATATTTGTTGCCAACCCGAAGCTCCATCTCCGCTGAAAACAAGAGGGGAATGGGATAATTAGGTATTCTCAACCAAGTCGCTGGAGAAACATTTTCCACTGATAAACAAAAACTACCAGAAAGGGTTGCGTTACAATCTAAGCTGCTACACTTACCTATTCTGTGTAGGCTTCACAAAATTTGTCTCATTAGAAACCTAAGACATTAAGCTTTTGCTAGGTACTAAACAGACTCGGTTATTTCGGACTGTATTTGATAGATGCGTCCGATTATAATTCGTTCCATTTTGACCCTAGCACCGCCATTATTTACTTCCATCGGTTGGTTGCTTGACATACTACGCAGGCGCGATGCATCCACTTCCTGTGAAACTCCTGGATGACGCAAACATATTTCTTAGCATAAAAGGGCATAATTTCTGACATAATGAGAGAAATAGTAAATTGTGTTTTAGAGATGCATTACATAATTAAGTCATATTTCTATTCGACATACAGAATATCTCCCCCAAATGCACAATTTTCTCTAATTTTCAATAGTTCTGAATGTGTAATATCTTCTTTCTATACTCTATACAGTTGTGAATCATTAGACATATCGAGTATGTTTTCGTTATTTAACGGAATTTGCAGTCTTTCCAACGTTGTCTTGCTAAACCAAAAGTACAGTTTTTATTTTGGTTACCCCTGGTGTATGAGATATACGGGGGTTTTCAATGTTTAATTTGTTTGAAAATTGGTATTAGCCTATACTTAATACTTAATTCTGCTTTTCTTTTATTTTGAAATTTTATGCAGATACTGATATCCCCGAAGTTTAAATTATTAAAATATCCTGAAAATGTAATCATCTTACAGTTTGATTACTACCAATTACCTCTTGATATTGCACAATGATCTTTCAAAATATGAAATATTGAGCTGAAGAGAGGTCTCTCTCTCTCTCTCTCTCTCTCTCTCTCTCTCTCTCTCTCTCTCTCTCCCTCTTGCTAGATAGATAGATAGATAGATAGAAAGGTTACATTTACACCGTTACGCTATTTTGACCTCCCTCTCTCTCTCTCTCTCTCTCTCTCTCTCTCTCTCTCTCTCTCTCTATAGATAGATAGATAGAAAGGTTACATTTACGCTATTTTGACCTCACAGTGTGTGTGTGTGTGTGTGTGTGTGTGTGTGTGTGAATATACACACACCGAATCATAACTGCTATGTAATTCGTCCGTTGCTTTTTCTATACACTTTGCCACCCTTCTCCAAACGTTAAACGTTACTAGATCGATTGCTAAGGTATTTTGAAGACCACATGAAATATTATCAATTTCTTAAGACAGTCCTTGTCTTCCCTTCTCAGTCTATATTGTTAACTCATTAGCGACAAGAGTGGTGTAGCCCTTGAACCGAGCGACAAGATATATTTATATATGACACGACGTTCATTTGAAAACAACTTGTGAACTATTAACTATAAGATACCAAAACAAAACTACGTCATCTTCCATAATGGCGACTTACATATACTTGGAAGAGATTATTGCAAATACTGATGGTTATCTAAATGTCGGTCAGAAGGTCGCGTTAAGTTCAGTTCAAGTGACAACCTACTCGGGTTATTGGTGCTTGGATTATTGAAATATAAACGTTCAAGTCATACATCATCTACAGGCATGACGAGTCGGGTCGTGTACTGATGTAGCGACAGGTTGCCCACGGCCTTGAATATCTCGGCGATCAAGTAATATATATCACACACCCTGTCTATAAACCACGGAGAATATGTTTCTTAACTCATTTTCATGACGTCATTATAATTATGTATCATTTCCGATTATAAATATAAGATTGACGCTTGGAGTAAAGGGTGGAGTTTGTATATGAATATATATAAGACAGCTAAGCGATAAATCGTAAAGAACAATGAAGAACTAAGCCTTGTTGATTTCACGATAAAACATTATTCTATATCGATGTCACTTCTGGATATTCGTTCTATATTGACGTCATTTCGCATCTAAAAGTGGGAGAGACATGACAATCGGTATTAGGAGAAATGTACAGATAATCGATGTGAGGATTATGAGAATACGCGGGAAATACCAAACTTAACCGGCCTGTTCATAAAATGGATTTATCCGACAGTACATATAATGTTGACATATCATATACGAAATAAACTCGTGGTCAATGTTTAACCTACAATAAAACACTGCAGGGAGAATATGGTTTACAATTCCCACTCGTCGTTTATTTATTTGTATATTTATTTGTGTGTGTGCGTGTGTGCGTGTGTGTGTGTGTGTGTGTGTGTGTTCAGTTATATATACTTAACAAACAAGAATTTCTGTGTGTTTGTTTGACCACGTGACTAGACAGAGAACCTACTATATGTTTTCACACCATCTCAGATAAAGGGAATGTTTATGAAACAATTAATTGCATTCAGTTGCTACATATCGCTACGATTCTAAGAGAGCGCCTTTAGCGGTGAACAAAACTATGTTCCTATAGCAGATTCTTTTCTCAAACAGCCACCGTATATAGTGTAGTACATGTGGATGGCGAGCATTTGCCTGGAGACCGGACGGTCGGCCAGGTGGTTCGATTCCCGGTCGGCGTCATATTCCAATACACGCACGCACGCACGCGCATGCATGCATGCACATCGGTATGTAAGTAAAATAGCCTTGAACGCGACATTAAACCCCGTTTCACCTACCCCTATAGTTTCTACATATATCACGTCTAAGCTGTATGGATATTGAACCTTGAGGTCCTGTCCAGACACAGACTGAAAGTTCAGTGTATATAAGTGAAAGGGAGCCAATATCGGTCACCCTTTATTGCAGGCATGTACTATTGAAGCCAGGCATTTAGTGTCGAAGAAAGGGTGTGACATGTATATCTGTTCGTGAAAGGACGCATAAAGGACGGAGCTTTGAATTTCGAAACGGGGTCCAAATTCAACTTTTGCTGTGTATATATCGATGTTTGAGTGGAACATTCATTGACAGGTGTATATGTAATGTCAAAAGGGGGAACACCTACCGACCCACCCTGTTCCATACAAAGGCCTGTAATGTATAAAGTATATAGATTCTTATAAATATATATTGCCTATTGCATTATTCATGTCCATGCTTTATTTGCAAAACGCTAAACGTGTATACCTATAGGTTGTATATGCTGAAAGACATTGTTACTAAATAAAAGCTTCCCTATATTTATATCAGCTACATTACAATCCACATTTCTTCCAAGTTCTTTATGCATGCAATTGTTAGGGTGTTTGTTTCAAAGTTAACTGTGGTGAGGTGAGGTGAATTGGGGTTTAATGTCGCGTTCAAGACTATTGGCTTATATATAGCGACGTGCATGCGCGTCCGCACTAATGTCAAGTTTAATGGTGCTAGCATCTTCTGCAGTGTACAATTTCATCTACAAAATGTATAATATATATACCGTATGCAGTATAATCTGCAATATACAATCTCTTCTTACAATATCACGTGCAACATAATCTCATCTATGCAATATCACCTGCAATATACATCAAAGCTATTTAATATCACCTGCATGGACATCTCATTTATTCAATATCATCTACAATATGCATATCATGTATTCAATACAACTTGCAATATACAACTCATCTATTCAATATCACCTGGGTTGGAGGTTAGAATTTTGTATCGAGATTAGGTATTTTTTAAGTTACAGCTACAAAATATTTAAATATTTAATATTTAAAACAAACTACGAACCTGATCTATTATGTTAAGAACATCTTGCAACAATGTATGTTTGTGTGTGACAGGTAACTTCTTTTATTTTAAACAGTCTGAAGCATGTTTTTTGGGGGGGGGGGGGGGGTCAAGAATGTTGGCGACAATATTATTCGATAAACAACTCGCAAGCTTAACATTTACAAATATGGAGCTTGGACAGTATATACTATGTTGTGTGTGTGATACATAATCATGCCTATTAAATGTGTAATTATACTGATATTAAATAGCCATGTATTAGTTAACACACTCGAGGTGCCGTGATACCTCTTTGTTATCTATGTATTATGAGATCGTTGACGTCATAAAGTTTACAACATTTCCTGAAATACGGTACTTTTTATGATGTGACACATTTAAAATCATGGAGCTCATCCTTCCTTCAATCCAATATAAATAACGTGGATAGTAAATGTAACCGACAGCAGCTGTCTCCGTGTTCCTAATGTAAAGATACAAAACAGGTTTAGATCATACTGGTTGCATCAAACAAGTTTTTTACGTGTATCCAACATAATAACTATATGTTGAGAGAAATTATAGTATTTCAGATTTTCCAGAGGTCTTGAACTAGAGGACTATAGAAACATCTACACCATATCTAATGTTTCATGAATACCTTTCAGACTACGCTATACACGTTAACTTATTATCATATAGTATTGATAAATATTCACAATCAATTGTGTACATCTTCACAAGGCTCATAAACAAATACATTTGAATATCAAAATTTTCTAAGGAGACATTCCATACACTGGTTGCTTTTTAACAGTTTTTTACGCGTCTTATTTGTTATAAAGTTCTTATAACATTGGAACTATAAGAGCATATGGAAGTAGTCTTTTGAAATAAAATGAAAGGTAAAAGGACACTATTACATATCTCAAACTTCTGTAGCAAAAGACCAACAACCCAAACGCTTACATATACCAATTAGAGAGTATTTGGTGTTATTGTTAAATAAATAGTTATATGAATTCAACAATGTGTTGCGATGATTATAAATTAATATTGTGTATAGCCTATTAGCATCAGTTGCCGGCATCGTTGAGTTTTTAAACAACGCATTCCCGCGCATGACAGCAACCTTCTTGTTCCATCTTCTCGTTTTAACGTGCCTACCCTTAAGTCAAAGAAATACCCCTAAATAGCGTCTTCGGGTGAATTATATAGATAGTAACAAGATGCAAGTTTGTTTGAGGATATAATTATGAGCAACACAATATAGATAGCATGTGTATTTGTTAACGTCGTTGGATTATTTGAATGTCGGATCAACCATGCTTCCCAAGTTCTGTGCCTCCTGTCATGTTGGTCACAATATGATTCGATGTTAACAGGGTCGGTAAACAGGTAAGATCAACGGTACCATTAACTTAAACGTTTCCTTCGATGTGGCGATGAGAATAATGTAAAGGAAAGTTTTTTTATAAGGCCGCTTGAAGACAATATTTCAATTTATAATTAACGCCCACGTTGGTTGTTCATTTGTTGGTGCTTAATGGTTCTGGCGATTTCGAGCTTCATTTCTGTGTTTTGTGGTAGAGACAGGAACTGTCGTTTGTAAGTTTTTTCAGACAGCGTGCACCTGTAGTTTATAATTTTGAACAACACATTTGTCTATTGAGTTATTAATGTTCATGTTCCTTCCGTCATTTCAAGAACCCGCTTTAAAACTTTATATGCTCATATAAGGGAGGTTTACCGCCAAACACGTTCAAGACGTGCAGTTCAAGAGTTACTGTTCTTGAGTTATATGTCACAAGATGTTTGATTGGCTTAATGTAATATCTCAGCCAATGAACGTTTCGTTTAGAAATATTAACCAACATGGCGGAGCAGGTGCTCCACTCGGTGCTCGTAACCACATGAAATCCACAAGTGTACACAATATTATCAGTTCAGTATGTCACATGTACGCTAAGTCAGGAGAAAAGAAGTGTATGTATTTTCTTCCTTATAGTTACTGAAAACGAAGAATTTAAAAAAAATTAAATTGGATGAATGTGTATCATTTAAATTAAATTACAATACAATAACGTCACCAGCTGCTGATCGTTTTACAACTTTTTACACCGGTTGGCTATATTTTCAGTAAACAAGTATCGTCAATCTTAGTAATAACGGGATGTAGCTATAAATTTTACTGGACAGTAATGTTCCATATAATTCCCTTGGTTTGAATTTACTGTAATCAATGGTAATAAATAATAACTTCCCGTATCCCCCATCCAAAAGTATATATAGACATAATACTTTCGCTGTCTCATGACAGCTCTTCAGGGTAACATTGACAGCGAAGAAAGTACTATGTCTGAAACTGATATAAAGAAGATGATGGACTAACGTGGACTTTATTATTTTATTATATATTACATGTACACAGAGTGAACATTTACCTCATTTTTGTATATATATATATATATATATATATATCCTATATATATGCATTGCCGCACACTCCTTTTGATAATAAATTATTTACCAATAGATATACTCAATCAGCTGATTAAATTTTGTGTTACATGATACAGCAAGTTGGTTTTCCTGTACTGTCCTCAGAATAGGACAATGTCTGACGATTCTAAGAATCAAGGTTTGCCACGAGGCTTGATCGGGAGGAGGGGTGCTCCTACAGGCAAAGCAGCCAGGTACGTTCACATGTAGCTGAGAGCTGCGATGAGGTCTGACTGACGTGAAATGACAAGCTGTGACAAAATTGTTATTGAAAATGTAAACGTTGGTCAAATAAAATGAATTGACATCTATGAACCATTCCTTTATTTAGAGGGAGAAACGAAGTAGAAACATATCTATGAATAGGCCAATTAGGCGGATTAACCCAATAAGATTATGATTATGGCTCTAAACTACAGCAGATTTGGGGCTACAATACTCACCATGGAGACTAGATACTCTCTGGTTTTGGCAACATACAGTATTGCCTACATCCATTTTCGCATACAGTCTTATATAAACAAAGATATAGTTCAGTCATTTCCTATACAGTGTCACTTAATGCCTCACAACCTTGTAATAGTGAGATACTGTTAATTAATGGATACAGTCTAATGAAATAAGGGAAAATAATGAAAACAACATTGAATTTCAGATCTGATGCATTTATATGATACATATCTGTCATAAACAGATGAGATGTATTTATATGATAATATATCCATCATAATCATCATTCCACAACATCAGTATTGGTTGGAGTAGCTTTAAGTCCTTAACTGAGATTGAGACCCAGGTTAGGATAGGTCTTGAGCAACCCATGCTTGCCATAAAAGGCGACTATATGCTTGTTGTTGTAGGTGACTAACAGGATTGGGTGGTCCAGCTCTCTGACAGGGCTGATGCATGTTATCGATCCCAGTTGCATTGATCGATGCTCATGATGTCAATCACTGAATTATATGGTCCAGACTCGATTATTTACAGACCATCTGAATATTGCTGAGTGCGGAGTTAAACAACAAACAATAAAACTTAACTGAGCTTCAGGAAATGTCCTGCAGAATCAAGGAACTGCATTGAAGTTTTCCTTTTGGTGAGCAGGTCATCCTTGAGCCTTGCAATCATCTGGACGATCTCTATACATGCTTTCCTGCAGGGTTGAGGATGAGTGCCATGCTGGTTCTGTGCCAGCCTCAATCTCATTAAAATCAGATCTTAGTTCTCGCTACCGCTAAACAAAGATCTGAGGACATCCCATTACGGGTCACGTCAGACCGACCTTGCGCGAACTTTGACCGACCAATGGAATGACCAATCAGAAGGTAGCTTTCTCGTGCTTTAAGGCACAAATTTCAAATTGGCGACTACCCTTTGAAACATATTTTGACAAATTCTCGATTACAAATTTGAAACCTGAACAAAAAAAGCATTCTGGAGTGGCTAATAGATGGCTCTAGATTGTAAGGATTCAGTCGTTAAACCCGTTAAAGTTTTCGAGATTGCATGATTAGAAATCACATTCCGACTGTCACTTTTATTTTTAGCGATGCACTGATTGGTCGGAGGAAAGGTTGTTCTGATGTGACCCTTAATAGGATGTCTTCAGATCTTTGTTTAGCGGTAGCGAGAACTAAGATCTGATTTTAATGAGATTGGTGCCAGCCTGTTCCTGTGAGTCCTCTCCAGCTGTTGAAGTACTATGATGACGGCATAGATGTTAGGGTGGGCTCTCTGCACAGCCTTGTTGAGGTGGGAATGACAGCTTTCAAGGTGGTTGTTGGTACAGTGACCAAGGTTGCTATGCCATCCTGGCTTTACAGGTTATATTTTGATAGTTCAGCCAGGGGTAGACGCCATGAATTCTATAACCAATTCGTGAACAGCTCATTTTGGTCCAGTGGTAATTGGACTAAATTTTGTGAGAAAACTAGTAGACTTTCCTGATTTTAATTGTTCTTTGAACAAGTGAACCAGTGGTCATGCATAACCCTGTAGTTAGTGATGAAATATCAACCAACGACCATTATTACAAACACTTCATCATGTGTAGTACATGTATTAAGACGTACTCATCTCCAACATATGTAATATGTTCAACAAATGTTAGTGTAACATCATCTAATCGGCTTAATGACTTTTCATTTGGAGGTTATTTATACCCTGCTTCTTAATTAGCAAACATTTTTCATACATTAAATCTTTCAGATTGCCATCTCTAAGGGGACCAAGAGATTTAACTCTTGGTGGTGTTCCCAAGAAAGTATTTACACCTAATATTCCATCAAGAAGGGATAAACCCAAGGAAGAGTAAGTATTTCAGAATATTGGTAATGTAAAACTTTATTAGAGAGGATTTGTATGTTCACGAGTTATAAATATACTATACTCATACAATGTTATATGTTAGACACATATCACTAGTAATTCAAGACTCAGGTTAGCCAAGTTTGCAGTCAAAGCAAAATTGATTCACAAATTTGTGATATATACCTAACTATTAATAATTACTACAAAGAAACAATGTCACACAAATTGCACAACTTGAAATTGGCACCTGTGTGTGTACTGTTGACAAAGTTGATAAGAATCTGAATGTACTTTGTCTTAGCCAGCATTTTCTTTCTAGTGCCTCCTGTGGGTTAGTGATTATTGGAAGTCATATTTTATATATTTGTATGATTGTAGCACTAAGACTGTGGAACAAGTGTAGAATCTTGTTATTTAGCAGTGCAATTAGTGAGTCTTCCAGACTGTGCTGTATTTTGGTATTATTTTCCGCAGATTTTAGTCTTAGTATGTGTAGGCAAGTATTGATGGAACATGCCCCTGTTAATTTGTTCACAGTATTATTGAAGAGCACCCAAACTCACTAGGGAGGGAGGTTTGTGTGTACCTCATGGCTAAATCATGGTTGTCAAGTTAATACTTATTGATGAGGTATTTTTGTCAGTTCCATCTGACACATGACAAAAAATGAATGTGTATGCTCATGAGAACACTGCATAAAGGGTGTTACGCCCATGACTAGTATTTACTAGACTAGTGGCTAAAGTCGCAGACTGAGAGAGTTCTGCAATTTTGAGGGGCAGAACTATAACTGCATTCTGCAAGGATGTATAAAGAGTTCTTAATGGACATTAGTACTATGACAGAGTTCACTGTGGTCAACGTAGATATGATTCGTCTTGTTAACCGGTAACATTCAGATGTGTTTGAATAAATCTTTTCCATCAGTGACTCTGGCGGGGCTCCACCAAAACCTCAGTCTGCAACCAAAGAATCGGGTAGAAGCAGAGGTCGTGGAGGCCGGGAACGGGGTCGAGGCCGGGGAAGAGGTCATGAAAATGTCATTCAATCACAGTCTATCTTTGAGCAAGGACCTGCAGATAGACTTGTTCCTAAAGTTGGTATGTAACATATTGTATTTCTACCATGACTTGTGAAGTTATTGCTGAGTGTTCTTTGTGCACAGACATGAGTATGACCTGCCCCACACTGAAGCACATGAACCACATGTGGTGTCTCCTTAGGCAAGTGACTTTGTTCGAAATGTGTCTGTTCACCCAGCAGTGAGTGGGTACCAGGTAGGATGAGATGGTAATGTGGCTGTTAACCTTTTAGCGCCTCACAGGCAGCTTGGGTTGTATACTCCCCAGGGAGCTGAGAATGAAAATCGAGTGCTCACTGATCCATTGACCGGGGTAATAATAGGGTAGCGCTATGAGCATCCACTCCATGAATGGAATCTGGTGCATTATAAATGCACTTATATTATTATTATTATTATTATTGCTGTGAGTACTAAGCCAGAGCCAGATGTATTAAGGGAGCTCTAGCACAACAACCCACATGATAAGATACTCTTGTTTTCACTGATTGCAGACGTGTGATTATGTCAGAGTAACGTGATGCAGTTAGGGTTTTGTTCATCACAGTCCAGGAGCACGGGTGGTCATCTAAGGAGCTGCAATTTGCTGTGCAGAGTTGTGTCCCTTGGGCATTTCAGAAACCTGTGATCATGGGTTCGAATCCCGATTGGTCCTGATTGTGTTTCTAGGCTTGTCAGCACCATACCCGTGCTAAGCAGCATTAAACCACAGTCACTCACTCGAAAATGAAGAATTGATGTGATGTTGTTGCAGGTGGCTCTTCGTGGGACAATGGTGATCGCGTGTCGACCTCTAGGATGAGCCTCAAGAAGGAGAAGTCAGACAAGAACAGCTCGAAGAGAGTGCTGGATCAAATCCTCCGGGATGATGTGAGAAAACTTTTTAAATGTTCAATATTTGTTAACAAGAGGAAGACTGAATGGTATATATTTATGATGGAAAGGGATTTTTCTCCCCCTGCAGAATACACTGATACAGGAATACAATTTTTTAAAACCTCCTAGATGTGTTATAATAATTTCAACTTTACATACACGCACCCTCATTCACTGATGCACGCAAGCAATTGTGATGTCACAGTTTGTTTATTCTCTAAGCTATGGAGAGAGTATCAGTAAGGCAGTGTCACTTGCTGCAGGGGTGGTCGGGTAGCCTTGTGGTTAAAGTGTTTCGCTCTTCACGCCGAAGACCTGGGTTCGATTCCCAACATGGGTACATTGTGTGAAGCCCATTTCTGGTGTCCCCCAGGAATAATGCTAAAAGCGGCGTAAAACCATATTCATTCATTCACTCAATTGCTGCAAAGAAGTCGTATGGACAAGCCCTGGCTGTATGTGTGTTGCATTGCCTTTATAATGTATAGAGAAATATGTTTGTCACAACCTATTCTGATGAACATAACTTTAACCTTTCAGCCCTTTGTTTAATATTGGGTATCTCCCCACTGGGCAGAGTAATACATACCTCTTTTTGGTGTTTTTCTTAAACAGAACTGAAACTTGGGATATTTATTTGAGAAATGGATTAATTTGGGTGAAATATTTAAAATCAAGTGTTTTGATTATTACCAGTACCTCACTTTATCCATATTAATAACTGAATAACTATAGCAACTGTCAGTGCTACAGTTGGCTAACGGAATAAAATGGAAGTGTTGCAAGTTTAATATGGAGGCTGTAACATACCTGGACAAGTTTTGTTGTGTTTACAGTTTATTGACACAGAAAATCTAGATGATGATGACCCCAACCTAATCCCCGTTATGTTGCCTCTCTCTGCTGCCGGAGCTATGGTTGCCAAGAAGGAAGTCAAGGAGGAGGAGAGAAAAGAAGTCAAGGACACGGTCGATGGAATCAAGGGTAGGTGTGAAACTGTCATTTTCAGCTCATTGTACTATCTCCAGGATCCAAGGCAAAAGTGAACCAGTTGCCCTTTGTGTGCGGATAAAACCCAAAACTTAAGACTTCTAAAAAAAGTTGAAGGGATGGAGCTAAATCATCAGGATTTCTAGCACCATAATGGAATGACTTTTAAATCTAGGTAATATGTGAAATAATACAAAGAAAATCTGATTTGTTCATAGCAGTGATATGAAAACAACTTGAAGATGATAAGTATTCAAGCTGAAGAATCTTTTTGTCAGAAATTACAAGGCACAGAGTTTGAAATTTAGATTAAGTTATACTCTAATTTAGTTGGGGAATAACACTAGCAATTGTTATACCGTATATGACCGCGTATAAGCCGAATTTTGAGGACCAGAAAAAAGATTCTGTAGAAAGGGGTCAGCTTATCCACGGGATACACTTTCATGATAGTATTTTTCAGATCGTGATCTGTCAGAAACATCGGCTGAATGACGGTCCGATAGATTACAATTTCCCGAAAGTTTGGAAGTTGTCACGACTAGAGCCATTATTCTTATAAATTATCAATAAAGTTATTATTATACACCAATGTTGTCATTATTGAAAAAATGTTATGCATGTTACTCCTTCCGATAATAAGTTTTCAATTGAATGTTCAAAGTTTATCGTTCTTCGTAAACTCCACAATCTTTACATGTAACAATATATGTAATTCACAGCTATAATATATAATCCCCAGATAAAATCGCCAATAGCTATTACGTACGTTTTGCAAAGTTCATAAATTGATAGTGAACAAGTGTCTACCTTTATTGAAAGAGGCAAATAAACAACTGTATCGGCGAGTTATTCCGTTCGCCATTTGCAAAAACATGTGATCAGCTGTTTCCTGTGACGTCACGAACGGTGACCACTGTGATTGCTTCCTGTTGTTTAAAGCAACACGGTACACAAGGAAATGAGCATTGATAATAACGGGCCGATTGGTATTGTCATGTTGTTTACACAAACATTTTCAAGTTGTGGGTGCTTAGTGATCGTGTTGGGAGTAGGGTAATGTAGGAGACATTTTATGAGGTTTGACTCACGTGTTGATCTGTCAGTTACTTGGTTTCATTTTCAGTGGAACCAGGCACAGAGATGGAGGTTGATAATCCTGATGAGGAGAAAGCTGCAGAGAAAGCAAAACCCACAGCTGCTGATGTTTCTATGGTCAAAATGGAGCATCCTGTGTTTACCTGCAAAGACCTGCTGTCCAAATGCAGTAATTCCGGTACCAATATATATAGTTCTGCATTAGTAGATGTTCATAACTCCAAAACATTCGAAACAAATAGTTCTCTGACACAATTAAGCAGCTGGATTTTTACTTTGAAAAAAAGATCACAAAGTAGATTGAAAATACTTCAATTTGGGGCTGATGCTATGGGATATATGGATCACAACTGGGATTTTGAGTAAATTTGTAACTAATGTAAGGGGAGATAACTCATGAGGTTGGAAGATATTACCTCCCTTCTGTAAAGATTTGTTGAGTTGACATTCAGACATTATGTAAAAACAGAAGACATTCCTGCATGTTGTTTTACGTGAAAGGTCATTGTTCAATGCAATTTAACCAATGTGAGCCATTGAATGCCATGAATGATTAATTAATGCAGGTGAAGATATAATCACTTGTTTTGTTAGAGATACCAAATGGCACAGCACATCCCTCACAAGTAAGGTTGGTTGGTTGGTTGTTGATTAACGCTGCACTCAGCAATATTCCAGCTTTATGACGGCGGTCTGTAAATAATCGAGTCTGGACCAGACAATCCAGTGATTGACAATATGAGCATCGATCCACGCAATTGGGATCGATGACATGCATCAACCAAGTCAGCGAGCCTGACCACTCGATCCCGTTAGTTGCCTTTTACGACAAGCATAGTCGCCTTTTATGGCAAGCATGGGTTGCTGAAGACCTATTCTACCCCAGATCTTCACGGGTCCTCACAATTAAGGTAATTATTGTACTTGGTGAACAAATTTATGTTCAGATTAAAAAAAACCAACCACACTATTTCTATCATTGAAACATTTCTCGTCTTTCAATAGAGACAGGGGCGGTCGGGTAGCCTAGTGGTTAAAGCTTTTACTTGTCACGCCGAAGACCTGGGTTTGATTCCTGACATGGGTACAATGTGTGAAGCCCATTCTGGTGTTCCCCGCCGTGATATTGCTGGAATATTGCTAAAAGTGGCGTAAAAACCATACTCACTCACTCACTCAATAGAGACATGTCCCAAAATTTCAAGTTGGCAGTGTGATATTATGTATGGGCATCTAATGTCTTGCCAGGGTGAGTTTTTGTCATGTGTCTTATGTTACAGAAGAGGATAGACTGCTGTTTTTCCAGCTCCCCGACGTCCTGCCTGGCTTGCCACCAGGTCGTGACGAGGTCGCCAAAACAAAGGTCAAGACGGAGCCAGGCACGGAAGGAAAGAAGGAGGAATCAAAGTCAGAGGAGGTAGAATATGTTTGTTGCTCACAGTAATATAGGGTCAGATTAGGATTCTGGTTTCAAGTTGGTAAGATTCATGTTTAATGAAATCATATGTTGATAGGGATTTTGATCCCTTTGACAATGGTGTGTTGAGGGTTGACTATATATTGTCCACTATTGTATATTGCAGGACAAACTTTCTTCTCAGATAAAGACATGTTCTCTGTCGGACTTCTCAGAGGGTTTCATTGGCAAGCTGCAGATTCGTAAATCTGGTCGGGCAGAACTTGTGTTGGGCAACGTCACTCTGGACGTGTCCGTTGGTACACCGTGTGGATTTCTCCAGGTCAGTAGATATTGTTTAGGCATAACAGAGTATGCAGGTGATTCCTCGGGATTTGGTGTATAGAAATGGTATATATGATAAATTGTGCTTTGACAATTTGTGGTAGATACTGAACCACAGTATTTACTTGAATGTTTTTTTTGTTTTATATATTTTATTTCACCTTTTCCCTGTTACATGAGGAGGATGGCCATCCAGGGCAATGGTCACCCTCACATTCTGAAGACAATGTATGTATACATTTGGGAAAAATTAAATACAAGTATTGAAAATGGTGCCTAGGTGATTTTTAAGAAATATAAGTAAACATACACACAGTCAAGCATTCAAAATATTATTCAAACACTGATCCTGGCAAGAAACAAATATGAGAAAGAGATACATATGTTATTGCTGTTCTGCTTTTTCAAACAATATGTGATAAAAGATCCATGATTTATAAAATGTTATTTACTTGAATGTTGATAGGGATCTGAATACATTGCATTCTTGTGAGCATTTCTAACAAAGATCAGATCAGGGAACATTACCTATTACCCCCTACCCTGGTACTGTTAGTGAGAAACTTACTATCCCTACACACAATTACTCAGTTTAATCTCCAGGCTAGTTCTTATGTAGACTGAGACACAGGAATCACACATAGACATGTAGTTTGAATCAAAGACATAAATGTATTCCTGTATTTATGTTAAGGATGTAGTATAGCAGTCAGCTGTTTCAAGTGATGCCCCGTGGGGATTCCGGGTTAGAATAGGTCCACAGCATGATCTGCTGGTCATAATACATGTAGTTGGCTTAGTGGATGGGTGGTCGTGCTTGGTGAATTGGTAATTTAGTTGATTGGGGAATCGTACCCTGACACTGTGGATCATTTAGGACCTGATCTGTGTATCCTTAACATCTGGGTGAAAGCTGTAAACCATTATTGAACTTCAACAAACTCAACCCAAACGACATCAACTTCCATTTAACAATAGGACTGGACCATTCCAAGCTTTCTTGCCTTAAATATTTAGATGCCATTTCTTCCCCACTCACTCCTTCACAACAGTTGGCCATGTCAAAACCATGAACATCTTTCGTCTCATGCTTCTCCTCAGCCTATTCATATTCTCTGTCCCCCGATGATCTGTGTTAGAATTGGTCTTCAGCAACCCATGTTTGTTGTAAGAGGCGACTAACAGGGATCAGGTGGTCAGGCTTGCTGACATGTTAATGCATGTCATGTTAACCCAGTGGGTAGATTGATGCTCATTGTATCAATCACTGGATTGTCTGATCCAGACCAGAATATTTACAGGACATATGTAGCTTGAATATTGTTGAGATAGGCGTTAAAGAAGAAACCAATGTTTTTTACATGTGGTGATTGTTGCAGGACTTGGTGTCGGTGCGCGTGGAGGGCAACTCAGGACACATGACGACACTTGGCCACGTGCGAGACAGGCTCATCTGCACACCAAACTTTGAAACTCTGCTCAAGTACTCCTGACTGGGTCTGAGGTAGCAGGGTTACCCTGCTCTACATTCATACCTGGACTCGTCCTAACATTTACATAGTGACTGAATGTGCTGTTTGAGGCAGTCAGCACTACAGAAGTTGTGTGACAGGCAAGCCTGCGTGACAGGTTTTCTTCATCATTGATACAGTGATGCTGCCGAATGACACAAAGTTAACACAAACTCACAAAGTTTACAATATTGTACAAGGTGATATATATTTATTGTCCCAGGTGTATCTTGTCAAAGGTTGTCTTCAGTTCATTCATGTTTCACTGTGTTGATTTTGTAACAGATATGAAAAAAATAAAAAATCAAGGACACATGGCAATATAATTCACACGGATCAGTCTTTTGTCTTAAACATCATCACACTGCAAGGTTATTTTACTGATGGTGTTTCATGAGGTGAGGTTAAATGGGGTTTACTGTCGCATCCAAAATTATTGCACTTATATAGCGACAAGCGTACGTGCGTGCATTAGTCCAGACTGATGCCGATTTTTAGTGCTAGCCCACTGAGATACCATGCCGCAGTTTATTATGAATACCCCAATCAGACACAGTATACTGACTCGGAGCCGACCAAACCTTGTTTTAGCCCCTTAATGACAACACCAGACAGCGTAACAACAAGTACCATCTTTTAACATCTTTTGGTATGACGTGGTCGGGGATCAAACCCCGGACCTTCCTCTCTCCGGGAGGACGCTCTACCACTAGACCAGGGAGGCCGTTCATGGTGTTTCATGAGAAGCAAGACTACTTATCATTTTGCATTTCCTCTTTCAGTTGTTTTTGAAGTGAATCTGTGTCTGTAATCCAGTGTTCCCAACTGTAGTAATTCCTAGAATACACTATTGAATTGACATGTAGTGCAACCAGTTTGTGAAATAATAACGTCTGGCGCTAGATGCTGAGTTGTGTCCCTTAGCTGTGGCAGGATGCACTGGTCATGGATTCGAAGTTTATGCCACAGTCAGCAATTGTCCAGCTTTATCATGGTGGTCTGTAAATCATTGTATTTGTGGGACCAATTGCTATATAATTAGACACTTTAACCAAAGTTAAAATTTGTGACTTCATGTTCACTGACATAAAACTCAAATATAGGTTGTGATTTTATTTAGTTTATTTTTTTTGTATTTACAATTACACACGTAAGAACTTGCCACATCACCTGGCCCACTTCACAACATAGTAGTTCTTCTTACCTGCAGGAATAAGAAATAAACATTTTTAGAAAATATACTAGTACTGCAAATTAACTGGAAAACATTGTTTCGAAAGATATCAAACCAGTTATTTTCTGTAAATCTCGAAAGATTTGTGCCATGAAATTACTGCAAGTGGCTAACAATAGCCTGAACTGCTTCTGGAAAGGTTTGCAACACCCTGTTAAAGGGGCACTGATCTAACGGACTGGTTGTTGCCTTTGTTATTGTTTTTCCCCCGTGAGTACCCGGATGATACGCAACGCAACTGAGCGTGACCAGAGACTGGGGTACCGTCTGCAAGGACAGCTAAATAAACTTGGAGGCTGGAGGCTGGAGGCAATATTTGTTTTACGCATTTTTGAACACTGATTGGTTAACTGTGATCTATAAAGATTTCGACAAAGGGCGCATGTTAATTAATTTCTTCAGCCTAAACAAACAGACAAAAAAGAACAAGGGAGCTCATCGGATGTCGTCATTTGGAAATACCCCAGATGGTTATAGTTTAATACTAAAAACAGTATCCATGCAGTGAAAGCATTTTCGGATTTCGGCTTGCGTCGATAATACGATTACTACTCCCTAGTTGTCATCCACGCTTTCTCGTATAACCCTACACATTTGTTTTTGTCCTCATTCACTTGATGCTCAGTTAATGAATTTATTACAGGTACAATTAGTGGTAGCACCACTTATATTACCTGACAAAGATTCCCATTTGGCATTTATTGTGTCTGGGGTAATTATTCAATCTAAATCCAGGTTTGAAGTGAGGTGAAATGTGTGTTATGTAATATGCACGTGGCAGCCCAGCAAGAGATGAATGATCAGTTGATTTCCTTTTTTTGTTAATCAACGGATCGTTCCTAGTCATCAAAGGATTAACAGAAAATACGTTGATTGATTAATCACTGTTATCTTGCACAGTGGATATGTCAAGAGTGAGTGTTTCCATGTCTAGGTTTACTAAAACAAAGGGAATACACGCATATCATGGCGCGAAGTGCCGATATAAAAACAACATACTTTGTTCAAAGGGTTAACTGATAATACGTTGATTGATTGATCATTGTTATCTATCACTCAATGGAATTTTTAGGAACCGTGGACGCTATGAAAATAGCTGTCACGTGGGCTTTCTCAGCCGACCATTGAGACTTGACACCTATGTAAAACACCTGAAACAATCCAAGCGATCAGTTGAGAAACAAACACGGGTTATAATATCCCGAAACGATATATATCTTTTAAGATATTTGATTGTTACTAAGACACATGACATCGAATAAGTTTCTTTGTACAGCTGCAGACGAGTGGGATATTGTTCCTTTGTGTGGATATTCACGGATACATTCCTCGAACAAGGAAGCTGCCTAAAACTTATACACATAAATTTGGTAGGTTGTAATTATGATATCTGCATTTTGTTTTCCTTCATTTGAACCGATTCGTTCTTGTTTCTCTACGTCTTGGTTGGGAAATTCTTCAATGCGCGATAGACGTTGTTGTCACAGGTCTTTTCCTTTGTAAGCGTGTATATATTACCGTCAATTTGTAAAATGTGATTCTCTCAGGCAATTTATAAAATGTGTAAATATTTCAGTCATTTTGACTAAAAAATCTGTCAAGATTGATCAAGACGATCAAAAGGGCCTACAAACATCACAACAGATTATTATGTAGGATTAAAAGCCAAACAACTTAGAAATGTACTCTCTTGGTGATGACATTAAACATCAAAATGTTTGGAATTCGTTGTCATAATAATACAGATGGAAATGTTTTTCAGTCACTTTGTAAAATAACTGAATATTTAGACGTTTAATAAATTTGTTACACATTTGACAGTAAAAAATATACACACTATAAAAAAAGCATATGCTCATGTGAAATATATACTTTGTGTTGCAAGTCAAAATAGTGTAAACGAAAATCGCAAAATTACCAAGCAAGTGACTTATCAAAACTTCGTCACCATATTGATGCTACTCACAAAGATACCTACATTTCCTTATTATCTCGAAAACTTTTTTTCATTTTGTTGATCAATGTGACCATACGCCCTTATTACTACCCATAAAAGTGACTAATGCGCTTACGAATGGCGCAGCAGAGGTCGCGAACTAGTCTAGATTTCTGCTATACATCCGGGTATTCACTGGGAAAAAACAATAACAAAGGCAACAACCAGTCCCGGGGAATTGCGTTAGATCAGTGCCCCTTTAAGATTACCAAATATCAAGCTACAGTTCTTTGATAGGCATTTAGAAGTTGGAGTACTAAGTAAGGATAAGAATTTATGAATGAACAACTTCTTCATTACAATTAAGAGCTTCTCCACTCCAGTATAACTACATCTGATCTCTGTATATACTAGTATACTTGTCAACCATACTCTGTATATCACTTGCTTGACAACGGTGTTAGAACCTACACTGAAACGTTGCACTTAATTGTAATAAAGAAGTTGTTCATCCATAAATTCTTATCCTTATCAAGCTACAGGTTTTTTATTTGATAAGAAGAAGTGGCATGTTAAATGGGGTTTGGAGGTAGACAGAAGCTGGTGTCAATGTGTACGTACCAACTCGGATAAGTGTGATGTTTGAAGGCAGGATGTGCTCCCCAGCAACAAGGACGTAGTCAGGCTGCTGCACCTTCCTGTGGTTTATATGGACACCCCCAGCTTGGATGATTCTCTCAGCATCAACTACAGACAGAGCACACCATGAGGGAGGACAGAATGAAATACAAAACCTTTTCATTTAGCAACTGATCTGTGTATCCCTAACACCTGAGTGAAAGCTGTGAGCCTTTATTGAACTTCAACAAACACAACCCACGGGACATTAACTTCCATTTCCATTTAACAATAGGACTGGACATTCCAGGCTTTCTTGCCTTAAATATTTAGATGTGTTTTCTTCCCCGCTCACTCCTTCACAACATTAACAAAGGAACTTCATTCGTCTCATGTTTCCTCCTTAGTGTACCCCTATTCTCTGTACCTCGTGAAGATCCAGGTTAGAATCGGTCTTCAGCAACCCCATCTTCCCGAGGCAAGAGAGTTAACTGACTATAAAAGTCCAGTTTCCACCCTTGCTTAACTAGGCTGGTATTCCTGGGCTCGATCGTGGTACACCAGTAGTTATTATGAGTTATGTCCCTTCTAAGACTCTCCTATGGACCAATCAGATTCCATCACTTGCATTTGTTTAAAACAAAATGGCGGCGCCAAGTCAAGACAATCTGATGGATAATAAAGATCTATATTGTGATAAAACAGGTCTTACATCGCGAAGTGCATCAAATCATGCGAGCGCCTTGATTAAAAACATGAAAAGGTTTGGAAAATATCTGTTTACAACGAGTTGGCGGTGCACATGCTTTGCAAATCCTGCAATCCGACGAAATCTGCACTACAGTTTACAAACTGGATTTTGATTTCAGCGATTTTGATTGGACAATGTATAGACTCATTAGTCCTGCCAATATGTAACTCCATAATACCAGCCTAGTTCGGCAAGGGTGGAAACTGGACTTTTAAAGTCAGTCAACTCTCTTGCCTAGGGAAGATGCAGCAACCCATGCCCGTCTGAAGGGGCAACAAACAAGGATGCCAGCAGGGTCATAAGAGGTCATAAGACATAACTTTCTCTGCTTTTCTGGCCATAGACAGTGGCATATGAAGCTCATTCATAAATATATTTTAGTTATGGTAGCAGGGTAGATGATTTACAATTTACAGCAAAACAGTGCATATATTGTGTCCAATAAAACAAAACACATTTTTAACACTTATTTTGGTTCTATTAAACAAACTGTGGAATTTTAAGACATTTGGCTTACTGTGATAACATCTTGGTAACAAATCATTTATATATTTTTTTTACTGCTGTCATATTGACGGAATATTGCTGAGCTTTCAACAACAAACAACAACTATTTGATCTATCACCATAACATCAGTTAGACTATAAATGAAATATTAAGACCATAAAACCAAAGTTTGCAAAGTGTTTTTACTTTGTAAGAAAGAACTATCTTTCTTGTAACTTCAGATGTGAGTGGGCAACACCTGTCACTTTTATTTTCTAATACTTCCTTCAGAGTTACATGTTCATACTGCAAATAGAATCGTTGAAATCCAGCGGAGATGTGTTGTTAATCTGATAACTTCCTCTTCCTCCTGAAATCTAGTTTTAATGCAGGATTTATCTGTTGAGGTGATGTCACCCACAAAATCACCATCACTGTGCAGAGTTGTGTCCCTTCTCAGTTTCACCCTGAGTGAGTGAGGAGTGTGTTTGCCAGTACAGTCATGCCCCGGTTATACGGACTTCAGATATCCGGAAACCTCGGTTCCCGGACGATTTTCATTCAAAACGAAATAATTACTATATAAATTTACCCGTATATCCGGAAATTCAGTTTCCGGAACCTGACGGTCATTTTCATACACAAAACACTGAAATGCACACAAAATTGTCTCACTTATCCGGACAATACACTTCCGCTGGTGGTAATCCTTTGATTCGTGAGAAGTCAATTAACCAAGTGACACTGAGTTACGTTTGAGACGAGCTTGTTTATTGTACATGTAATCCCCTTTGATAAATATGGCGTCTGTGGAGGTCAGAGGTCAAAGTTGTGTAAGTATGGCCTGTCAACCAGCGAAACGTAAGCGACACGCAGTTACAGCACACGAAAAAAGGGAAATTTGTCTGTTTAAAGAAAAACACCCGTCAGCAAGTTTAGAAACCATCAGTAAGCATTATGGCACTGAATTTGGACATACCATAGGAAAATCGACAATTGGTGACAGTTCAAACTTCAATGACAGACTTTTAGTGTTGCTCTGCTTCTACTCACCGTCTCTGTTGAAGCAGCCTGCCTTCATGCAGACGTCGAGGACGGACATGCCAGGTTCCAGGAGCATCTCTGTGGTGTCTGCATTGTTGAACAGCTGCAGCAGCTCGGTGTGAGTCAGGCGTGCCAGGCTCTCGATGTTGCCACTGAAGAGTGCATCCGTCCAACGCACAGCTTCACTCAGGCCTTGCTCTGCTCGACAGACAAATACAACACACACCAGTTACCAGCGGTGACATAAAATCATGATGCATATCAGAGGACTGTAGGTTCCAACTGTGTCCTATGAAGTCCTATGTCGTACAAGAGCCTGATTGTCATCAAGTTACACCTAATTATTACTGCCACTATAAAACATAAAAAACCTGCATGTCATGGTTCAGGGCCCATCTACACAAAGGATTAATAGTACTACAGCTTACAGCAGCAAACTAGAAGTACTGTTTTGTCAGCTATTGGGGCATAATAGACTGAGGAGTTTGCATTTACCAAAACTGAAGCAGCTCAGTCACCGACATTTTCTCAAAGCTTAATGTACCACCATGGACTTCCAGCCCCAAAACATTACTTCCTGGCCTTGACCTTAATCAAGACAACTTCTGAAGGTCAAACAATTAACCAGTCTCAGGATTGTACAATCTAAAGTGCAACAGTAACTGGAAATACATGTATATAACTGATCGTGTTTCCTCAAGATACCTACCACCATGCACCAACAGTAGAACTTGTTCTGCAATCTTTTTCTGTCCTGGGCGTTGCTCTGGATTCCTCTGGCAACAAAACATGTCATGAGTTAATTACAGAGACAAAGGGTCTGTTCCCTTATTGTTATTTACAGTATACCGTATTTATAATTGCCCTGATGAGAGTAACTATGAAAACAGGGTCGCTGTGAAAGATACTTTAAAAAAAATAAGGGACGGGCAATTTATTAATGGGAATGAGGGGTATGAAAATCTGAGTCAGCAAAAGAGGGGGATCGCCACAAAATGTATTCCACAAAATCAAACTTTTATTTTTTCAAATAAAAAACTTACAACTGTGTATATCTACTATATCCTTCAATGGTCAGAATGTGGCTCGGATCTGAGCAGATATTTTGGAGTTTCAAGTTACAAAATGTCATTCCATTAACAGGCTCTGTCCTGGTCCTTATACAGAGGGGCCTTGGGGTGGTGGATCTTAAAGACAGATAACGGAGATCATATTGCCAACCCAAACCACTGTGTAACATAACAAAGTATATTATTTTATTTATTAGGGGGGGGGGCATGAAAAATGTTGCCAGAATTTGTTAGCAATACATTCCACCTCATATATTTATGTTGTGTAAGTGAATCTTACCTTGTGTTTCCTCAAGACATCCTGTATTTCTTGCTCTGGTAGAAATGTCAGCAGTTTCAGATATTTTTCAATGTCGGTGTCCGGTTGATTCAGAAAATACTGGAACATAAGCAGTACACACAATTTTGGACATGCTTTAGTTTCATACCAATGACATCATGCTACAACTTACTTCAATTATATGGCCTTATAAGTCATTTATCTGAGTTCCCTTTCTTATTTGATACAGAAATTACGAAATATGACAATTATTAATCTCCCCTGTATCTTTCCACATGAAAATGGTTATGTACACTTGTCTAAATTATTTTTTTAGTTTCCATGGCAATTACTTTGACTAAGACTGATATTGGTGGTAGTGCTCCGTTCCGGAGCAGATCTTGAAAAACGTATAATATTTCTTCACCAAACTTGGCACACAGATGGTATAGTGGTCAACTGGTGCCTTTTGATAGTTTGGGAGGTTTGAAAAATCTATTTTTCAAGTTTTCATTTCCATTCCAACGACTTTGACTTTGACTGAAAATGGCGGAAGTGCTCGTTTCCAAAGTGCTAATGCCTTGCACACAACTGGACATGACATATTGGCAGGGGATATGAGTATTTCATGCTTATTCTGTTAATATTTCAAACTGACTGGAACCAAAATCCAAAATCAGAAAAACACAAAAACAGTTAGGGTGAAGTCTTGATGGGGAAAAACAGTTAAGCTTAGCATTATACCTGGTACAGGGAGATAGGGTGAAGTATTGGTGGGGCACACAGCCTAGTTTAGCATTGGTACAGCTGATAGGGTGAAGTCTAGGCTGGAATTCTGGAGTTACATTTTGGCTGGAGTAACAAGTCTATGCATAGTCCAATCAAAATTGGAACGACCTACACATCCGGTTTGTTGAATTCTGGAGTTACATTTTGGCTGGAGTAATGAGTCTATGCATAGTCCAATCAAAATTGGAATGAACTACACATCCGGTTTGTAACCAACATTGATTTCAATGAGCAGATTTCGGCCAACTGGAGGATTTGCTGAGCATATGTACCGCCAACTTGGCATCAACAGATATTTTGCAAAACTTTTCATGATTTTTATCAAGGTGCTCAAGTGATTTGATGCACTTTCGCAGGGTAAGATCAGCTTGACTGGGCGATGCCATTTTGTTTGAAGCAAATGCAAGTGATATGAGGGATGGAATCTGATTGGTCAATAGGAGAGACATAGAAGGGACATAACTCGTAATAGCCATTGGTGGCGCTACGATCGAGCCCAGAAATTCCAGCTTAGTTTGGCAAGTGGGGAAACTGTGTGGACTTTTATAGCCAGTTAACTCCCTTGCCTCGGGAAGATGACCATTAAGTTGAGCACTATCCTGGAACAGCTGATTGGGTGAAATCTTGGTGGGGCACACCGTTTAGTTTAGGAGTATACCTGGTACTGCTGAATAGGTTAAGTCTTGGTGGGGCAAACCGTTTAGATTAGCAACTTACCTGGTACAGGTGATTGGGTGAAGTCTTGATGGGGTGCACCGTTTAGTTTAGGTGTGTACCTGGTACAGCTGATAGGGTGAGGTCTTGGTCGGGCACACCGTTTATTTTAGCAATTAGCAATGTACCTGGTACAGCTGATAGGGTGAGGTCTTGATGGAGCGCACCGTTTACTTTAGCAATGTACCTGGTACAGCTGATAGGGTGAGGTCTTGATGGGGCAAACCGTTTAGTTTAGCAATGTACCTGGTACAGCTGATAGGCTGAAGTCTTGGTGGGGCACACCGTTTAGTATAGCAATGTACCTGGTACAGCTGATTGGGTGAAGTCTTGGTGGGGCGCACCGTTTAGTTTGGCAATGTACCTGGTACAGCTGATAGGGTGAAGTCTTGGTGGGGCACACCATTTAGTTTGGCAATGTACCTGGTACAGCTTATAGGGTGAAGTCTTGATGGGGCAAACCGTTTAGTTTAGCAATGTACCTGGTACAGTGGATAGGGTGAGGTCTTGATGGGGCACATCGTTTAGTTTAGCAATGTACCTGGTACAGCTGATAGGCTGAAGTCTTGGTGGGGCACACCGTTTAGTTTGGCAATGTACCTGGTACAGCTGATAGGGTAAGGTCTTGGTGGGGCGCACCGTTTAGTTTAGCAATGTACCTGGTACAGCTGATTGGATGAGGTCTTGATGGGGCACACCATTTAGTTTAGCAATGTACCTGGTACAGCTGATAGGGTGAAGTCTTGATGGGGCACACCGTTTAGTTTAGCAATGTACCTGGTACAGCTGATAGGGTGAAGTCTTGATGGGGCGCACCATTTAGTTTAGCAATGTACCTGGTACAGTGGATAGGGTGAGGTCTTGATGGGGCACATCGTTTAGTTTAGCAATGTACCTGGTACAACTGATGGGCTGAAGTCTTGGTGGGGCACACCGTTTAGTTTGGCAATGTACCTGGTACAGCTGATAGGGTGAGGTCTTGGTGGGGCGCACCATTTAGTTTAGCAATGTACCTGGTACAGCTGATTGGATGAGGTCTTGATGGGGCACACCGTTTAGTTTAGCAATGTACCTGGTACAGCTGATAGGGTGAAGTCTTGATGGGGCACACCGTTTAGTTTAGCAATGTACCTGGTACAGCTGATTGGATGAGGTCTTGATGGGGCACACCGTTTAGTTTAGCAATGTACCTGGTACAGCTGATTGGATGAGGTCTTGATGGGGCACACCATTTAGTTTAGCAATGTACCTGGTACAGCTGATAGGGTGAAGTCTTGGTGGGGCGCACCATTTAGTTTGGCAATGTACCTGGTACAGCTTATAGGGTGAAGTCTTGATGGGGCAAACCGTTTAGTTTAGCAATGTACCTGGTACAGTGGATAGGGTGAGGTCTTGATGGGGCACATCGTTTAGTTTAGCAATGTACCTGGTACAGCTGATAGGCTGAAGTCTTGGTGGGGCACACCGTTTAGTTTGGCAATGTACCTGGTACAGCTGATAGGGTAAGGTCTTGGTGGGGCGCACCGTTTAGTTTAGCAATGTACCTGGTACAGCTGATTGGATGAGGTCTTGATGGGGCACACCATTTAGTTTAGCAATGTACCTGGTACAGCTGATAGGGTGAAGTCTTGATGGGGCACACCGTTTAGTTTAGCAATGTACCTGGTACAGCTGATAGGGTGAAGTCTTGATGGGGCGCACCATTTAGTTTAGCAATGTACCTGGTACAGTGGATAGGGTGAGGTCTTGATGGGGCACATCGTTTAGTTTAGCAATGTACCTGGTACAACTGATGGGCTGAAGTCTTGGTGGGGCACACCGTTTAGTTTGGCAATGTACCTGGTACAGCTGATAGGGTGAGGTCTTGGTGGGGCGCACCATTTAGTTTAGCAATGTACCTGGTACAGCTGATTGGATGAGGTCTTGATGGGGCACACCGTTTAGTTTAGCAATGTACCTGGTACAGCTGATAGGGTGAAGTCTTGATGGGGCACACCGTTTAGTTTAGCAATGTACCTGGTACAGTTGATTGGATGAGGTCTTGATGGGGCACACCGTTTAGTTTAGCAATGTACCTGGTACAGCTGATAGGGTGAAGTCTTGATGGGGCACACCATTTAGTTTAGCAATGTACCTGGCACAGCTGATTTGATGAGGTCTTGATGGGGCACACCGTTTAGTTTAGCAATGTACCTGGTACAGCTGATAGGGTGAGGTCTTGGTGGGACTCAGCCACACTGCATTCCCGGCTGTCTTTCCCAGCTTGTCCCCCACGGAGCTGGTGATCAGGGGAACAGTCAGCCCTGCACAGTGTCACAAATACGTTGAGCCCAGCTACTAACTATACACATACCAACTATAAATATACCAACTACACATATACCAACTACACATATACCAACTACACATATACCAACTATACATATACCAACTATACATATACCAACTACACATATACCAACTACACATATACCAACTACACATATACCAACTATACATATACCAACTACACATATACCAACTATACATATACCAACTACACATATACCAACTACACATATACCAACTACACATATACCAACTACACATATACCAACTACACATATACCAACTATACATATACCAACTACACATATACCAACTACACATATACCAACTACACATATACCAACTATACATATACCAACTACACATATACCAACTATACATATACCAACTACACATATACCAACTACACATATACCAACTACACATATACCAACTATACATATACCAACTACACATAGACCAACTACACATAGACCAACTATACATATACCAATTGTATACCAACTACACATAGACCAACTACACATATACCAACTACACATATACCAACTACACATATACAAACTACACATATACCAACTATACATATACCAACTACACATATACAAACTACACATATACCAACTATACACATACCAACTACATATATACCAACTATACATATACCAACTACACATATACCAACTACACTTATACCAACTATACATATACCAACTATACATATACAAACTACACATATACCAACTACACATATACCAACTATACATATACCAACTACACATATACCAACTACACATATACCAACTACACATAGACCAACTACACATATACCAACTATACATATACCAACTACACATATACCAACTACACTTATACCAACTACACATATACCAACTATACATATACCAACTACACATATACCAACTACACATATACCAACTATACATATACCAACTATACATATACCAACTATACATATACCAACTATACATATACCAACTACACATATACCAACTACACATATACAAACTACACATATACAAACTACACATATACCAACTACACATATACAAACTACACATATACCAACTATACATATACCAACTATACATATACCAACTACACATATACAAACTACACATATACCAACTATACATATACCAACTACACATATACCAACAATACATATACAAACTACACATAGACCAACTACACATATACCAACTATACATATACCAACTACACATATACCAACTATACATATACCAACTACACATATACCAACTATACATATACCAACTACACATATACCAACTACACATATACCAACAATACATATACAAACTACACATAGACCAACTACACATATACCAACTACACATATACCAACTACACATATACAAACTACACATATACCAACTATACATATACCAACTACACATATACCAACTACACATATACCAACTATACATATACCAACTACACATATACCAACTATACATATACCAACAATACATATACAAACTACACATATACCAACTACACATATACCAACTATACATATACCAACTACACATATACCAACTTCACATATACCAACTACACATATACCAACTATACATATACCAACTACACATATACCAACTACACATATACCAACTACACATATATCAACTACACATATACCAACTACACATATACAAACTACACATATACCAACTACACATATACGAACTACACATATATACCAACTACACATATACCAACTATACATATACCAACTACACATATACCAACTATACATATACCAACTACACATATACCAACTACACATATACCAACTACACATAAACCAACTACACATATACCAACTATATATATACCAACTACACATAAACCAACTACACATATACCAACTATTATTACAGTTTGAAACAAAATGGCCGAGTAAAGGTCGTAAGTAGTTTCAGCTTTCAGTATGGTTTAAGTGCGATGGTCAAATCTAGGTAAACATTTAAAGAACTACTACATAAGGTGGCCATCTCACACACCAAGTTTCAGGCCACTGGTCTTCAAGTTTTTGAGACGATTTGTTCATTTGTTGTTTTTTTAAACGCCACGTGAAACTCAAATTTTGATGCCTTGAACAAACTTTCAGAAAACACAGGACTTCAGCTGAGGGACATAAGCTCCGATGGCCTTCTGTATACACATGATCATGGCAATCGCACAGAAGACCTATCACACGTTAGATATCAACATTGCACTTCTTTCATCTGGTCCGAGATTATAAACGTAAATATAACATTGGAACCCAATAAAAACTGTACCAATGTAATGAAAAGCTAGTTACCAAAAACTGGTTTATCCATGAGCCGAGATATCAGCTCGTATCCTGCCGTCATGTTCCCCAGCTGGTCGTTTCCTCCAATCTGTCAACAGGAGAACAGGTTTTCTTAAAGCAATTCCAGTGTGAATACTGATATGAAATAATCATATCATATTCTGGTATCACTGTCATGGGTTCTTCTGTTTCAACCCTGGCTGATACACCTCGTCCTTTCCATGGTAGGTGTGATTCTGGATAAGAATATAGGTACCAAACAACCCATGCTTCTCATGCGACTAAATAATGATCAGACAGACGGTCAGACTCGGTGGCTTGAATTTATCCAATTGAAGAAAGACATATATATTCATGAATTATCAAAGTAGGTCACATCTCTGGACTATTTATTCACATCAGCAAGACACGTGAAGATCCAGGGTAGAATAGGTCCTCAGCAACGCATGCTTGCCGTAAAAGGCGACTATGCTTGTTGTAAGAGGCGACTAACGGGATCGGGTGGTCAGGCTTGCTGACTTGGTTGATGCATGTCATTGTATCCCAATTGCTTGGATCGATGCTCATGATGTCAGTCACTGGATTGTCTGATCCAGACTTAATTATTTAAACCGCCGTCATATAGCTGGATAATTGCTGAGTGCAGCGTTAAACAACAAACAAACAAAATCACATTTGCAAATAGACATTAAATTCCTATTAAGTCTCCTATGACAGGGAACAAGGGTCAATGGGGTTCTATCATGGTCTTCATGTAGCACATGCTGGCTGTACTGCTATGTGACAGATGTACCTGTATTGCACACTGGTGATGTCTGTACAAGTGGAGCCAGTCATAGGACTGAAATATTTGATACGTAAACTCTGTGAAACTCATTCCTTCTTCACTCTTAAGTCTGCTCTTTACACTGAAATAATAAAGATGATAACACAATATGATTCACTCAACCAAATCCACTAAAGTTCCCTGCCTGTTGTAATTTCTAATTGGCTATTGATAAAACTGACTCTCATCTGAACACTTCAGTATGATTTGTGATATAAAAATCTCCTTGACAGTAATAGTTGTATCAAAATCAAAAGGTCTGTGCATGTTGCGTATCAAACAATCAAACAATGGCCCAAGGCAGATAATTATCATTACATCAATAAAGCACTGTGTATAAACAGAAGTAGCCTGTCCATGTTATTTGCTGTTATATTCATCATTACTTTTATATCAACACCAGGTACTTTGCATTTTTTGCTTTTTCACAGATTTAGTACCATAACCAAGACAACCATGTACCTGTGTCTGGACAGCATCTGCCCCATCCTAAAATGTCGACCAGTTTTTGACAAAAATTCTACGATGTTCACATTTCTGTACCAGTCCAGGTTGTTCATAATCCTGTAAATATGTAAAGGATTTTTTTGCAAATTACAAAACATGGGTTGATTGAAACCTCCATCCTTACTTATACACATAGATATAACACTAGCAACGAATATATCACCTTATATAAGATAGCTATGCCATAAATCCCAAAGAACAATGAAGAACCAAGCATGGTTTATTTCACAATAGAACATTGTTCTATCATGACATCATTTCTGGAGATTTGAACATGAGCTCGCAACTTGACTACGTTGTAAATGGGACAATGTTTTTTTTCAAGTGGGAAGTGTTTAGTGAGTTATTCCCCATAGAAGTAGCTGGGCAAAGTAGATAAACATGACTGAATGATCTCACACACAAGTAAGAGAGATCTCACACACAAGTAAGAGAGATCTCACACACAAGTAAGAGAGATCTCACACACAAGTAAGAGAGATATGACAATCCGTTTTGGGAGAAAACGTACAATTGTGAGAATATCCGGGAAATACTAAACTTAACCCCCCCTGTTCATAAAATGGATTTGTCCGACATTGCCGAGGTTGGATTGTATTCAGGGAGTCATCATTATTTAAATATGGGTGAATACTTTCAAAGCTTGTACATGTTATTAACATGCTTATTTAAAAGAGGACGTACATAATGTTGATATCTCATATACGAAATAAACGACTCGTGGTTTTTATATTAAATACAATAAAACACTGCAGGGAGAATAATCTTTGGTTTAGTCTCCCTGCAGTGTTTTATTGTTCAAAGTTTACAGGAACTTTCTGTACATTGTATACTTGTAACAATTTGTAGTAACAATTTGAATCAGGTCATATTTCTTAAAAACAGTTTCAGTTATAATTGAAATAGAAAGAAAAAGGTTTGCCAGGCATCGGTGTGAGACTTTATATCCTGTGAATTAGGCCTTTAGGATAAGTTTATTTTAAATTTTACACTTCCTAAATCATATGATAACTTGACTCATTACTTTTGTTCTAAAACACATAACATGATAAAAATCCACCAAGCCTCATCAGTTTGAACAATATATGTCTGAGATAAACTTAATTACCGGTATTGGTATGCAGCCTAGTCAATGCTAATTATTCCTGAATAGCAAACTATGCGTATATTAACCCGAGACGCTAGGAACAGTGAAACTATATAACCAATTACCATGGAAATAGCACTATTGATATTAAAAGTATTTTCTTCCCATATAATCACCTTGTTCTAAACAAAATTCCACTTGATCCTTCCTTCATCCCTGTGTATGATAATCATGGTGAAATGTGGTTTAGCATCTTATTGAAGATTATTGCACTTATACAGCAGTGTGTAATGCCTGTGTCTGTGGCTGCTTGTAATAGTCTGGACTTGTTGATGTTAGAGTGCTAGCCCACTGAGATACCATGCCTCAGTTTTAACATGGATACCGTACTCAGTCACAGTATACTGACTCCGTGCTGACCAGTCCTTGTTTTAGCCCCTTAATGCCGAGTGCCAGGCAGGTAAACAGCAAGTACCATCTTCCAATGTCTTTTGGAAAAGTGGGCCCAGGGATCAAACCACTGACGGAGGTGGTCCTCATCAGCACAAAATGTGTACGAGTCAGTTTAACGGAGTGAGTTTCATTAAACACAGATTTCTATCGTTTTTCAGTTATATCACAGCATGTCAGCTTGACGTGGGAGGAACACAGACATATTGCAAGTCTAAGATGTTTACCACCTTGGGTAAACTCATGAGCATAGGTAAAATCCGACAAACCAATAAACATAATCAGGGTAAAGCAGTTAAACTGTAAGTCAATGATGACATCTACTTGAGCCTACCTCACTTGTGGCAAAGGCTTGCTATTTTTCCACAACAGATCTTGGTGGTGAGAGAAGACACGCTGCAAGTTTTCTGTTATTTGGACCACATTTTCCTCCACCTGGTGAAGCTCCATTGGTGTTCTCTCCTTCATCTTCCCACTGGGGTCTCCGATCTGGGCAGTTGCACCTCCCACCTGGTGTAAATACAATCACTAGTGAACCTAACAAGCAAAGTATTCACTTCAACTTGTAAGGAAGAACAAGCAAGTCAAGGGGTGCCCGGCTTGAATCTCTATTTTGTGTGATGCAGTAATAAATACTAATATATCCTGGTTATAATTCTTTGAAACCTGTCCATCCTAAATATATTATGAATAATATAATTCAAGGGGCACAATCACATATCCAAGATTTGTTAATAGGGATGATTTCAATGAGACCAGTTTTCTCTTGGATAACAGGGATAAACATATCTGTAATATCAATTTGTGTGAATGTTGCAATCTGAATTATTCTGAATTATTAATTTCTGTCATTATTACAATATCTATGTGTTTAACTCATACATCTCTGGGATGGCTACATTTGCTAATAAGGTTTACCGCAAAAGCAGATAAGCCCATAAGTTCCGTGTATCTCAGGTTCCAATGTAACTTGGAGCGGTTGAGTAGCCTAGTGGTTATAGCGTTCGCTCGTCACGCCGAGACAGGGGTTCGATTCCCGACATGGGTACAATGTGTGAAGCCCATTTCGGTGTTCCCCGCTAAAAGCGGCGTTAAACCATACTCACTCACTCCAATGTAACTTCCAACATCAGATCTGGAGAGGAATATATCAAGTCAAATCCATCCATATTATGAACATGTATATGACATGTGCGATGACTTACCAGTGCAATGGTGTTATGTCCAGCTCTCTGACAATGGATGAGTGCGATGACAGCCAGCAGGTTCCCTACATGGAGACTGTCTGCTGTTGGGTCAAAGCCACAGTACATACACTGTGGGCTCGACAGCCGACGAAGCAACTCTGCTGTGCTGGAAAAGTACAGTTGTTAACAATAACTAATGAAATAAAACTCAAATATATGTTATGATACTTCCTAATCAGTTTTGACAAAAATAACTTTATAAAGCATGAATATTATTTAGCTGGCATTATGAATCCTTGTATTTTCCCCCTAACTATAATGCTTCTTTGGTCAATTGTGACAGTTGATCACTCATGCTACGACAAATTAATGTGCATATATTTACTAATCTAGGCACTGTCCTTTTCCTGAACTGGACTGTTTCAGACATCTAGAAAATTCAGTTTGAATTGTTATAGTAAACGTTTCCTGAGTGGAAGACCACAAGGATTACCTTCCTTCTGGAAACACTGTCTGGAAAATACCTCTTTCATGTAATGTCAATATGTTCCTGGAGTTTTGACTGCTGTAGAGTCTTTTGCAGACTTGCCAGTGCCACCTTCGAATACATCAATATTGTCATTATTACTCACAGTAACGAAAATGTATCTTATCAAAGACAGTAAAAGACAATCAAGAAAAGACAGAAAACAACGACATCAAATATTATCATTTTCAAACGACAGTTTACTAGGCCTACCTCATAAACTGGCATCCGATTTTTCTGCCATACATGTTGACCATGGAGGCTGCCATCTTGGATGTTTCAAGTAAAGCTGTTCACGATAGTTTAGTATTTCCGTGCGATGTGTATTCGAATTATGTCTATTTTTATCCATACTAGGGTAAATATTCAAAACAACTTTCATTATGAATCGTTGTTGTATACTTTTCTTGCCAGTACGTGAAATCATGGTTCACGATGGAAGGGAGGCAACTTTGCCAGTTTGCTTGATTTCAACAGTAATGGGCTTTGAACGATCCCATTGCAAGTTCGAATCTAAAATCACGATTTATATATTACAATTTAAAAAATGTCCAAAGACTGTCTACTGGTTAACATTTCGACCATGTAACTGTGACGACAATTTAACTTTGATACAAGGGCCAAGCCAAAACATAGTTACACCTTTTGATCACCTTCCGTGAAGATCCGGGGTAAAATATAAGTTGATTTATTCATGAAGTTTCAAGCTATTGGCCCATTGAACATACATGTACATACACAATAAATTGTACAAAGTAGTGTATGTAAAGACACAGTACATACATATGGTTGATTGCACTATTGGAAATTACATATCATACTATTATAAATAAAAATGGGCGTTAATGATATGTAAGTCGTTACTGCATTGCCAAGAGGCATTTAGATGCAAAATATACACATTTTGACAAAGCTATATCAGCAAATTTACATGATGAGTACAATTATTCAATGATTATTTTATGCGTAAGGCTAACATTATTTTTAGTATCTAGCTTTTTACTTCTAAGCTCTGAATAAGCTTCGCATTCCAGTCAAAAATCATTTTCTTTAATTAATGTTATTTCCAAAACGTAGGCACAAACTCGATCTTGCTGTTCAATATTTCGATGTCCACTTCAATCACGAGATTATGGCATGAGCACCTGAACTTTGTGAGCGCTTGTCTGACTTTGATTTAATCGATTTGAGGGAGATAAGTTTTCATGTTGAAAGCTGACTTGAAAGTAGAATGGGCTAACAGTTTAGAGTTTGAACAAATGGAGGAATGCCACCCCCGTGTTTCTGAGTTATCACCCGTTGCTTGAATTCAGATAAGAATGTATTGATGTTGCCTGCATCCTGGAAAATCCATGCATATCCGAAACCATATTGAAATAGAATGTTCTGAATATAAGTGACCCATGATGTTCTTCCTGCTTCGTCTGGACCATACAACATCATATATGTGTTTTGGTAGTCTACTATATTATTCATGTTGATTACATTTGTCCAATATTTAAAACACTTCAGAAGACAACTTGCATACAATGTATGTCGTCCACATTCCCCCAGAACTGGCCGAATTCGGTAAAGTATTCTCTGGAAATATTTCGCCTGTACCTTTTCCACAATATCTATGGTGTTACATCCCCAGATATCTGCTCCATATGTTAAACTTGGAAGTACCATGCTGTCGAAAAGTTTTGATCCCGTTGTAACAGGTAGACCCCGCAACTGTAGTGTAGTTTGTAGATTGATAGACATACGGTTTCTGCTTGACTTGAAAGAACTAGTAGGCTTTATGTCCAGACCAGTTTCGGAGTAAAGCACGATCCTAAATATTTATAGCATGACACGGTGCTTATTTGAATTCCTCTGTAATACTATTTTACGTAGCTTCGAATTGGTCCTCCTTTCCCGAAAACGACTATCTTTGTTTTTCCAAATTTTAAACTTAAACCCCATTTATCACAAAAGTAACTAACACTGTCAACGTGTTGCTATAACCTTCCAGCTGAATCTGCTTAGTTTGCGATGTCAGCATAAAATATAGAACAGATGTTTGGTGCGTCTTCTGATATACATATTCCTCGGCACTGAGAAGCGCTTATGTCTGCAATAAACTCGTTGGTATAAAATTAGAAATGTATTGGGCTGACCACACAACCCTGACGGGTACCAGTGCAACACGTGACAAAATCTGTGATGCCACTGTCTGTGCGTACACATGACTTTAGCTTGGAATACATATCACGTGGAACTGTCAAAATGTTTCCATGAATATGTCTGTGCCACAAATGAGAACACCATAAAAAACCTTTGAAGAGTTGATAAAGAATCAGTAAAATCTCCCTCCAGGTGATTTTGACAGGTATTTTCTAACCATTCCTTGTAAAGTAAACATATTATCGATCGTTGAGTAATTTTCGTCTAAATCCAGCTTGGTTTTCATGTAGAATGTGAACCATGCTTGTCACAGGAATCGACCCACAAAATCAGGTGGTCAGGCTCGCTGGTTGGCTGATGCCTGTCATCGTATCCCAACTGTGTAGATGGATGCTCACTGCCAATCACTGGATTGGCTGTTCTAGCCTCAATTATTTACAGACCGCCATCACATAGCTGTCATATTGCTGAGGGAGGCTTTAAGAAACGAACAACAGCCGTTTGATCACCATAACATCTGTTAGACTGTTTAAATGAAATGTGTATATTAAGACCATAAAACCAAAGTTGGCAAAGTGTTTTTTTGTGTAAGAAAGAACTATCTTTCTTGTAACTTTAGATGTGAGTGGGCAATGCCTTACTTATATTTTCTAATACTTCCTTCAGAGTTACATGTTAGTCATATTACAAATAGAATGGTCAAAGTCCGATTGAGATGTTGCTTGATGGTGCAGGTAGACCTGGGGTGAAGATGCAAGGGCATCACGCCTGGCACCATGTGGTTATGATCACATGCGCAGTGCAAGCAGTTCTCTACAGACACTCTTCATGAGCTAGATCCACTCTCTTTCATGAGTACATCTCTCCAATTATGGAAGGTCTCTTCAGGATGAACATCTGCTGGTAGCACCTTTGCCCACTGGGCAAAGCCTAAAGTTTGCAAAGAACCTCCAAAATGAACATATGGATGCTTCGTTTTATCAAAGTAATGCTTATTGTGACAACATTTTGTACAGTTTTAGCATTTTTATTTGTGTTCACACAATAGGTGAGTATGTGAGTTGGGTTTAACTCCGCTTTAAACATTATTCCAGTTATATCACGGTGTGTTCGCTTCATGTGGGAAGAAAGCCCGAATTGATGCAGGTCTCAGACTTTTATCACTTCGGTGAAACCCATGAGCATGGGTATGATGCTGACAAACCAAGAAACATAATCGGGTCGAACCGGGATTCGAAACCACAATCATAGGTTTCTGGCAGGCTCAAGGGATGCAAAGCTGCACAGTGAATCGCGGCGCCAAGACCACTGGGCCACCTGTGCCCCCCACACAATAGGTACCACTTTAATGAAATAATATCTAGAATTCTGATGTTATAAATTTCAGAGAAGTTATTTGTACTTTAAAACTTACTTCCAAAACAAATTGATTTAAGTTGAACGATTAACGAGACTTATTAATGAGTGATTTCGGTAATTTGTTGCAAATTAGGTGTGTCGGAGACGAGTGTGGGACTGTCGGATTAACAGGTCTAATTAGCACTGATTTAATCGGTTAATAAATTCGATTGTTGATTGTCGGATTAATGAGTGTCGGATTAACGAGACTTGACTGTACTTTGTTTTAGAATCTGTTACAGAAGAAATAAAAAAAGCCTAGCTCTCTTTCCTCCAAAATAAACGTTGAACAGCTAACAAACCAGTTGTAATTGTGTTTCAGCTAGATAATGAGTTGTGTAAAGAACAAAGTAATTCTGCTTCAAACAGATTTATTGAGAATATCAACAATGGCACATCAACATGCAATGTCTTCATCGAGGGTGTCTGGATATGTTCAGTAGTTAATAACCACATAGTCTTTTAGGAAATCAGATGATTGCAAGTTAACCAGGCTTCAAAAAAGAAATTGATATAAAGAATTCTTGGGGTACAGTATTGTCAAATGATGCTGAAAATTACCAGCACAGTAAAACTGGGGTAGACACTATGAACTGGATCCAACTAGTCCTCAATTCATTTCACAGTTGTTGTTTAATTAACATTACATCACTAGTCCTTATAACTTTTCACAAGTATCCAACCAGCTGACCAGCGGCTGTGTCAAACCCTGTAGACAAAAATGTTTAATAAAAATGTAATGTTTATAAATATTGAGTTAAATATACTGATAATGTAATGTTTCCAAAGAATACACTGTAAGGAGACATCAGCATAGTGTCAGTTCATCAATCACAGATGATTATCAAAAAGGAAAAATAATAAATATCATAAGCCAGATTCTTCATTACAAACCTTATACTCAGTGTTTTCCTTACATATATAAATGTGTGTGAATGGTTTCATTTTGTTCAATTGATGCAGTTTACCAGGAGACTTGCTCAGTACCATGAGGTCATCAGACATTACATGATCCCCCTACTGGTACATGCATTATGATTGCCATGACAATGATCAACACTACACATAATAACCATCATCAGCTCATCACAAATATTGCCCATAATGTTTATAGAATGATACATTGTTGTCCATTTCAGTGTGCTAGACACCATATAGATTCATAATCAAAGCACGTCGCAGGTGGTCAACCCAGTCAATGGATCAGTGTGCACACAAATTTCTTTCTCAGATCCCTTGGGAAGCCCATGTGTCCAGTCAGGACAGGTATGCAAAAGGAACAACTTTTCTTGCATCACAAATCTGACTTGTTTCTATATTTTTGACACTACTTCAGCTTGCAAACATCAACTAAGTCGAATCTCTAACAAGGAGAATGACTGGACATGTTCTACTGGACCTCCAAGGTAGTTTGGCAAACTGAAGAATGATGAACCCAACAAAAACTGGATATATTAACAGTAATATTTACATTCAGTTCAGGAAGTTTGGTCTCATTGTGTACATATATTTATTTGTGTCACACAGTAATGTACAGTAGCATATATACATGATATACAACATCAACAATTTACACAAGTTGTCTGATCCAGAGATCCCTAAAAACCTACAGCCAAAACAATCAACGGGTATACAATAGATAACAGTCTAACAGAATAACATAAACATGTACTAAAATGCTTTAGAAATGGAACACAAGATTTCAATGACATTTGGTTCCTTTTTATCAAGTCAGTGAAATACTGGTCAAACAGTACATTACAAACAGCCTTGTCATTGGAAATCTAATACCTGCCAATGTGGAGACAATGCTGTCATGGAGAAGTCCATACTATGGCAGGGGAGTCCAAGAATGGGTTTCATACACTGTTCCCATGTGAGGAATCAAACCCAGGTCTTGGCATGACTAGAAACCCTTAGGCTACTCCACTGATAGATTTACTGGGATGATATTCTATAAACTAATGTTGTTTTATCATAACAAAATCACTTGACAAAAAAACACCTGTCCCTATGTCTTCTTAATGGAGCTTCACATTACATCTTCACAATTCCTCAATGTTCAAAGTGTTATCATTGGTATCTCTAGGCACATGAAATATCACATTTTAGTACATGTTTAATAATAGACGCTGTCATTAAAGAAGAAACAATATTGGCATGTACCATGCACAGAGAAAAAAACAGCTGCAAAGGACAATCTAAATAATACCTATGACAAATATCTTAATGTTCCAGTTCACAATGTGAATGTAAACATATATAAAATGTGCAATGAGGAGTACATATATATACTTCCAGTCTTTCCATGTCACTTTCGTCACCTTCATAACAATACAACTTTTATAAACTTTCAATTTGAATTTTTCCGACTGCCATTACAGACAGCATCAGAGTTGTTCCGAGCTAGGTCCAGTGATCTAGTTGGTTTTCTTTGATGCCTCGTCATATGAGGGGGGAGGGTCCGAGGGCATGTAGACATTGTGAGGATTGGCTGGGCTGTAGTAGGCACTGCCAGCCGCCTCCCGGGCCTTCGCATCTGCAACAAAAACACAAGACATTAGTCACTAGGATACTTCACATCATTAGTTAAATTTGTAACTGGTTCATCTTGCCATAATTTGTTAATGTGACGTTGACATGATCTATACAGCCTTAAAATGGATAAGAGGCTGGTCACATGACCATGAAACAAACTTTAAACAAGCAAACCAAACCACAACACAATTAATAACCAGCAGTCTATCATACTGTTAAATGTTTCGGACCTTCCTGTTATTATAGAATGAATATAGTGCTCCAACTGACCACCCAGAACAACTGACACTCTTGTTACTTAACTGAAGGAAACCTCTATTACAGTTTATAGTGTACACAGTCACAGTGACTCACTACACACACACAACAGCATGTTATACATACCATGGCCGTTAGCCTGAGGTGGGGGGTAGGGCGGAGCGTTGGGATCCACTCCAGGGTACGGTGGGGGAGCTTCCGACATGTACACACCATCCTCTGTAGTCACAAACCAAGGATGGAATAATCAGTCAAGTAATATCTCCTTTACATCAATCATAATCAGCATGGTCAGAGCTAACAACAGTAACAGGTATTTGTAAAAGAATTTGAATCATCATCATCATCATCATCATCATTTGTTTTTTGTTTAACACCACACTCAGCAATATTCCAGCAGTCTGTAAATAATTGATCCTGGACCAGACAATCCAGTGATTGACATCATGACCATTGATTTACACAGTTGGGATATGATGACATGCACCAACCAAGTCATCAAGCCTGACCACCTGATCCCATAAGCCGTCTCTTACAACAAACATGGGTTGCTTAGAGAACAACTATACCCTGGATCTTCACAGGCTACATGAAATGTCAAGTACCACCATAGTATTATCAACAGATTTTCAATGTCATAGAATAACATAAGGTAGCATTTACATATTGTCTAGTCAAACGCGCATGTCAAATACAGAAAGTCAGCGACTATTGTGACTCTTGTTATTTAGAGAGTAAGTTTGGGGTTACGCCTCTTAAAGACAAAATTCCGGGAAAACAAAAACCTCACATGTGGAGAAAAGAATCAAGGCCTTGGTATGACGAGGCAGTACTTTAACGGCTTGGCTACCCCAATGCTTCTTGACAATGAGACAATAATCTCGCACAAAAGCATAACAGTTTACTGGTAAATTTACAAATATTGCTAATTAAATACTGACTGGAAGAATTATGTCCCTTGTAATATTAGAGCTTGGGTCTCTATAGTTCTGCATTAAAATGTGAATAATCACTGGGTAATTGGATTTTTCATTTCTGTACGTATAAATCTTATTTGAGGAATGTGAATCTCACAAATACCAAATATCCCCCTCATAGTATTATGTACATAAAATGATAACAACATTTCACTTCAGTAACAGTGCCTGTAGAGCAGTGAGCAGTACTTACGTGGTGGAGCTGTTGGGAATGTTTGATATGGGACCCAGTCATAGTGTGGTGTGTGGGGCGGGGCATAGGCTGGGGGCGGGGCCTGGTACACATTGCCCATGGGTGGAGTGTAGGGTGGTGGCTGAGGTGGCCTATTACGTGAGGCTGAAACAAATTTAATCCCAATACTATAAAATCTAAAATATGCAATGCAACAAAAAATAAAAAATTTAACACAATTTCATAATTTCAGGGGACATATTTTAATACAGTGTTGAACATAATTACTAGGATGCTTGGCTGTTTTCTGGATAAACAAAATTCATCACAGTATAATATAGGTACATGAGTTACAAAATGAGTCTTCAGGATATCAAAAACATAGTGTCATTTAAATTTCAGTATAGGCGTCCCAACATGCCCAATGCATGGTAACACAGACTTGTCAGTAGTTAATAATCTTAATAATGTTTTTAAATCTGCAAACCATTTGCGACAAAACCTAAAACAGAAGACATGTAATGAAGAAAAGAACACCAACCCAGCTGCCCAGCTTTCATCATGGCTTGACCAAACTCTATTGCTCCACCATGAGTGAAGTACATCTTGTACCTGGCTTCACCTGTCCAGTTGCCTGCAAGTACAACACCATGTGAATAAATCTAGTGAACATGTGGAACATGTGGAAACACTGAACAATTTATAACTCATGCAACCTTCTCTTAACTATTATCTTCCATATCTGTTGGCAATTTTTTTTCCTTTTAAGTGGCATCTGTCATTTTCAACAAGTTACATTTAGAGTTATCTCCCTTCCTCTGGTACTTAAGACCATGTATAACCAATCTCATTAAAATCAGACCTTAGTTCTTGATACCGTAAACAAAGATCTGATGACATCCCATTATGGGTCACAAGAAGTCGACATTAGCCAGTCAGAAGGCAGCTTTTTCGGCTTTGCGGCACTAGTTTCAAAACATATTTTGACAAATTCTGATTAAAAATTTTGAAAACTGAACAAAAGAACATTCTGGAATGGCTAATAGATGGCCAAGTTTGTATGGATTCAGTCATAAAGCCTGTAAATACCCTGTGTTGCATTTTTCCCAGTTGCATGATTAGAAAACACATTTCATGATCTGGTAAGTGACGCTCTGATTAGTTGGATGAAAGGTCTTCTGACGTGACCCGTAATGGGATGTCTTCAAATCAGTGTTTAGCGGTAGCAAGAACTAAGATCTGATCTTAATGAGATTAATGACATGCAATCAGCCCAGTCAGCGAGTGACCACCTGATCCTTAAGTCGCCTGACAAGCATTGGTTGCTAGGACCAGTTCTAACCCGGAATCCTCACGGGATGTGGAAAGTCAAAGGAACTCTTATGATTGTGCTAGGGAGCATTCTTCCTTTGGCAATATCCTGCAATAGTTGCATAACTATTGCAACAGTATGATGAGATTACTCTCCTTCCCATGATGTAGACTCACTTGTATTATTAACATTATTCAGCAGCAAAAGTTGTAAGGGTATTTAAGGGTGGTACCTATGATTATTGTCTGAGATAAACAGGTGAACATATTCTCAATGGCTACTCACACATCTCTTCAATCTTCAAACAAGGGACATTAGTTACAAGGATATTGCAAACGGCAATGATAAACAGTACTGTATTTCCTTTCTCATGTCTATCATCACCATTGATACTATAATCTATTGATATTTGAACCTGTCATCCATATATTACCATCAGTCATGGTCGGATGCAATGCATTGATTGTTCCATCATTTGTACCCCCTAGAATCGGCCTACCTCCCTGCTCGGCCAGGATCCGCCCCTTGATGTAGTTGGCGCCAAAGATGGGTTGTTCCAGCTCCAGGTCTCGCATGTTCAAGAAGGGCATGCTGAAGGACTGCATCTGGTCTTTTGGGTCAGTGCAGTTGAAAATCACCTGTCACAAGACAGACATTATTATCACATCTCCCACTACATCCTAAATTAAAGCGTCCTGATGAATTTCTAATATTTACAGCAACTAAATCATATTTGATTTATGTTTCATACATGTTAAGACCTGACAAGTTTATATAAATTACAAAGGGATTTTAAACCGATTATGACGATATTAAGATGAAACCTGTAAAAAATTCTCTTTCCTTACCAAAATGCCACATGCTACAAAGCTGCAAACATTGCTCTTAAAACAAACAATGCTTTGTTTGATACAAACTTGATAATTAACAGGCTACCATCAGAAACTGGAATACTGCAGAGTGTGGTATAACAACAAACAAAACAAACATTGTGCAGAGACTCTGATACAATAATTCAAATGTCTGATGTGTACACAGCAGACTCAGCACAGCCTTCATCCTTGCCCAGGGGCGGTCGGGTAGCCTAGTGGTAAAAGCGTTTGCTTGTCATGCCGAAGACCCGGGTTCGATTCCCGACATGGGTACAATGTGTGAAGCCCATTTCTGGTGTCCCCTGCCATGATATTGCTAAAAGCAGCGTAAAACCATACTCACTCACTCATCCTTGCCCAACACTATTTACACCACAACCCATGATGTCGGTCATAATAAATATGTACACAAAAACTACACAGGAATATATTAATAGTGCAAAGATCCTTTTCAAAGGTCAACATTACGACTTTAGAAACTTTGAAAAAGAAAAGATTTAGAACCTTACCCTATGAGTAGTCAGGTAGACACTCCCTTTCTTCTTCCCCTTAAAGTGAGGCATCCCATTGGGACCATCATAGGACATTTCAATCCCATCATAATAGATGAGGATTCTGAAAACAGGCAGAAAGCAATGTTAATAAATTTAAACTTTTAAGTAATCCTGCTCTTCCTTTCAAACCAATGGTAATACTGATGATAGTGTCTACCAAATTTTCAATTGTTACAATATGATACGAGTCAATACTTCTTGTGATTTGTATCCACAGAGATTAGAAAGCCCCTTAGGTGTTGACGATGAATGAACCCTTGCTGAAATGATCATTACACTTATTATTGTAAACATGGTCGAAGAAATAATTGTTTTTGAAGATATATTTAATATTTTGATGATGTTGAGAGGGTAAGTCTCAACTAAATCCAACTTGGCAACAACTGTCTGTGACATAACATTACTCATGTTACAACTATTACCAGCTACAGTTTGGGAGAATCCTAGAGATTTTCACCAACCTCAGACAATATAAGTTGCAGCAGTATCACAAGGGTATATATGTGGTTCAATGTATTCTTTCTTAGGGTTTATACGAGCCGTAGGATGAAGAGAACTATGGCCACACAAAATGTCAAAAAGGGACACAAACAAAGGTTGGCGACATTATAAGTATATTAGTAAACATTTTGCGTGTATTATATCTTTATTCATTTCATAACAACTATCATTAACAGTAGGCACGCATCAGCATCACAAAGCACATCTTCTCTTGAGCAGCACTATCAGAGTTTGTTTCAGTTGTCTGATTTCATGTTAGGTGAACTGATGAACAGAAAGTCAGCTGGACTGAGGTTTCCACCCTTGAGCTTGCTGAGAACAGGTGGCTGTCTTCAATTAAGGGTTGACTGGGTATTCTTTTCGGTTCATTGAGGTATGAATCGAAACACCGATGTGCCAACAAAAGTTTGCAATCAACGGAGAGTAGGATCAAAACAATGTTCATTGGACCTGTCAATTAAGGCAAGAGGCGAAGAGAACTGCAACAGTCAGACTGTAATGAACCAGAAGAAATATGTCCGGGAGAAGGCAGCTGTTTCAAATAAAATGGTCAGTTACCGCCAGATTCAAACATTACTTCCTTGGTTACAGTAACACAGTAGGAAAAATGCTAGTCAGAAATGAAACCCGAAGACATGAAAGTTGAACCGAGGCGAGCGGGAAAAAACAGGCGAGCGAGCCTGCACATTTACTGTTTCATTCATTCTCGGCCTTCGGTTTCAAAGGGTAGTTTAGACAATGAATATGCATGAAAGTCGCTAAATGTCCTGTGCATGATGATACACGTGAGCAGAAAGGGGATTCCCTTGACTGTAATATTGGGATTCCCCGACATTCCGCAGTAATAAAAGTAGTGCGCCTCGGTGGGCGTGGCATATTTTTTTTACAGTCATTGGGAAATGAATGCAATAACACGTGACCAATTCAGCTAATCAGAAGGAAGGAATTTCAATGAAGATAACGAAAATTTAATTACGTATTGTAGCACCTTGCCCTTGTGCAGACGTCTCACTGGCAAAGTAACTTGGGAGGCTTCCTTGAACAGGGCTGGCTAAAACTTTAAAAATCTAAGTCATCGTTCCTTGTTGTGACTGTTGATGCCTGTTCGAACCTCCACTTTCCATGCCAATCTTAACGAGCCTACTTTCCTGGAAAAATCTGGTGTCCTCCCATCTGTCTGTCATCCCGCTTGTCAGAGAGTTTTAGTAATGGTTCACTAATTACTAATGCCTGTTACCAATGGTTGAGAGGACTCAGCCCTTTTAGCACTCATTTGTCAGACAGTGAGGAGTAAAAACAGAATAATACAAACTGTTACTCATATGTTTATTTATAGTACTAACAATACAAATGACATGAGTCATAAAAATCAATATCAACACTAAAATTATAAATTTTCAAAAGTAATTACCGTATTCGACATATGCGCCCACGGCGATATTTTCTTATATATTGGCTAGTGAACAATCCCAATTAGCACCCCTTCCGATTGATCAATGGACATAAGACTTATTTATTCACGTATAATATGCACTCTGTGTTACATGCACCCTTAATTATGGGCAATTAAATTCTGGAAAAATATATCTGTCATATATAAACATTTCATGCTGTCAGCATAAACCACGAAATTTATCTTTCAACTCTGTTTTTTTCACCAAAATAATATTTTAATAAGAGCCCCTTATTTCTAATGTTGAGAGCGCCCTGGGCGCATATTACGTCGAATATGGTAACATTAAATGCAACACTAGCATGACTAGCGAATAAATACTCCACATTTGTTCATCACAAAACTTATCATAAAACCTGGTACCAACTGGTATGAATAAATTCTGTGCCCTGTTTGTTATCAATATTGGCATTTGTAGTCAGCAGCCAGAAGGAAGATGTTGATACTCTGAATGTAAAACATTTGAGATATCGCTTAATATTTTGTCTCTTCCCTGCTTGCAAGTTGTTTTTTCATGTCTTGTGTTTACGTGACATAACATATGTGACTCGTTGCAATCCTGCCATCTTTATGCAATGCACGAGTTCATATCTTGAATGGTAAGAACTCAATATAAATAGGTAAATTATTCTTTTGTTAAATTCTTAATTAGGAGTGAGTGAGTTGGGTTTAACGCCGCTTTTAACAGTATTCCAGTTATATCGCGGCGAGTCAGCTTAATGTGGGAGGAAAGCCCGAACTGATGCAGGTCTCAGACGTTTACCACTTCGGTGAAACCCACGAGCACGGGTATGGTGCTGACAAACCTAGAAACATAATTGGGGCGAACCGGGATTCGAACCCACAATCATAGGTTTCTGGCGTGCCCAAGGGACGCAACTCTGCACGGCGAATCGCGGCGCCTTAGACGACTGGGCCACCCGTGCTCCCTCTTAATTAGGAAGTCTCAAATGTATGGAAGCAAGTTAGTGCCAAAGTCTAAAAAAGAGAGTATCATCTACATAGAGGATACTTACATCTATGTACATGATGTAGATGATACTATAATCTACGTAGATGATACTATAATCTATGTAGATGATAATGCTCACATCTATGTGAGGATACTTTCAACTACGTACATAATATGATTATCTATTTAGAAGAAAGTATCATCTATTATCAACTTAGGTAAGAATATTTTATATTATGGACACTTGTTCCGGGTCAGTTATATATAACCTCTGGAATAATTAATATGACCGATTTGTTTGACTTTCTGCCTTGACATTTCTTTATTGAGGTACTATCTAAGCAGTACATGAAGTTAATCTTCATTTCAATGTGTCGAAGTCACTGGAGAATGCCACATGCCACAGTCTTACAAGTTACAACCATAATATAAAGAGGAGAGCACAAAATGTTCTCCAAACTACAAACAAACAAACAATTATAGGTCATTATACAATATTTTATCAAAATTACATAACATCATAAGATCGTTAAACATGTTAAAGCCGGAGAAATCACGCAAATATGTTGATTCTCATGATTTCTCCATTATGGAAATTAGGTTTAAGAGGTAAAACATGAATATGAAGGGTGAGAATCACTCAAACTATAAAAACTATATCAAACCCTCGTCATCATCCTATGAAGCAGTGAAGGTACAATTCTGCAGTTTGTGTTTTTATTTAAGCTCTGACGTTTGACAATTTGAAATGATCTCAATGTGTTGTAAAAATACGGAAAAGGCCAAATGAAAATAAACAACCAACATTTAATTAAATTAACAGTAATTAAGTAGTCAACTTTATTTAAAATATAGATGTTTGTATAAACTAGTATCCAGTTAGGGACTTCACAGGACAGTATAATATTACTGTCTGAGTTACGATCTGTATGATCATAATATCACATAAGGAGATCAAAGTACTGTATCATCTACATAGATGTAAGTATCATCTATGTAAATGTAAGTATTATCTACGTAGATGTAAGTATCATCTATGTAAATGTAAGTATTATCTACGTAGATGTAAGTATCATCTATGTAAATGTAAGTATTGTCTACATGGATGTAAGTATCATCTGTGTAAATGTAAGTATTATCTACATAGATGTAAGTATCATCTATGTAAATGTAAGTATTATCTACATAGATGATAAAAATATTTTAGACTGGCACAAATACGTTTCCATACAAATGTAGGTGTGAAATTGCTCAAAAATGAATAGGTAAGAAGCTTGTTAAAACTCAAATATTTTTTACTTTGCGTCTTACGACTCATCAGATACAAGTGTCCATTATACACCTCAATTCCTTTTCTCGAGATCTTGTAGTTACTCTGTTCCTTTAATCCCTTTCTCACTGGTCAGTAATCCTAATTAGTAGTAGTTTTAATCAGCCTAGCTAGACTGGACTAGCCCATTACAGCAACACATGAGCCCACTTACCATTTTTAGTTAAGTGTCTAACAACTGGCTGCCTAACACATGGTATGTCTGACAGTGACAGATATGGTGGAACTAAAAACTAGCACTATTTAGGCTTAATATTTACGCTTTTTTTTAGGTGGCCATTTTGACTCTTTGGTGTGGCTGTTTTGACTTGGGTTTGTGGACCTTTGGACTATTTGATGTGGACCCTTTGACTAGGGTGTCTACGGTCTATGGCTCAGATGTGTGGCTCTTTTTACCTGTTCCCGAGCCAAGTTCACTTGTGAGAAGTCATTTTGACTGTAATAACACAAAATAATACGTGTTTATAACTGGCATTCTCATGATTCTGTATCATTCACTTTGGAGTCCCAATGTGAAGGCGATACAGACACTAGATTCAACTCGCGTGGTGATGACTTGTCAACAACATCTGTCACTGAATACGAACAGGAACTGCGATTTTTCTAGATAGATATCTGATCAAGTATGGTGTTAGCCTAATTACAAGCAGTTTACTAATCCTCTAATAATCTGGTTATAGCAATGTATATTCAGAGACACATTCTAAAAACTAGAAACGTGTTGACGTTTGAAATGTTACCTTTCCCCAGCAAATATAAGCACTCCGCCGTGAGCATGAGCAGTGTTGAGCGACATTTTGTTATCCAAACTGTCTATTATTGCGTAAAAACAAACGTGACGTCATCAAATCCTGCGTTTTATCCTCAAACCACAACGCGCACCTGCAAAACAAAAATTAAATGTGGGTTTAAAATCAACGTAATGTTGACATTATTCACTGAATATATTTGATAGTGTGTTATTTCAGTTATATTAAGTTCAGCATATTTGTCATCGTGAGTCGTTTGTCTTGATTTCCCCATATACACCCAACCTATATTATGTTTCGTGCTGCGTTCACTGACAGGTGGCGTTGCGAAAATGTTTACAAGATGGTGGCAAGGAAAATTAGCACACGAGAATCGCTGAGTGAAACCGGGCATTAGCAGAGTAAGTTCTGTTGCTCCATTGATCTTTTTTTCATATCGTTTGTTCCAAGGGGCATGTTGCATGGTGATTTGTCATGGATGGTCGACGAGAAATGGGAAAAAATAAATAGATTCTAGAACTAGGCCAAATGAAATGTTATAAAACATCCCTCTGCTTTGGCCTCTGTCTATTCGTTGTTGACACACATGAATCATCAATGGGATGGAGACATATATGTTTCGAGGTATCTCGATCGAGTTCGGAAATGCTATGCATATATTATGAATCAGTTGAAATATTAATTTCTATTAATGTTCTCTTCTTGACCTTGCTTTGCAACTAACAACATGGTTTCCGAAACGTATTCAAAGAAAAGTCCTTTTTATTGAAATTTGTCAACAATATGCCCATTTTGTTCCATGACATTTTGTTGTTATGTGATTTTGAATAGACACATTATGATATATCTAACTCTAAACACAAAGATTGGTCTAGATCTGCACAAAGGCTGATATTCGGCCCCAAGTATGCACCAAATGTCAGTACATTTCCCAATTAATGTTAATATAGTTTTAACTAGGCCTAATGGTATGGCTTTGCAGAGGAACTTGTATGTTACTGAGAACAGGGCCAATAAAATGGAAGAGACAGTAATGCTAAGTTTTACATTGTTGCACTGTTAAGATACGGCCAAAATTAGGAACATGAGAACTTTAGAAGAAATTCCAATTTTGAACATTGTATGGCAGTGTATGCATTGGTTTACTTGAAGCCGATGTACCTAGGTACATCTTGTTACCCCAAATGGCATGATTTAGTGATATGAAAGAATCAGGTGTTCTTTAACTTCTTTAGAGCAGTATGCTTCAATTGGCATTATGACTTTTAAAATTTATTTTCAGAATTTACATTCTTGATGATGAGGTCTACCTAGAAAGCTGAGAAGATTTGTTTGGAAATAATTCTGCCTCAAGACTTCATCTACTCCAGTTGTAGATACATACAGTGATTAATCAAAATGGCAGGCGAGGAAAGCATACAATCTTCACCTGTATCTCCAAGACCTCAAGCCAGGTCCTATCGAGCTTATGTTGAACAACAGAGGGTGTTAGCCCTGAAACGAGAGGATCCTGATGGACCTAAGTTGTGGCGGCAGATGGTGATAGGATTCATCTGTGCTGCTTGTGTTGGCTTCATTATGTTCATTCTTGGAAGTATCTTCATATCAGAAGCCATTTCCTTGAAGTATTCTGCAACAATCATGTTGTGTGTCATGGGCATGGGTATGTATGTTCAGCGTTGATTCTGTGTGAAAGCCTTTTGCCTTTTTGAACTTCAACCCACTCAACCCACAGGACGTTAACTTCCATTTCAATTTAACAATAGGACTGGACCATTCCATGTTTTCTTGCCTTAAATATTTAGAAGCCATTTCTTCCACACTCACTCATTTACAACAGTTGGCCTTGTCAAAAACAGGAACATCATTCGTTTCATGTTTCCTACATAGTCTACCCCTATTCCCTGACCCCTGATGATGTAGGTTAGAATTGGTCTTCATCAACCCATACTTGTTGTAGGAGGCGACTAATGGGATGGGTGACTCCATGACTTGGCTGATTCATGTCAACATGTTGCAATTGAATAGATCGGTGCACATGATGTCAATCACTGGATTGTCTTGTCTTGACTTGACGTGATTATTTACAGACCGCCATCGTATAACTGGAATAATGCTGAGGGCATCATTGAACAACAGACAAACATCTAATGTTGTTCTTTTACCCATACATGTCATCGGCGCTATATTTAGTAAATGTATTCTCAGCAACCTGAAGACAATGATACAGTCCAGACTAATTTTGCTCTTTGTGTTTGGTTTAAACATTACAAAAGTATAAATAGAAACATTGTTCAAAATTAAGCATAAAAGTTGATGGTCAAGGGGTCTTTGTCGAAACCTGTGGTCCCTTGAGTCCAATTATATACTGATACAGAAAATTTAGGACCCCTACAATTTAAAACAATCCATAGATATATCATGTATATGAAGCTGTTGTGTTAGACTGAAAAAAACATATTTTGACTTGTTTGGGTCGTGTTCTTGTTTCGCTTTTATTATGTTTGTTTCAAGAGCTCTCTTTACAAATGTAAACAATTTAGGTAGTCAGAACCACCTTAGCTTGATCATAGCTGTCATTCACTTTTTCAAGTAAACAATCAGTAAACTGGTTAACACTATTTGTAGTTGTAGTAGGTGCAGAAGATCAAGTTATACGATATTCTTGCATATCATGATTAAGTTCTCTTAATGTCTAATAGGTGATATATAAAATCATGAAAATGTCCAAATTACGTATTTCATCTGCAAAATCACTGAAACTGGATAAACAAAATAATGATGGTTACCATGGTGATAATTTGGAATCTAATTTCACCTCTGTCAGGTGTGTATTTCTAAATTTTTCATTTGATTTCACAATTCCACACTTTATGTAATTGATATAAAACATGACAACAACTTCATAGAAACATGTCTAGGTGTTAAAAATATTTAAAACAATAATGTTGAGCAATTGTTTTCCATGTATTCAAAATAATAATTATGCTAAAATGAGACATATCAAATGTTTCCTTTATTGTATTTGATGTTTAAATAGGAAGTTTTAAGTCTAGATTTTTATTTCAGTTTGTGGTTTGATAATTGTCGTTGGTACAATTATCCTGGGCAAGTTGTTTATATCAAGAAAGTGGAGGAAGTCTCAAGGGAGGGAACTCCAGCATCCTCCAGCTGCTTGCTTTCATACATGTTCAGGTAGACAAAACTTTCTACATGATTTGCTTTCTTGTCAAATGATGAACATGATGAAACACCTAGTTTTACCTGCATGTTGCATGATATTGACATGGCATATACTAGTACTTAACATTTGCTAAGAACCAAAATTATCTTTAATCAGAGGTGTGATCCTCAGCAAATGCTAAGTAGTATATATGATAATGAAAATTATACTTTTGACAATTTTAAAGTTTCAACCATAGTTTAATGTGTTAACATTTTTTTTGGTTTGAGTGCAGAGATATATCGACCATGACAGCATCATGTGCACTGAAAAACATTTGAGACTGGCCATTGATTATAGGGAGGTGTTTGTATGAAAAAATGACACAGTTCTATTTTCTCAAATAAAAAAGTTCTAAAATTCTGGTTCACTATTTTGGGACTAGCTATTTATTATAGGGAGGGGAGGATCATGAAAAAAATGTTTCAAAATATGATACAGTCCGAAGTCCAGTGTACCCCAACCCCCCAAAATAAATGACAGGTCCCTCATTGCTAAGCTTTTTGTTTCACCATTTAACAACATATCCCAGTGATACTTACCGATAAGTAGTTGTGATTACATTAACATCTTAGGAGTTTTATCGATCCACAGACTGTAAAATCAAGAAGGTAGAAAAATTAAACAATTCCAGAGCTATAGATAAGCTTTTAGTCATTTGGGTTTGATTTTGATTGGGTATCCACAAGTTGTAGAGGGTATTCAAATTGTTTTTACCCACCTGTTTCTTGGCATTTGGGTATTTAACTTAAAACCTGTTTTGTAACAATCCCTGTAAATCATTTAAAACTATGTGAATAGTAGTATACCCGTTTGCGTCTGCTTATGGCTCCCTCTGTGGAAAACCTTTTTTTTTTACAAAACCTAGCATTGTAAGAAATACACTATTGTCTTAATTACCAATCAGCGACTAATTAAGATACAACATGTACATTGACTAGGCACGATGTGCTTTTCAATTGGCATCTATCAGTGTTTGTCGCAGAAGCTTTTCGGAATGTAACTGTCGGTAAGTGAATTTGGCGATCACCTGATACACGATCATTTTATCTCACAGTTGTAATACATTTTATCTGATAGTTCTAATATACACATTAACTTTATTTCAATAGCGTATTTATAGATTTTGGTGCGTATTTGATATGCTAGAATTTGATTTGCATATTTCAGTTTATTTAATGCATATTTTACGCAAACATGCAGCTGATCTTGTGCTCTGCAATTCTCAATAAAAAGTTATTTTCTTATTGCCGAGTCTCATCAGTTTAATGTTGTTCATGACCCTCCCCCCCCTTATGAACATGATCAACTTGTCATGTTTGTTTCCCTTTGACCATAATAACTCCTTGAGCGTGATATCATTGTCAGTAATCTATCACTACAATTTCAGTTATCTACACCCCATCCCAAGATCAACTGACCCAGGTAGGGTGTGGTGAACCGCCTCCCGCTTACGACTCCCTTGTACTGATGCCCCTCCCTCCTGGTCACCCTCGAGTCATCTTGGACTCGGATGGAGGATCGGAATCTGACCCAACAATTATGGTCCTGCCTCCCAAGTACGATGACATAGCTGATCCCCTGCCGCCTTACATAGAGGACAGACCTTGATGATGGTCTGTTACGGAGCTGGGAGACATCACTGATCTGCTGAGATTTCATAGGGCCACTTGGAGAACCTATGTGTTTGTCCTTGTATTGCCACGGGTGGCCCAGTTGTCTAAGTTGCCGTGATTCGCTGTGCAGAGTTGTGTCCACTTGGGCCAGAAACCTATGATTGTGGGCTCTAATCCCGCTTCGCCCCGATTATGTTTCTAGGTTTTTCAGCACCAAACCCGTGTTGTGGGTTTCACTGAAGTGGTAAACGTCTAAGACCTGCATCACTTCAGGCTTTCCTCCCACATTAAGCTGAAACGCCGTGAAAAACTTGAATACTGTTAAAAGCGGCATTAAACCCAACTCACTCACTGTCCTGCTTTGCTGATTTGGCAGTGTTCAAATCCACATGTAGTCATAGTGTAGTGCAGTCTGTGTCTAATTTTTAACTTTTTTAGCCTGAACTTGTCTTTTGGCAAAATTCGAGTACATTTTACTCTTGATGCAGGAACACTTGTTAGATCATGTAGATGAGCTTACTGAACTGAAAGTGTTTATGAGACTCAGGCTCTCTACTATTTGATAATGGTAAACATGGTTTTGGGTTGTATGAATTTAAAATTAGAAAAAAAGTATGTTGTTTTGTAGCAATGTACATTTGGGTTTGTTTTTTTTGGAGGATACTTAACACACCGGTAGGGTAAATGTCTATTGATTATTGTGAGGACCTTTCGTTTTCAAAAGATCATTTCAGCATCCTGACACATATTTGTATTTTGGTAGTATCCTCTTTTGGATATAACTTATCTACTGTCTGTCAATGGACTTCTTATTTCAATTTCATGGGTAAAGTTAATCATATTAATGGATTTAACCCTTGTTAATGGACATGTGGAGGACAGCAGGACAAACAGTGGGGACAAACACCTGGTTCCTCCAAGTTTTCTGTTTTCCTGTATTTTCTTCACTGACTGTACAGACTTGTGATTCATTCATTATTGATTGTACTATGAGTCAACAAGAGGTAGGTCGTGTTTGTGTGGACTGCAAATCAATGAATACTGTAATGAAGTCTTTTGTACATTTATGCATTATGTTTATGAGTTTGATGCATCAACACAAAATTATTTTGGGTTTGGTTCAGCTTTAATATCACAATATCAGAGTGAGCTTTTGGCGTTGGTTTGTCTGTTCACAACTCTCATACCATTTGATTGGTCTTCATTCCACAATATTATTCTCTTGAAGAAGTGCGAAGGACTCCAGATTAAAAACAATGGGCCACTATCTATGGTCCAAATGGTTACTCGATATGTCATGTTATTCCATCTGGTTTCTGTAGTATATTAAAGTGTTGAAATATACACTAAGCTTGAGAATAAGCAGAACTAAAAATCTTTTTTATTTTTTAACCATTTATCTATTTTACACCTGGTTTGCAGGATGTAATTGATCTGTTTGAAATTAACTCAGTATGTGTCACTGTATCAGGAAACACAGGTGTCTCCATTGTCTAAGGGGGCAGGTAAGGTAGCCAAGTGGTTAAAGCGTTGGCTCTTCACGCCGAAGACCCGGGTTCGATTCCTGACATGGGTACAATGTGTGAATCCCATTTCTGGTGTCCCCCGCCGTGATATTGTTGGAATATTGCTAAAAAACGGCGTAAAACGATACTCACCCATAAGGACGAATATCAATGTGCTTGTCGTGGTGTGTGTTCAAATCCAAAACTGGTGTGCTTGGGCCATCGGGAAGTTACCCACGATCCTGGTAATGTGTACAACCTGTATGCTTTGAGCTGACGCCCACCTGATACTGAAAGAGCATCATTAAAAATAATTTCCTTCACTGGTATCAGTACCACCTCAGCAAGGTGAAGTTTTGTACCTCAGTACTGTGTTACAATTACTGTGATCATATCAAATCATCATATACATGATATCAACTGTATTGACGTATTGTCAACATACTGCACAAGAATTCCCTACAAAGAAGGAACACAATCATTTGTTTCAGTAGTAGTAATCGGAACTACATTCCTGATTTTACGTCATTCGTGCTGTTATTGCCCAACTCGTGTTTATCGTCTCAGTGCTGAAGCATGGTAATTAGTGGCTTGTCATGAACGGTATTTGTTAATTTAGTCAGAATTTTGTAAATATTCACTAGTTAATATTTAAAATCCCACGCAATATTTTCTGATTGTTTCCACTGTTATGGGTGGTGATGGATGTTCTGTACACGTGGGGTGTATGTGCTGCTAAGAACCATGATAGGTTGGCTTGTTTGCTACATATTGTTTATGATGTGATATGATTTTTGTTATCTGTTGCTTCCTCTTAATCCAGAAGTGGGCCAAGTTTGAGTTATTGCTTGTATTATATGTATATATGGGGCTTTTTTATACACTTGATTTGGCTTACTGATCTTATCTGCATTTTGATGTTGGTAAATGCTGTTATCCTCTGGATGGTTTAAATATCAAATATGCTTTAGCATACTCTGATTATGTAATTATCTTGCCAATTTATATAAGTATCTGTTATTTATGTTGTGAGGATATAGACTTGTTAGACAATATCAGAAATTGCATGTGAGCCTGCAGTCAGTGTTGCATAATTATTTTCCAAACATTATCTTTATTCCCTTTTAGGTGTATAATAGTACAGGATTAGTAAAATGTTGTTGACAACAGCATCTTGAGAAGTGATACATGTGTACTAAATTATTTATTTTGCCTCACAAAAATATAAGTTTACTTCGCAAAAGAATATTGTATAGAACATGGATATTGTGTCCTAATCACTTTTGACATGACGATGAACTTATACATATCCTACTATTAGGATTATCATGATTAGTGAAATGTATTAAGAACATTTATGGTCTAAATGGTCACTTGTCCCTGTGCCTTGGACATACACTTTTATGATAGTTTTAAAACTTACCATCCATGACATTTGCCCCATGGCGTGGTGGTAGCTCCACTGTCAATGCATTAGCTTATCGTAGACAGATTGTGATTTAATCTGCTACATCACTTATTAACCTCTTTCTTGTGATAATACGGAAGAAATCCATTTTGTGGTTATTTTATCCCATGGCTATTTTTTTGTACTCTGTGCATATAATTTAGTTGGAAGATATGGATATGATCAGATCCATCTGAGTCAGGGTTGTCAGTCATATGGGTTTTCATGTTTTACCTCTTCTTACTGCTTGAAAGACTGAGCTGAAATATTTTGGCGTTCCTAACCATTACAGTCTGAAATGTTTCCAAGTTGTTTTTTATAAGACTACAAAGAGTACAATTATTGATTACTTAAGAAATATTTGAGCTCTTCCTCTACAAATCCCAAAGAAAGAATATTTAATTTGTGAATGCACAAGCTTGTTTCATTTTGTGTTTAGGATGAAATTGATCTGACGTTACCATGGGTAGGTCAGGATTAATTCTTGCAACTTCAAATTCGCTACCAAAAGTTCAAATATAGACAAAAAGTGTTGCTGGGGTACCTTCCATAATGAATACAACTTTTCGAGGAATTTCATATTTGGGATTCCAAAGTTACATGAGATTTTCACCTGGACAGTATATTTGACAAATTATGATTACCATCAAGAAAGCGTGTTTGTCCAAATGCTCTGCACCTATTTATCATCATTTCAATATAAATAATATAGTTTTGGCTGTCACCATTCTAATCTACATCAGCTTAAATAGTGAGCTTCAGTAAAGGAAATATATTTAAAGAAGGTTTTGTAATTAAATACCAGATAAGTAATAACTTTTAAATCCTTTTGATATTTGAGAATAACTTTGATGGTTTTTATAACAGCAGGAAAGGCAAACCCTCGTTTGTTCTATGTAAAATGTTTACAACTTCAAGTTTCACCACACCTCTGAAGGTTTTTCAGTTGTGATAAGATAAATTGATTTTAATTACTTCTCAGTAAGCATTTGTAAATAGGTGTATATATCATGTAAAGTAATTCACTTACATTGTACTGGTAATTATTTAGGCAATGTATTCATTTTTTATGTTAATGTATTATATACGTGGACTTTACATTAATGAATCAATGCATAACTATAACGATTATTTCATTTTGTATTTATGGTTATGTTCTTTTGTTTGTATAATGATACTTATATTGGGGAACTATAGAACAAACAGGTTCTCTTCTTTCAATCATTGTTAGATTTTACACAGTTTCCCAGCCAAATGTATTGACATTCTATATGAGGATGATCGATATGCACATTGTCAATCAAAAATTGTTAATTTCTTGAATTAAAAGCCTGAATTATTGATGGGTGAAAACTTAAAGGAGGGACTAGCCTCAAGTCGTTCATGTTTTAGTTTGTCTGCTAGTCTATATTATGTTATGCATATCATCATACCTTTCAGCTGACGATTGCCCTGATTATGCACAAAGAATGTCTCAAGTTAAAAAATGGCACTAATTACAACATCAAGAACAGGGTCCCATTCAACAAAGTCATCACAGTGCTATGATTGTTGAATGCCTTTGTTATAGTATAGGAGTTATGATCGTCTTAGTGCTAAGATTGCTTTTGGGGTTGGGACCCTGGACAGGAAATGGGTTGCGGCTGTGGAGCTAGTCCTTTAACATCAGATCTCTACTTGATAGATAGTTAGAGTATATACATGATTCATATTAACAAGGTGAGAAATTAACGCTAGCACAAATTCCTCGGGGCTTTTCCAAATTTACCCATTGTTTATTTATGGATGAACAACTTCTTTATTACAATTTAAGAGCGCCGTTTCAGTGTAGGTTCTAACACTGTTATCAAGCTCTTAAATTGTAATAAAGAAGTTGTTCATCCATAAATTCTTATCCTTACTTAGTGCTCCAACTTCTAAATGCCTATCAAAGAAGAAATTACAAAGGCAATTTATCTTTACCCGGGCTAGTCAAACTTTTGAGTTTAGTTCTAAGCCTGCATATACTCAAATATTATTCCTTTAGTAGATATTGGTTTCCACAGAGCAATAATCTTCAGAATGGCAAAATTGCCGATATGGCATAAAACAATTATCACACACTTGATGAAGGGCATTTCTGTTATTATTCCAGAGGTAGCATATGTAACAGGAACAATCATAACAAAGTCATTAACTTAGATAGTTTTTTTTATATGTTATTTTATTCAAACAGATTTTAACATTGATGACCTTACTGTTATTTGTATGTGTATTGGAGTTTTGAAAGCATGAATATGTTTATAGTATTCCCGATTGCCCTACTGTCATGTATAGAAATAGTTGTGTATTTTGAGATAGTTCCTTGTGTTTTATTCAAAATTGCATATAAGTTTCGTGGAAATGTTTCATGTTTTCGTTCAACTGTTTTATTAATGTTTGTGAATTTTGTACACAAATACGTTTTGTACAAGTGTTTTAAGTTTTGTAATTTATAAATATTTATTTCGTACTGATTGTGATCCAGTAATTTAAATTGTAGTGTTGATTCTGTCTTCGTCCTGTGTGCACTGAGCATAATAAAGAGTTCTGATTAAGGTCTATACATGGTTATGTAAACAATAAAATATTCTGAATTGTTACTATTTCTATTGATTCAGTTTTTAAATTGTAACTGCAATTCATTGAACAGTGTAAATATTTAGGTTATCATGTAAGAAATTACTTTTATTTGAAGTTTGTTTGAAAGGGTTTTGTTAGTTTGCATCATTCTTTAAATTGCATTTGTGTCTGAAGCTTGAGAAATATGTAATTCAGGTGTCAAATAATTATCCTAGAGGGATTGTTAATGAATGTATCTTCTGAGCTGACAACATTCAGTCTTTTACTTTGTCTTTCATTTCAGTTTAAACAAATGTGCTATGGTAATAAAGTATTTGACCTTTGTGTACATGGCATCTTTTGTATTTTTTACTGTTTCAGCAATATTGCTTGGGCAGGAAAGGAGGGTTGTGATTGGAGGAAAGATTATGTTAGTGAGTGTGTGAATGTTGTTCTATAGTTTCAGTCAACTACATGGTCGCTACAGTGCAGCAGCCTGTAAATAAATGGGTCTTATCCAGGCAAACCAGTTGCTGACTGCTGGGGCAATGACCCACATCACGGGGTTGTGATGACACACTACCGTCAGGTCACCATTGTGACCACTGGATACTTGTTTCAGTCTGCAGAGGGTGCAGGGGACCTATTCTGATGGGGGAATGGCCTTAAAGATGGACGAGACTCCACTTAGATGTTATCTGTTTGAATCATGGCAAAGGAACTACACTTTACTCAATAAGACTTATCTAGACTTCCGGCTCTGGCTCATCTGAGCTTTATTATCTATTTAAATCTACCAGGTGTTCATGAGGGAACTGAGAATGAAATCGAGTGAGCACTGATCAACTGACAAGGGTCATAGTGTGCTTTGAACATGATCTCCAGCATGGAAAAAGCACCATGTAAATGGATTATTATTATTACTAGTATGATGATGCTGCTGCTACTGCTGCTGATATTGTATCCAGTATGTTTGAGCCCAGAAGTGTCTCACACACTGATAATACTGCATGTGAGTCTGTTCTTCACCTGCTCAGTGGCCAAGTGATCTTAACAGCACGATTAGGTTGTGCAGAGTTGTGTCTATAAGCAGGAAGGTGTCGATGCATGTGATTTTGCATGGAATCATTTTCATCCCGTTTGTCATACCCCGTAACATCTGTACTAAGGTGATATACATTTACTATATGATCACTGGGGTTCTTCTGATTTTACACACTGTGAAATGTGATATGTGGTGGAAATCCTAAATCAATTACTCATTGACTCTTCAATAACTACCTCACTTCGATATCCACTTAGAACACATACAGTAGAGTAATAAACAATATAATAAATCATAACTTTATACTGCTTCGATTGTATTCGCCATCTACTGGTCACAAATACATACAATTCAACTAATTCTTCATAAGAAAGAAAAAATCTCTGTCAAAAAGAGTCCATTGTACAATTCCAACTACAGCATAAGCATGTGTTAATGAATCGCTATCAACTAGTGAGGAATCCAGGTGTTTTCGAAAAGGTGGCCGTATCCTTTGTTTGTGAAGTCACTATATGATATTGTTATGTCACATTATAACAGTTGTCAATTCAGGCATCATTATCCAAGTAAGAGTTTTGCAAATGATGAGGTGCGACTTCAAAACATCAATAAAACAATATATCTCGCAGAAGGAGAGGCTGTTCAAAATGGAATGCATTCGTCAGCACTCGCCCCTCTCCTTAACCTCCAATTCGGCTTCTCCCGGAATACCACGAGTTGGTTACGAATGAATGGAATGGTATAGAGTCAGTGACGTCACTGTATTATGACGTCATGTTATTGTGTCGTCACGTAATTATCTCGCCCATATTCATTGAGACTCGCCGTGCTTTTTAGCGATGGCAAAGATATCTGTCTAAAATGGGATGCAAACAGACCAAGGTTAAGCCTTTCAAGCAGACTTCTCCGGAGGAGGCTCTGACGGGCAAGATCAACTGTCCTCACGAGTTATATTTCGCCAAGTGTCAGGTGACACCGCCCACACCCCGCCTATCAGGGACGGAGATTCTTCAACAGTTACGAGACGAGGGCTTGGTCCACGACCGTCAGTCCAGCGGAGGAGTTGCCTTCTCTGTCCCAGCAGTGGAGGGGGTTGTTCCCAGTGGCAGAGCTCCCCGACGTCTGGAGCAAATCCCAGTGCGATGCTTCTACACAGCTGAGTTGAGGAGACAGAAGGCTGATCTATTCCGATTTGACAGGTAAAATCTTTAGAACGAAGACTGTAAACACTGAAAACGTTTATATAACTAAGCGCGCCTTTTTCTTGATCTCCCAAATTTCTTAAGGATCTAATTCATGATTGCATGTTTTTGTATACAGGTTGGTAGAACAAGTCCAGAGGAAACAACTGGACAGAGAAATAAAGCACAAAGCTGTCAAGGACGAAAAGAAACGTCGCGAGTTTATCAAGAAAATGAAGACTGAGCATCAGCTTCAGGTGAGGGAGGAGAAACTGAAGAAGCTGGAGGAAGAGCGGGCATCCGTGAAGAAGAAGCCAGCCAAGAAGTAGACTAAGAGGAGCGAACAGAGTTGATGGTTGTGAGGATGTTGAGAACAGCGGATGATGCAAATAAATGAAGAACATTAGGCCTTAATGAAAAAATGAACAAACGTAAAAAAGAACAAAAGAAAAGCAACAGGCCCAGCGAAACAGGAAGCCGGAAGATGCAGTAGAAGGGGATACAGATCATACGAAGGCAGTGTTGACATGGAAGAAATCCTTTAGTCTTTTTTATTGTTTAAATCATTTATAAGAACTCTTTCAGATTACTACGTATAATGTGTAATATACCTGCAATGGTTTTATACATTAAATTTATCATAAAATATTTTGAACATGTCATATCTTGTTGATATTATGAGGTGGATTTTTGTTTATAATAAAATTTTCCCCGAAAAAAACATAGGTATTGTTGTTATAACCCAGTTGCAAGGTTATGGAGCTGGCTGGGTAGTTCTGTGACAAGCTAACACACGTGAACATTGTCATATTTTAATCACACAAATTCAACGACGGAATCCCCATTGGAGACAGTCGTGGTGTACTGGTGATATACTCTGTCGTGGAATCCCCATTGGAGACAATCGTGGTGTACTGGTGATATACTCTGTCGTGGAATCCCCATTGGAGACAATCGTGGTGTACTGGTGATATACTCTGTCGTGGAATCCCCATTGGAGACAATCGTGGTGTACTGGTGATATACTCTGTCGTGGAATCCCCATTGGAGACAGTCGTGGTGTACTGGTGATATACTCTGTCGTGGAATCCCCATTGGAGACAGTCGTGGTGTACTGGTGATATACTCTGTCGTGGAATCCCCATTGGAGACAGTCGTGGTGTACTGGTGATATACTCTGTCGTGGAATCCCCATTGGAGACAGTCGTGGTGTACTGGTGATATACTCTGTCGTGGAATCCCCATTGGAGACAGTCGTGGTGTACTGTGATATACTCTGTCGTGGAATCCCCATTGGAGACAGTCGTGGTGTACTGGTGATATACTCTGTCGTGGAATCCCCATTGGAGACAGTCGTGGTGTACTGGTGATATACTCTGTCGTGGAATCCCCATTGGAGACAGTCGTGGTGTACTGTGATATACTCTGTCGTGGAATCCCCACTTGGAGACAGTCGTGGTGTACTGGTGATATACTCTGTCGCGTAGTCCCCGCTTGGAGACAATCGTGGTGTACTGGTGATATAGTCTGAACTGGAATCCCCGCTTGGCGACAGTCATAGGGTATGGCTATGTACCCCACTTTGGGTCAATCATTAATTAACATGTAGTCTCCACAATGAAGTTATGTATAAGGTTTAATAAATCTCCAAATGTTTAGTACATTCTATAAAAACACCTTTAATGTATCATAAGTTTAGAGCTGTAAATGGACTTGTTCTATAGGAACAAATGCTGTAGGGGTTGTAAGAGAGAATACTTGAAAACATAAGTTTTTTTCCTCAATTCCAGAAAAATGAAGTATCGTAAAATCCCGAGCACAGCTCATAGAATAGTAATTATGCCGGTGAGGAACTGTCGTCATGTCTAAAACATCCGTATTGAAGGACGAAATGCTGAATGGTGCTGACAACTACGCGGCGACTTCGGCAGTCAGACACCATGTTCCTGTTTGTTTCTAATGATGTACAACATAAGCTCCATAAAACGCCAATTCACATGAACTCCGTGAGCATATTCATTTATGCTGCTTGACATAGTTTTGTGATCATCAATGCTAACGTAGCGGGTTGGTTTATTTGGATACACTCCCACAGCACCGTCTGAAGTAACCATTGCGTGAAAGGAGTAAGTTGTAGAACGAAGCCTTTACGTCTAAACCGGCTTGGAAAAGAAAGGCATTCTTTTTTTTATGGCTCAGCCATTCAGCTGTCCCAAGACAGGTGCTTGTTTCGTGCATGGGCGTATGCTGTGCTGGTGTATCTATGCGTATGTGTTAAGGAAGTTCCTTTCACGTGACATTTGTATTGGTCCTTTATTAGTTACCTTTATTAGACCAGCGTACTCTCTGTCATGTGGAAGATGTGGGTCATGGTGCACTTTACGTTCAAAGTATCTGTATAACCAATTTCACTCATTGAGGCTATATGTTCATCTTCTGAAGAGCGAGTGTTATAAAGCCATTCAAAGACGTACACATCTATGTATCAATTATCAATTTCATTGGGCTCTCACGTCAAGCATGACTTGGCCCCTCACGACATATGTGGTGTACAAGATTGTGTGTGTGTGTGTGAGAGAGAGAGAGAGAGAGAGAGAGAGAGAGAGAGAGAGAGAGAGAGAGAGAGAGAGAGAGAGAGAGAGAGAGGAGGCATAACCAGCCCATGCTTACACCTCCACCAGAGCATGTTGTCCCTGTCAGTCTCCATGGAGGGATACGCGTAGTTGTTGTTTTTAGCGAGGCAGTGTAGCTTCCTGTGGCATTTCCTGTTTAACACCAAAAAATATCAGAAACAGAAATTGTTTGCACAGCTGTTTCTTGGGGTCATCCACCTGTTTCACTATAACTTCAACAGTGCTTTTGCTTTTGTTTTGTTTCATGACCCACCATGACACCTTGTACTGTAAGGGTCTTCATAACTGCTGAGTTCTTGCGATATGACATGCGAAATTACATTAAGAGAGGCGGTAGTTTTAAGGCTCTTGTTTTCCTCTTGAAACGCTAAATACGACTAACTGACTAACATCAGACACGCACAACGGGGTTCGATGTGACGCTAGCGTAGCCAGGCGTCAACACAACACGCAACTTGTAGCAAGGCATTCTACAACCGCTCCTCTCATCTGACGGTTTATATGACCGTATGTTATGTTGGTGTGCTTTTCTCAACACATATGAGCCACTTTGGTTTAACGTCTCTTGAACAGTATGTTCAGTTTCAGTTCTATCACGGCTTGATGTGGGAGGAGTTAATAGACGTTTACCACTTTGGTGACTGCAGCGAGCACGGGTGTGGTACAGACAAACGTAGAATCATAATCAGAGGATTCGAACCACGATCATAGGATTCTGGCACGCTTAAGGGGCGGAACTCTGCACAGCGAATTGCGACGCCCTAGACAAAATAGGCCACCCACGCACCACTTAACATTTATGAACATGGAGGATCTATGAACCTGAAACTTTTCAACGTATCTCAGCATTTGTATTATTACAAATACAACAAGATTTCGATTGAGTTAAATGTATTAATGTGTAATTTGTAAACTATATTGCAAGTAGGTAATATGTGCAATAACATTTCTAATAGGTTTTGCGTCAAATACAGCCAAACACTGTCCAAGCCCACGAACCTGTAAACGTTTTTTTTATATATTTCAGATAAAGCCATCGTTATGTCTACCAGATAAACGAACCAGAGGTTATCAGGCGATGACAGCGAGACTGTTAAGAGGCCACATTTTACGCGAAATTATTAATGTAGGTCCGCATAGCTATCAATACTACAAGCGCACTCATTTGAACTTATATTTCTTCTTTTCTGAAGCGTGAAATCTTCGCCACTATTTCAGACATCGTTACAATGGTTCCATGCATGGGTGCGCCAATCCCCTTGAGAAAAGTAGTTCCGGGTGGCAAGTCGTTTCTACAGTTACTACAGTAATAACTCCGTAATGAGTCCGCATGACGAAATCAGACACCAAAAACATAATGTAATTATTTAGGTATTAACTCCGCTGACTCCACCAATCAGTGACTGCATGCATATCCTCTATTCATTCTCAAGTTTATTATTAAGACGTACACTTTAGATACGTTTTAGAAATACCCCCAACCCCCCTCCCCCCCCTCCACTTGTACGTTGAATTTAAAACCTAACCGTAAAGAATGTATTGACATGTTATCACAGGTTCACATTTTTATATATATTTAACGTGCATGACGCTAAGACGGACCCCAGTCTGACCAATAACATGTGACAACCACGTGTTGGTGTTTAACCTTACTCACATGTAAAGGGAATCAGCAGTAATGTTGTGGGTAATTGATTGTTACACTCCAATCGATCATGGCCTGTTTTTACAAGGCATACGCAAACACACAGGTTTGTGTTCTTTGTGGTATTTGAATCACTGCACGTTTCAAAGTTTAGGCACAACATACAGAGAGGACGGTGAGGTAGCCTAGTGGTTGAGGCGTTCGCTCTCGCCGAAGACCCGGGTATGATTGCCCATGCGAGTGTGAGTGAGTGAGTTTGGTTTACGCCGCTTTTAGCAATATTCCAGCAATATCACGGAGGGGGACACCAGAAATGGGCTTCACACATAGTACCCATGTCGGGATTCGAACCCGGGTCTTCGGCGTGACGGGCGAACGCTTTAACCACTAGGCTTCCCGACCGCCCCGATTGCCCATGTGGGTACAATGCGTGAAGCTGGTGTCCCCCGCCGTGATATTGCTGGAATATTGCTAAAAACGGCGTAAAACCATTCACTGACATACAGACACTCTGTTGAGTCGCAAGTATACAGATACTAACTCAAAACAGTTTACTCCTCATGTAGCAGACTGAATCTTCTATTGAAGATTTATGCATTTTTTAGGAATTATATTAATTTTGAAATTTCACTTCAGGCTCAATGTTGGAAATAACTAACTTTGTAAATAAGCCTGTATTAAAGTACTTCATATCTAATATATGTTTTCAGGGATATATGTTTTCACCACACAACCATCAAATACGAGACAGTATTTGGTCACACGTTATAAAGTCATAAAAGTCATAAAGTTATAAAGTTATTCATGTATACTTTTCCCTTTTAGCTCAATAATACATTTATTTGCAATTTTTATATCGATTCGATTCATACGTCATAATGTTATAAATATATATCATATTGTTATTATGTGTGCCAGATTATTATTGTTACGTTTGTGTTCTGTCCGGAGTGGGCGCTTAGTGCAAAAGAGTATTTTTCTGTGTACAGTAAACTACGGTTATAACGAACTCAAAGGGACCACTAATTTTAGTTCGTTATAACCGTAGTTCGTTTTATACATATATACAGCACATGACCAGGACAAACGGGGTTTACTGTAGTCATTACCTCAAGTATCATGTAAGTACGTACACGCGAGCAATAAATCAGTTGTGATTCACTTACATGAGGCTAAAAGAGTTGATCGTTAATTATATAACATATTAAATTCATAATTAACCAGTGATAATAAATTACGTATCATGTCATACCCTCATATCCTCGTGTGCGTGAGTCACGTGATATCAGCTGTTAATTATCAAACAACCAAGTCGGTTGTTTATGATTCATATGCAACCTGCCAAAGGCGAAACAAACCGGCTCCCCACAGCTTTCCCTCATCTGAAGCAGAGAAAACACAGCGGGTGAATCTCCCGAGCCGTCAGCAGTTATCCCCCTGAATCGGGTCGAGTGGTATGTGCTCCCTCGCATAATCCGACACTACCGCCCCGTCGTCTCAGTTCGGCGTTCCTGAGGGTTTGGGGGCATACATGAACCGCGACACACACCTGATGGTCGAGCTGTAAATCCTCACAATGGATCGCGTGAAGGGGTATTAAGTTCGGCAAACATACGGACATCAAATTTCTCGGTATTCGGAGTCGCTGGAGCAGTGCGCGGTGTGAGCAGACGACAGTGCAGACGTTTTCTGACACCGCTTATACGTAGGAGCACCCATAACACGGACTTGGAGCGACATTAAGTTGGTGTAAACAGTTGTTCCGATAACATACCGACGTGGGTTGGATGGTTACCGTCGATATCACCTTCAACACCATGACAACTTCCGTATGGCTGTCAATACCATTCAACTAGTGGCTCTGATCGTCCAAGGGTGAGAAAACGTCAAAATCATAACAGGACGTGGGGGTGATGATTAACACCTATCTCTTCGTGAAGTCGGGTACACTATTAGTACACAGGTGGTCGTCGGGTAGAACAGGGCGACTCCCTTGCTCATTGGCTTGCTCTGTGTTTGTTTAAAGGGTAGATTTGACATTGTGAGATATTAAGTTGAAGACGCATTCTTCTGGTTCATAGGATTAATATGTGTTGAGAGTGACGCCGTTTTAGACCAGATACGTGTGTTGACACTCTGGAAAACGTGTTGACTGACCCGAGAATGGATACCCATTCATAACGGATACTTGGATAACTCCATACAACATACGGACAGGACTTTCACTGAACAAGGTAAGGCCATAGATAAGTTGTTTTTGAACGCCCCCCCACCCCCCTCCATCCACCCACCACACACACGCGGACTGAAAGTATAGTTAGCACATGTTATATCATCTAACGAAGTTATATTTACAAGAAATCCAGATACATTCTAGTTGCCATTGCAGTGCTTGTTATATGTCAATAACGTATGATTCAGCAGATTTATTTCCCGCGATTGTATTTTAGATTTCTTCGCCCGTACCCACACGTGCTGTTGACCTATATAATTGTTACAGATATGTCTCGTGGTCAGATCCGTGGCAGTGCTGAGCCATCTGACGTCAATCCTCGCCAAGTGTACATGTTACAAGGGCATAACTTACCACCGTTAGAAATAGTTCAAACATTCCTAAAACCAGCCTCTTGCCTTGAACCGTGGGTGGGGTTCGAGTTCAACGGGAAGTTTATCTGGCTTTCAAGAAAACGCGTCTAACCCAGCCCGCTATTGTCTCGATACGAGCCACCATCACGAAATCATGTGACTTCTACTTTACTTGAATGAATGGCTACACCGTAAGATATCTGGCGGTAAGGCTGTTCTCATGTTGTGCAGAAAACTGGATTGTACGTAAATATTGACACTGTACAGCTTCAGACGATAAGGAACATTCCGTTATGAAATCATATCCGCCCCTCTTCCAGGTTGTTATGCGTCAGGCTGTTTGCTTACAATTTGGTGGCTGTTCACTTGACGCGGTTACTATATTTTATGTAGTTAGATAGGACGCAGTCTAAGGTATAACACAATGAAGTTCAATGAATACTTTTAAGATTAAACATTTCATTATGAAATAAGTAACTTAAAAAATCAATCAATCCCACATAGGCCCATACAGTTTAGGTCTGATATTCGGTTTGACTTTGGATTATAAGTTTACGTTTCGTAAACTTCAATTACATGTTTACGTGTTTGTGTTAATTTTATTCGGGGGCAAGCATACATGCGCTAAATAAGCTCGCGTTTGTATATATTGTTACCACATGGCCATAAACAATAGCGATGACATGTTTGTAAAAAAACATTTGTATCAATCACCTGTTTATCAATTTAAACAATACATCTTCAATAACTGTTCCTGGTGTATTTTAATCAAAATATTTAAAGTTAAACAAGCTAAACGACAATGTGACATTTAATGAAGTCATAATTAGAATATAAATTGTTAACATTAGCCGTAAGTATGTTTAACGATGGTACGCCATTTTTGGTGAGGCACTGCTCTCTCACGCGTGACGCGGACCGTGAAGATCCGGGGTAGAATAGGTCTTCAGCAACCTATGCTTGCCGTAAAAGGCAACTATGCTTGTTGTAAGAAGCGACTAACGGGATCGGGTGGTCAGGCTCGCTGACTCGGTTGATGCATGTCATCGATCCTAATTGCATGGATCGATGCTCACGTTGTCAATCACTGGATTGTCTGGTCCAGGATCGACTACTTACACACCGCCGTCATATAGCTGGAATATTGCTGAGTGCGGCGTTAAACAACAAACAAACAAACAAATCACGCGTGACGCATTACTGAAGTGAGTGTTGAGCTGCTGTTTTTATTCAGCTTCGTGCTTCATTACCCCTAAAAAATGCTCTTCATTTAAACTCTTTCCCAAGCTACAGAAAGAGCCACTGCATCTGCTCGGTTATTTAGCATGAGAACGAAAATCAGTTTACGTCATTTTGACAACCCTTGGGCTATTTATATACATGCCAGGCGATATCAAGTGAAAATATGCAGGGCAATATTTTGATCGCTCTTTATATGACAACATGTATTGCTATAAACGACTGAAACATTTCGATGTTATCTTTTCGTATATGTTATTACATCATTAACCGAATACCACAAGAATAACATTTTACATCTTTTGGACTTTATTCTAAACATATATATATATAAGTTACTAAACATTCTTGCAAGCAATGTTTGTGCAAGGTGTATAGTAAGTAATACTAAGAAAGGAGTAAAAGTAAATAGAGTATAAGATTTTTTACAAGCCTGATGCTAAAAGATTTCTGAATTTGCTGCCACGTTCAATACAAGTCCTCCCAAAGAAGCTGTCAGCTTATTTCAATGATTATATGTGCTAATTAACATCAATAACGTACACGTTATGCAACAAGTCACGAGCTGACCAGCGGTTATTTCGCCCAGGGCACTGGACACTGACCAGAGGTATCCCTCGTTCATCAACTGAGCGGAACAGGAAAGTCACACTTTTACCAATCGTTTATGCGTCAGCTAATTTCTGAGACATTGATTAATTATACACGTGGCTCCAAATTCTCTTGCCAGCACATCGCACTTTAACGTTCATCACACAGTTGCCGGGCCTCTTCAAAGGGTGAGTTGATAAGCATTCAGTAGCAACCCTCTTTCAAACCTGCGATCAGTTGATTGTGTATTTGTGGTGTTTGTATTGAGGTACCGGGTGTTGTTTAGTTAGACTAACATCTAGTCTCTAAAATGAACATATCGTACAGAAAAAACAGTCGTTAAATTATCTTTAAAAGAATAATAAAAAGGAGCCAAGCGATTCATTTCTTTTTCAGATGATACTGCAGAAATCTAGACCTGCCAACCATTATAGACTTGCATGGGCTGTATTTGATATATTTGTATGAGGGTCTGTAAGACAGACTATTGTTTAGTCACTTTTGTATGATTGAAAAGTATAATATACTGATTTAAGGACCATTGGAGATAAGAAACACAGCACAACCCCTATTTGGCCTTAAAATGTATTATATTTACTTTTAAGTTTTTAAATATGTATTATATTTACTTGTAAGTTATTAAAAATGATATATATTTACTTATAAGTTATTAAAAGTACAAGATTTCAATATTATTTTGGTGGGCGTGGGGTAGCCTAGTGGGTAAAGCGTTCGCTCGTCTCGCCGAAGAGCCGGGTTCGATTCCCCACTTGTTTACAATGTTTGAAGCCAATTTCTTCTTTCCCTCGCCGCGACATTTTTGGAATATTGCTCAAAGCGGCGTAAAACCACACACGTAAACATAACTGATGAACTAGGAATCTCCTTACACGTGTACTCTCAACAAACTGTTGTTAAAATGTGAGTGATGAATGCGATGCATTTGTCTCTATTTTGATTCAGGTTTGTACTCAACACACGGTTCTGTGTATACATGTATACACTGGCAACCTTGCAATGGCCATTACGGTGCAGTTAACGATTAACTAAAGATTAAATACATTTCACTCCTCACCAGATCACATGGGAGTCAAAAGTTCACCTTTACCGGTGATTGAATAGCCTAAACACAATATATTGCTCAGACATACGGTATACCCAATACATAGCCTATTTGACATACAACTCCTAATTCTCAATACTCGAAGAATAGTGAATAACGGGTTTCGACATAGTCTCCTCTAGGCGCGTACTGAGTGAAAACGAGCCACCTAGGTTATCGTGACGGGTGTATTCAGATCTCAATGCTACTAGCACATCAACAATGGCTCGAACAATACTGACCGACCTTGTGACCAGATATATCTGATACCCATACAGGCCAGTGAGACGCTGTCTTTTGAGGTAAACCCCATTAACAGGTTTACTGTCTTCCAAACAGCATTTACTCGTCTTCGATCTTAAATTTTATGAGTGAGTATGGTTTTACGCCGCTTTTAGCAATATCACGGCGGGGGACACCAGAAGTGGGCTTCACACAGTGTGCCCATGTGGGGAATCGAGCCCGGGTCTCGAACGAACGCTTTAACCACTAGGCTACCCCACCGCTCCTACATTTTATGATGTAGATCGGTCTAACAGTTAATGATAATACAAATGTACCTAAATTAACAAAATGTTTCAATTTCACACATGGCTCTTAGATTGAAGAAGGGCACCCGAGTCTGGAAAAGTCTCCCTTTAAAGCCTTGTTGTTAACGCGAAGGCAATCATTAACAGAATATCTTAGATACTAGTATATACAGTCAAAAGATGTTTTTAAATTTGAAAATTGAGTACACGCGGAAAGACGCCATAGCACTCAGACTACAGATACATCTACCATTACTCGGAAAGGACGGTATAATGTTTCGTTTTGTTCATGTTCAACAAAATATCAAAGACCTGACTCGGCTCTGAGTGTCTTATCATTAAACACGCAATTCTAGCATAGCAGGCACTAGTCAGTATTAATGAACTCCCCCGTGTGTTGTAGTTTCAGCCAAACTGCTCTATTGTGTAGACCTCGGTTGTACACAGCTTATTCATCAAATCCTAACAATATATAATCAACGTGGGCGATTGTTTTTTAAGGGATCAATGAAGCCATGAAAAATATTTTCAATATTCAATTACGTTTGAGTGGGAGCATTCTTATCATTCGACAACAGAGTGCAAGGTATGAAGTCCAACACTCGCGAAGATCAACTCTAATGCATGCAAATGGCACGCGCGAAAGCGTTACATTTAATTCTGCCATTGTTTCTTGTGCCAGCAGACCCAGTGAGTACTCGCTTGAGAGACTAGGTTCAAGTTGTGATAAGGATTGAAACCTTTGCAATGGAGACAGAATTTGAAACGGTGAGAGTCTAGGTTTATAAGCATGGTTATATTGTGGGGCATATCACACAGAGCTTATCCCAGTCAACCAGCATGGCTACGTAAAGCGTGAAGTCAGTAATATCTCATCAGCATTACATCAGCATGGCTTTTTAAAGTGTAAAATCAGTCTATACGCTGTAAAAACGTGTTTAGATCCTAAACACAAACCTAAACACGTGCCTTGCCCCATAGTTTTGACATGTTTAGGATTGTATCGTATAGCATGGCTAAATGTATTGTAAAGTAGGAAGTTAAACAGTTGTTATACCAGTATTATCTAAGCGTGTATTGCAAAGTAAGTAGCGTATTCAACTATTATCATTGTATAGCATGGCTAAATGTATTGTAAAGTAGGAAGTTAAACAGTTGTTATACCAGTATTATCTAAGCGTGTATTGCAACGTAAGTAGCGTATACAACGATTATCATTGTATAGCATGGCTAAATGTATTGTAAAGTAGGAAGTTAAACAGTTGTTATACCAGTATTATCTAAGCGTGTATTGCAACGTAAGTAGCGTATACAACGATTATCATTGTATAGCATGGCTAAATGTATTGTAAAGTAGGAAGTTAAACAGTTGTTATACCAGTATTATCTAAGCGTGTATTGCAAAGCTCGTAAGTAGCGTATACAGCTATTATACCAATACTATTTTAACATGTCTATGTATACTGTAAAGTAAGTAGTATATTCAACTGTTATACCAGTAGTATCCAAACATCTGCAAGCATGGCTACGTTAACCAGATACAACTTCTCATATCAGTAACAACTAAGCATGGCTAAGTGTATTGTGAAGTAACCAGAATATTCAACTGTTATACCAGTAGCATCTAAGCATCTGCAAGCATGGCTATGTATATCATATACAACTTCTCATATCAGTAATAACTAAGCATGGCTACGTGTATTTTAGAGTTATTAGTGTGTGCAACTGTTATGTGAGTAATATCTGAGCATGGCTAAGTGTATTGTGAAGTAGTGTATAAGCTCAAGACGTTACGCATGTCTATATTGTGACTGCAATATCATATTCACGAGTAACACTACTACCAATAGACAGATTTATTCCATGAACTACCCGCATGGGAGTCGATTAGTCGCATTAGAATAGGTCCCCAGCAACCTATGCTTGTTTTTAGAGTGAGTGAGTGAGTTGTGTTTAACGCCGCTTTTAGCAGTATTCTAGTTATATCACGGCGTGTCAGCTTAATGTGGGAGGAAAGCCCGAAGTGTTGCAGGTCTCGGACGTTTACCACCTCGGTGAAACCCACGAGCACGGGTATGGTGCTGACAAACCTACAAACATAATCGGGGCAAACCGGGATTCGAACCCACAATCATAGGTTTCTGGCGTGCCCAAGGGTCGCAACTCTGCACAGCGAATCGCGGAGTCTTAGACAACTGGGCCACCTGCGCCCCCGCTTGTTTTTAGAGCCAGCCAGATCAAATAATCAAACAAATACAATATATGAACTGAATTATTCAATTCTACAGAAACAAGTTTAGTGTCATGTGTATAGTGCATGCTAGTGTATCTAGCGAAACAGATTCCATTGTGCCTTAAAGGCAAAATTGCAGTGAAATTATATTACCCCAACCTTAATCCCCACATGGAACGATATTCGTGGTTGAAATACTTAATACGTTACACACTATCTATACGGAGGACATGTGTCCATTTAGTTTATTATGGTAACGAGTTCCAAAGATTTTGATGTTTAATTTCATCGCCCATTGGCTGAAAATGGTAGGATTAAAAGAAAACGAAAGTCACTGTGTATATTTAATTTTTTTTGGCTTCTAATCCTAGCATAATTAACCTTTTGTGATGTTTTGAAGTCCTTTAGAACTTAATCATTTTCAGTCCCCCGACTTTTCCGTCAATTTGTAAAATATGTGTGTTTAAGGTAGAGTTTCATTCTGTTCTGGTTAACCTATTTACCTGTTATCCGATCCAGAGACGATGTACGGTCCCTGTCCGATGTGAAGCGCTTCTACTATCTGGGTTCATGCTGTGAGTGCAGGGCCATACATCTACCGGGAAGCTTTATCACAGTCTTATACAGACTTCATGATTCTGCTGCAGACAGCTTTTCACAGCAATGTATACTGTTTCATTTCTTTAGGCTTGCTTGTAATGCGTGTACCATTTACATGGATGCGGATATGGTACACTCAAGGTAAAAGGAGAGTGATCAGTATTTCAGTTATACCACGACGTGTCAGCTTGGCGAGGATGGCTACGACTAGTGTTACCGTTTTAATAGTAACCATGTCCTTTAAATAACCTTTTTGAAACAAGAATGGAATTTGATTTGTCATTACAACGACCGGGCTAAGGATTACCTAAGTATAATATCTTTGAGTGAGTGAAGGAGTTTTCCCTAGCTTTGAACAGTATTTCAGTTATATCACGGGGTGTCAGCTTGATGTGGGAGGAAAGCCCGATGTTGATGTCGTTCACCACTTTGTTCAAACCCACGGGCACGGGAATGGTGCCGACAAAAAAAGGAAACATTATTTGGGCGGATCTTGAATTCGAACCCACTCTGTAGTGAACTGCGATGCCTGTGTCTCCTTAACGTGAAGGAAATCATTTTAAATTTGAGGAGAAATGCGATAGGAAACATTCTTACGATTTTTTTTAACAGTTTTACCAAACAATATATTCATGAAATATGTTACAGGTGTGAATAACTGACTGACTTAAATCCATGATGACACTAAGGTTGTTTTGTAAATTTTAAGCATTTTAAGTTCACTGTGTATTGGTACATGGCACTTCTTTTCAAAACATAATGCTTCCTGAGATTGCAAATACAAAACAATCGGTTAATCTCGATATAGTCTGTCTTACAGACCCTGATACATTTATATACACGTGTAAGTTGCGTATAATGTCGTTTTAAACAGTATCACAGCCTGTAAGCCCACAATAACTCTCACAGTCAAAAGAATCACTACTGTTGCGAGTCTGGGATACGAACCCTTGAATACGACCACATCACCACCTATTATTCCTTCAAGAGAGAAGACTCATCCATTTTCGAATGCAACGATCGCATCAAGCAATAGAGGACGTTAACATAACAAGTAGAAGGTCTGGTTAGAAGTTTGCTGACGTCCAACTTACTTCTATATATGTATATATATTGCCAGATTTGCGTGAGGTATCTGTATGTATGTAGCCAATCAGTTAACTGGACAAGCTGACACCCATGTCATGATCCCCACTGGTTGAACCTTCATTATAGCGCAGCATTGAAGCAGCTATTACACACTCTGGTGTGATTGCGAGTCAAGGAGTTGTGTAGTGGTACACAGGTCACATTTGAGAGTCTGCGTTTGGATGAGGCGCCCTACCAGACGCAACAGAACCGTGTTGTGATAAACGTTCTAGCACCATATAAACACGGCTGTCCACATGGCGTAGTTGCCATGGTATTTCTTTTAAATAAATAAACAGGGCATAGAGATGTACATTTGAATTCATTCTTTCTTCAATTCATATATATTCTTCACGGTGACATATCTATTTTTGATAAAGACGAAGGGATTTGTATTATCTTGATGTTTCCTACTGCTAAATGGCACCAGTGTAAGGTAAGGCTCATGATATAGGATATCAATGATTCCTTCAGCGTTTTGTTGTTGCATCGCTTGTGGTACACGTATATTCTTATCATGTCTTCTCTTCGCCTGGTAAGTTGTTTCTAGGTTTGTCAACACCATATCTGTACTTGTGGGTTTCACCAAAGTGGTAAACGTCTGAGACATGCATAAAACACTAAACCGACGCACTGTTATGTAACTGGAATACTGTCCACCCCTAAACCATGGCAACTTTAAAGGCTGATGTCAAGGCCTTTGGAATTTCTTCCAGCTGCCATTTCTGCTGTCTCCCAGATTGCAGTTTTGCTCATGTTTTTTCCATACAGTATATTTTCATTTTTATCGCAACTATATTTTAAAAAGAATCGAGTAACTGGACCTCAAATGTGAAAATGCGTTTTAGATAACTTGGAACAATAGTGCAGTTGACAGTTTGCATGGATGATGCCACCAGTGGTCTCTCAATCTGGTCAAAATTGACTACAACGTCACAGCTGAGGACGACGTCATCACCAGAGTTAAACACACTGAAAACACCTTCCCTCCGGACTCCGATGATGAATTTGAGACAGAACCCCCGAGCGAATGTGAACTTCTCACACCATCTGAAACGGCTACGCAATTAGACGCCATTCTTCGGTTCTTTCAGAGTCGCCCTGATGTATCATCGAAAATGTTTGATAATATTGATGACATTAAGGCAACGCTGACTAAATCCGTCTTATATTATATACAACAAAATAATATACTGCCTGTATCCAGGTACTAGTATCTGCTTAAAATCGTTTTATTTGTTCCCCTACCAGTGGATCCGTTTGCATTCCAGTTATCATTCTCAACTTCCTTGGGAGTATAAAACCCACGCTGCCTCCGGGCACTTTAGATCCGCCTCATATATCGGGTACCCATTCACTTCTGGGTAAACATCGTTAGTCTTTGGGCTGAAAATCAAGCGATAGTTGCCATTTCTTAACATTAATACCCTTTTGTTTGCAAGGGCCTATGCATTTGTTTGTCCGTTGTTTAACGCTGCCCTGAGCAATATTCCAGCTATATGACGTAAGGCTGTAAAGTCTGGACTAAGCAATCCAGTGATAGATGTCATGAGCATCGATCGACGTAATTAGGATACGATGACATGCATCAAGCAAGTCAGCGAGCTTAACGATCCCGTCAGTCGCCTCACACGACAAGCATAGTCGCCTCATACGGCAAGCATGGGTATTGTTCCCCGGATCTTCACGGGGTCCTATTTATTTGAAATATGATCACTTGTTTTGTCGCTCAATCGGACACTTGACTTCAGACATATGATCATATATACGAGCTAGATTTAGTGTCATCCAATAGAATGTCAAATTATCTTTCTCTTCTCTGTAAGAGCCAACTTCCTGCTAACTCGCTATCTCTCGTGGCAAACGCATGTAGGACTTATTTGTGGTTCATGTGAAGTGCAGTTTAGTCCTGTTGAGGAGTCGTGTGTGAAACATTATACAACAGAAATTGTCCATGATGGAACTCATTGTGCCTGAGATTCGGATAAACTCTGAGGTAATGTAAAATACATATATGTTCTTAATTGCCGGGTAAAAGAAAGTATGCACTTTGATGGTGGGCAATGGTTATTAGACGGTGTATTTGATACGGGTATCATGGCGATATTACATGCTTTGTTAGTTTGTTGTTTAACGCCGGACTCAGCAATATTCCAGCCATATGACGGCGGTCTGTAAATAATCGGGTGTGGACCAGACAATCAATTGATTGACATTATGAGCATCGATACACGAAATTGGGATACGATGACATGCATCAACGAAGTCAGAAATCCTGACCATCCGATCCCGTTAGTCGCCTCGTACGACAAGCATAGTCGCCTTTTACGGCAAGCATGGGTTGCTGAAGACCTATTCTACCCCGGATCTTCACCGGTCGATATTACATGCATCATATCCTGTTGTGAGATATTCATTGATATGATATTATATGCATGACATCAATGAGTGTCTCACAACAGGTGACGTGCAGATGACGTCTTAAGGAACAGGGACTCGCAATGCGCAGAGCGAATCGTCAAGAGTATGCTTTCTTTTGGCCGGCAGTGTATTCATACATTTTGTGACATGTAGATACACAAATCAAGATAATTAAAATAAGATGTTTACTCCGATGTATTTATACATATATATTCCTTACCTTAATATCTCCAATGTGCGCTAATGTCATTGGTCTTCGGCCGTCGTTCCGTCATTCGTGTGTCTGTCAGTCCGATCTTCCTTCCTTCCGACCGTCCGTCTGTTGGCACAGCAACATAAAATAAGCGTTTCTCCAAATCTACGGAAAGATCAATATAAGTTTCAAATAACTTGTTGTGCATGCCTCTTGCTACAACCTAGGAATTTTAAAGAAAGGAACTTGGCCGTCGACTCTCATTGTGATGAAAAATAGCGTCGTGCCGGACTCTTGAAAGAACCCAGTTTTCCTATTTCAAGAGTATGATCACACGATCCTTCCCTACATTAAAAAATTTAAAATATTCCAATGGCTTTGGTATAACTAGGATATTTGTAATCTGTTGAATATCCAAACATTTCAACCACATGCTGACAGATTCTAAAGCAACTCTTTATATTTTAAGTGATTGTTCTGGCATATTATTGGTTGTTAGCCATATCTAACCCCCTGAATTAATCAGCAGGAATGGGTTATATGTATAAATTCAGTTATTGATACAGTGGAGACTCATTGCTCTTGAACTCATCTATTCAATGTATTGCAGCATCAAATAAGATTGATCAAGTATTAACTGTTTTTGAATAAAATGCTTCTTTCGATTCAAAGGCTCTTTGACTTATGATTCAATGAGGTCCGGTTATGTTCACTGTGATAAATCATCTATCAAACTTGGAATTTCTCGCTTCAAAATTTAACAGTTATTAAAAAACATTATTTCCATTTATTTGGTATGATGTCCTCCACACTAAAAAAACTACTGTTGCATTACCTCCTTCCGTAAATGTTCACATTCCTCCACGTTTTTACCTTCCAACACTTGTATTTTAATTAAAAGGACCCACTTATTTACAACTGAACTATTGTTGAAATTGGAGTTGAACTCGAGTAACTTACTCACTCTGTGTGTGTGTGGGTGCGTGCGTGTGTGTGTGTGTGGGTGTGTGTGTGTGTGTGTGTGTGTGTGTGTGTGTGTGTGTGTGTGTGTGTGTGTGTGTGTGTGTGTGTGTGTGTGTGTGTGTGTGTGTTTTATGACCTCACAAATCCGGGCTGAGCATCATCTGGAGACAGATTCATTCTTTGTGTGATGAATCAAACGAGGAAGCTGCCAACTGTGACACGCTATACATAGCAACTATACATGTACATACACTTAACTTAATTATCTTACTGGCATCCTGGCCTGGTGGGAGTCACCACTAATTTGCTTTTTACGCCCAAAGGAATCCGTTTCGTCATATATTTGAGACTACATGTGACGAATTTTAGTTCGTAATAACCGTAGTTCGTTATAAGCATATATACAACAAATGGCCGGGTCTAAGAAATAAGTTCGTTATGAGCGTGTTCGTTATAAATGTAGTTTACTGTAGTTATTTTTTTTGCGTTATTCTATTTTTTAGCATGTTTCAATTTCACTTTGGATCTTTATGCTATATTTTGAAGCAAACTGACCATGCAAAATGCAGTTATTACTTTAAGGACGAAATCTGAAACTTTCAAGGAAATTCTTTGAGTTCTACTTTATCATTAAATGTATAAATACATTTGATTCTATCTGAAAGTATGAATTTCGTTAAAACTAATCATTTGTGTATATTGTCTGCAGATGACGTCCTCCCACTGGATAGCGGAAAACATCCGATGTCGAGAGTGCTACAGAGCTGTAAGGTGGGTGTTTGGAAAGTAGCATGCATATTACACACATATTACATATATATATGTCGCAACGACAGAGTTGCGTTCCTTTTACATGCCAGAATCTTATAATTCTTTTTGGTTATTGTGAAACATGACTGTGTCATTCAGTTACTGCTACACTTAAGAATTGACTACATCCCCCGAGGTATAAAACAGTGATATAAAATGTTATATTATAAGAATTGACTTTCACTTTGTGTAAGTTCATTGGAATATGAACCTTCATTAGAGTGAGGGCCATACTGTATGAACGTCGGAGCTTGCGACTCTGTGAAGGTTCATACTCCAACAATGAACTCACACAAAATGAAAGTCTATTCTTATAAAAAAAATATATCACTGGTTTATACCTCGAGGGATGTAGAGCTAGATCTATACGTGTGACTTCAAGTTTACACTGACAGCCACACAACAGCCATCTGTATCGCGGAATACAGTAGTGCCCCAAATTGACAGGTGACATGAGCGTATGTGTGCTCAACTTGCTTTGCAGGAACATCTGTTGTAGTTTGTTTACAAGAAATGTATTCAAATAGTTTCATCACTGGGTGAGAAAGGTCTGTTAAGAACTACCTCAGTTAGTCAGTCACAATGACAGCGCGTCGTAATACATTTACATCATGTACAAGACGTCAAAATGGGACGGGAAAGATTTCCGAAGGTGTTTATAAACCTGTATCGGTTACATGTGATAAATATCATATATCAGTTTGCGATCACTGAAAGGTGATTATAAAGATGTATCAAATAGATACGAAGGTAAATTCATAGATTGCTGTAACTGCCAGTCTAGATACGGATCGAGTCAATGCTACCTACGATAGTGGATGTGCATTTCTAAATTTAGTTCACTACAATGGGTCGGAGCGAGGATGTTCGTGGACGATAATGCAGTCAAACTCTCTGACATTTCTCAATGAATGCTAAAATGCCGAGTTCAAGATTAAAGGGTCTAAATGACCAGACACAACGCTTGTGTATGTATTCGTTCTAGAATCTAAAGAAGTCTTTGTTACGGTCAAGATTTGCGAGGACATGTCAAGACTTTAAGTTTTGAGGAAATGGCAGTTGTCTTTGCAAGTACATGCTAGTTTTTTTTAAAGTTCTGACATGCGCATATTTCTGCTTGGATGATGGTGATCCTGTCCTTTAGGTTTTGTCAGACCTTCAAATTTAAAACTATCTGAGAAGTTGTCCAACTTTGGTATATTAATGAGGTCATTAACGTTATTTACCTTTCGCGTGTCAAGTGAATTCAATCAACCACTGTTAATCTGAAGTGGGTGAATGAGTCGATAAGCAATTGCACCGCCTTTAACAGTACCCCCGCAATGAGACGGATTAGTAACTAGTATCAGGCTTCATGTTGTGTACCAATGCGGGGAATCCAACCCTAGTCTCCTTCACTAGAAGTGCATACGGTAGTCACTACTCAACCACCACACCAGTGAATACAAAGGGCATTTTCCCACTTATATTTATTCAAAATTTAAGAAACGTGTTGTTCGAATAATAAGCAAGGTTCTATTTGATTTATAACGAAAGGTGTTATTGCTTTAAAAAGAATTTTTTTTGTTATGTTAAAAAGCAACGTTCCTGTTATATCCACCAAAGCGGATATGAAAGTGGCATTCATTCTCTCTCAGATTTGCCATGGTTGTGCCTTGACCTACAAAATTGGGGGTCCAAGGGCCCCAAATAACGAATTTCCAGTGTATATATGGAATATGAAGGTCCTGTAAACTTGTAAAGTAATGGAATGGTGTATTTTACTGCTAGAAATTTGTAATTACAAGACCTTTATTTTTCTAATCAGTAATTTGTTACAATGAATATTATTGTGCATCCAATGTAATGTTTTTTTCTGCCTCCATTCTAAACATGTGTGTGTGTACTGGGCGCACATTTGTGCGTCATGAAAAACCCTGGATTTACTCATCTTAGTGACTGAAAACTGTCTGGTTTACATTGTACTAAGAATAAAGCAAGACACAGCCACCTCCCATACATACGTCTGGCTCTATACATAAGTCATGTGTTTATATAACATTGTCTGTACACTTCCCCTGATGCAAGAACATCGCTGGTGATGAAGCTGATACTGCTCAAGACATTTTCCACGCTGGCTTCTGATTTATATATAGAACAATGATACTTAGGCTCTGGTACGAGGGATGGAGCGTAGATCAGTAATAGGTCAAAGGTCATATATTTGTGGACTGATTCAACGCTTCAACTATTGTCACCATGTTGTGGACGTCGAAGAATAACCAAGTCCTTAAAATAACAAGAATTGATATGGATTTGTCATTACAATCACCTTGACCGAGGACAGATGCCCATGTATGATAGCTTCAGAGTGAGTAGGGGAAGGAGTTGGGTTTAACGCCGCTTTGAACAGTTTTTCAGATATGTCACACTTTATGTGGAGGAAGGCCTGATGTAATGCAGGGTAGGGAAAAATAGAAACATAATTTGGGGTTTGAAGAGAGGTCCGAAATAACACCCTGTCCCAAGACGATCATTCTCACAAGTCTTACAGAATGTTTATCTTGGCAAGTTGGTTGATATGGGTACAGTTAGAGGACTGATCGTCAAATCTTCATGTCCAGAAAACATAAAAAGCGTATTTTGTTCGGTAATTCCGGTAATTCCTCCCGAAGCATATTTTCTGGAATGTTGTCCAAGGTGGGTTGAGGTGTAGGGGTTAACGTCGCGTTCAATATTAACATATAGCGACGTACATGAACTTGTGTATGTGTGTATCTCTTGTATGAGTGAAAGGTGGTGTCGTGGTAGTAAGATAAGGACAGTGACTGAGCAATATTATAGGTATAGTTAGGGGTGGTATGCTACGAATTAGCTGCACACATTTGAAGTTGGGATTCGAACCTGAATTTTTGGCGTGGCGAGCAGACATGGTAACGCGACGGCGTCTTAAATGTTTTAACCCTGAAGACATTGGCATCGTCATAACGATGTTCCTGACTTCCATGGAATGAAGCGTGGGCTCTAAGACACGTGTGAAATGCCCACAACACGCGCCATTAAACCCCCCCCAGAAATATGCATCTCCTTGAGAGACGTCCTGCAAAAAACGTCAAGTACACCTGCCGCTATAGAATATTACCTACTTTCATCCTACAAACATGCGGTTTCTTTAGGGAGTGTTGGAAGACACATTAGCTAATGACGAAATTGTAGTGTATAAGCACTATCCATAATGGACTTTGCGGTGGAAAAGCCGGAGTGAAGTATCTCTGTTGTATTCATTAGTGAACTGATTATGACGTCATTGAAAAAACATCGTCGTTGCAAAGTGTCCGTCGATTTGGAAGAAAAATTCAACATGGTATTTTTAAAATTTGAAATAAATAAAATGTTTTGTTAATCGTGTAAAAAAAACCATATTCATCTTATAGAGCTATTTTACAAAGTATTACAAAGGGTTAAGTTTGCGATCTGGTATGACAATGCTGTTCACAGCATTCCCCAAATCCCGCTCAGTTGTTTTTAACATCGGTGCCACATTGCAAGAGCAGTTAAAGCAGCAATTCAGGCACCGAATTTCGTGAAATAAACTGTTTGTACCACACGACTCATTGATGGATCTCTCGGAAAGTGGTGTATGGTTTAGTGTCAGACAGGTTAATCGCCTGTCAGGAGAGGCAGCTATATACACAGGGAATGCTTCATAGTAAAGAAGTGGGAATGGTGCAGGTGTCTCACAGTGACAGGCTACCCCCGTTATCTCAGTAAGTGAGCGTTAAAAGAGAAATGGAGCAGATGAAAGACAGATGGAGAATTATTTCTGAAATATGGTGTCTTCAGTTCGGCATTGGCTATGGTTGACGGCACATAGGCGGTTCAGCAGTCCCACTCGTTATTGAATGACACAACAGTTTATGCATGTTTTGCGGACAGTTCGTATTTAGGTGACAATGAGCATAGAAGCATAATGATCTGGATCAGAAATGTGTAACGAAACTGAACTTGTATCAGAAGATGAAATGCATTTTAGAATATACTGATGCAAACGAGTAAGGGGACAGTGAAAGTATAGGGAAATACGTTTTATTCTCAGTACATTTGAAATAGCGCGCATACAAATTCAAGACGTGTTAGAATCAAATGTTAAAACGTGTGCATTGTTTCCAACGCGTATTTGGCTGGGAACTCATGAAAGCATATCATTTTACTGTGTCTAAAACAAAGTGGTCCATTTTCAGTTCCATCAGTATATGTAATCATATCATAGTGTTGTTTTTATTACATGTACGTTCAACACAGCATTAGTAAGTGGTTATCAGGGCGGAATATAGGCTTCTTTATCAGTAACATTCTACTGCCGCTAACGGATAAGCGGACTAAACGAATGGAACGAAATAATCAAGAAAGGTTTTGCACCGCTTTATTTGATATTAAGTCCGTGTTACTGTGAAAACGTCGATACCACGAATTGTTCCAATTTCGGGAAGCGAGAACTGCAGCCCCCAGCGGATTCCTAGTTAGAATTGTCCCCAACAATCTATACATTTATTAGGGGGCGACATAATGGTCTGGCTCGATGACGTAGTTAATTTCATTTCGACATACCCCGATGTCGTGCATGATTGCTCATAATATCGGTGTCCTCCCCATTGGCCCACTTCCCATTTGGCCTACGCTTTTAGGGGATTTAATTACGGTAGGTAATCGCTTGGTTGATCACTCACTAACTACCCGTCTCCCCCAGAGTGATGAAAATGAACCAGTCCAACAATAGAGAAATACAATCTAACAGAATCTTTTTAATGTAATTTAATAAGGATTCCTACTGCACCTGCTAATGCCAAGGAAGATATTTCTCCTTGCTGGTGTCTGTCTCGGAGTCTGGACAGCTGACCATCGAGGTACACAATGCTGGTGTTGTTTTTCTGCGTTGTCTGTACAATCCACTCTTCATACTAACAAAGGGAGGACATTGTGCAGCTTCTAAGAAAGTTGCAGTTGACCCCATTCTGTTAATTCTATATTTAAAATTGTCAATCAAAACTTGACGACCACCTCTCTGTGACTGAACATACTCAACCCTCTGAATACCTGCCATTATGAAGAATGATGCACTGATAACCGTTAGTACCTTTATACTATGAATACTAAGAACAATGTTTTGTTAATAAATTAACTTCGTTATCATTATCCGTATACAATGGTATGTGATCAAAGAAATAAAACCAATAATAGTTAATCCTATTGACTAAATACACAATAGGCAAAGAAGCCAGTTATATACAATCCTTATCTTATGTTTTTTAGCTACCTGCTCCTTTAGCCCCTTTAACTATTTCACTCAGTTCTTTTACTGTATATTTAACACTACCTGCTGGGGTTTCAGGACCTGGGTTCGTCTCAACGTCCCCACACATAGTCACAGTCACCATCGCTTTCACGAAAAGCGTGGCCACTGACAACGACACACACAGTGTGTTAATTCTGAACTTTACGCTTGGTTTTCGTCTCGAAAAAGTTCCTATCTTTACTCTCCAGGTATTGATATCTACCCCTATACCTTTCTGAGTGCTTTGCTTTGCTTTCCTGCTTTGTGTACTTTTCAAAGAAAAATCAACTCTGCTTGTTTACTTCGTGTCAATAGCAAAGGGACGTCCTTATGATGACAATCCTTATGAACATAAGAACAGGATTAATTAATTGTGAGATAGTTACATTAATCAACTTCACAGAAGAAGCCTAGGGGAAATAACAAGAGCTCAAACCAAACCATTTTTCAATAGGGGTGTAGGTTGTTTAAAATAATCTGTGGTAGGCCAAATGGGAAAGGTCATTTCTGTTTCTTTAGGCCATATGGGACGTAGGCCAATAGGGAATGCACCATAATATCAACCCCTTGTTTGTCTGGTCCAGACTTGATTATATGCAGGTCACCGTCATACAGCTGGAATACTGCCAACTGCGTCTTTAACTACAAACAAACGAACAAACAGACCTGTTTGCTCGAACAGTAAGCATTCATGTTCTGTTGGAAGGCTGGAGGAGACAGTGTATATTTAGACACTGTAGTCACCCAGAGCATGTACTGTGTATAAAGATGTCATCGTGAGTCATATACGATCTTGTTGAAGTAACAGTATATCAACAGTTTGTAACATGACAGCGTTTCTCATCATCCCGGTGCTGTTCCCACTCTCACAATCCGTATTTAAAGGGAGACTATACTCGGATCAATTGGCAGTCCTGCCTATTTTCATTCATCTTATTTAAAACCCACTTCGTCTGTCAAATGAAATGTTATTGATAAATGTCAATATAACAGTTAACTATTATCCTAATTACACAAAACATATTGCCCTTCCAATGAGGCAGGATATGACTACCCTTACAGCGAACACCAGGGCCCACTTGCACAAAGTATGGAAATTACTCACTCACTCACTCACTCACTCACTCACTCACTCACTCACTCACTCACTCACTCACTCACTAAGCCGTGGTACATTATCCCAGTCAAGCATCCAATTCATGCTTCTGAATACGTAACACCTGGCATGGTTCCATATTGGCGGGAATGTTAATGGGGAACAGTTACACACTTGAAGTAGGGTCTTTTAACCAAACATAAAGGTTGATTTATGTAGTGTAGTTACACTTTTTCAAATCTGTCGTATAGTTTACAAAGCACATATTCGTGATCCTGTCACGGTTTTTGAACGTTACGAACTTCCAAATGTAGGAAAACAGTGAGTGAGTGAGGGAATGAGTATGGTTTTACGCCGCTTTTAGCAATATTCCAGCACTATCACGGTGGAAGAACGCACATGTGATAATGATAATGATGAGCTTAATGAGACAGATAAGTATTTATTACTGTATGTCTTTATGTGGTCAGGTGTTTAAGTCCTGCCACCACGTTCTGTATTTCTTTATGTGTCAGATGTTTCAGTCATGCCTTGCCACCACGTTCTGTATGTCTTTATGTGTCAGATGTTTTAGTCATGCCATGTCACCACGTTTTGTATGTCTTTATGTGGTCAGGTGTTTCAGTCATGCCTTGCCACCACGTTCTGTATGTCTTTATGTGGTCAGATGTTTCAGTCATGCCACCAAGTTCTGTATGCCTTTATGTGTCAGATGTTTCAGTCCTGCCACCACGTTCTGTATGTCTTTATGTGGTCAGATGTTTCAGTCATGCCACCACGTTCTGTATGCCTTTATGTGTCAGATGTTTCAGTCCTGCCACCACGTTCTGTATGTCTTTATGTGTCAGATGTTTCAGTCATGCCATGTCACCACGTTCTGTATGTCTTTATGTGTCAGATGTTTCAGACATGCCATGTCACCACGTTTTGTATGTCTTAATGTGGTCAGATGTTTCAGTCATGCTTGCCACCACGTTCCGCATGTCTTTATGTGGCCAGATTTTTCAGTCATGGCACCACTTTATGTATGCATTTATGTGTCAGATGTTTCAGTCATGCGTCAGATGTTTCAATCATTCCTTGCCACCACGTTCCGTATGTCCTTTATATGGTCCAATCATATGCTATCCGTCCTGTGTGTCATGTAGATCATTCAGTCATATCTCAATTTGGTACACGATACATAAATGGTCCAACATCGCTTTATTTCTACATATTTCCTTCAAATATATATTTTCAATAAATGTCAACGTGTTCCAGAGTGAAGCCAGGCGTGGATATCTGCAAGTGCTTCAGAAAGTTGGAAGATCACGAAAAGCTGACTGACGTTGATTGTAGGGCGTGGTCTAAGGAGAAGAACACACAGACGTTCAGAACGAACGCGTATGGAGATGCTATTACCAAAACTACAAATGGGAAAGTGCTGTCAAAGTTCAAGGTAATTTGTTTTCTCTCTATCCTACTGTTATAACCAAACGGTATGTTTCATATGTTAACAATTCGAGCAAGCCAATCACTGTTATATTTCATGTTTTAGACTTAAGTAGCAAACGCAAAATTCATCACCGTGACATATACGTAAAAAGATCTTTCGCAAAAGAACCATTTTACCAGTATGTAGTTATAAACGAGTTGAATCTAAGTATAGCATGGGCTGCATACGGTTTTCACAATTTGAGCAACACTCTTGCTGATGTTAAGAGGTGATGCTTTTTCAACATATGCTCTTGATCAACACAAGAGACATTTGACTTGCATGAGCTTTTAATAGCAAAGATTGTATACAAATGAGGTAAGGCGATGGAACATATGGCACATAACATATCGTTAGAACAACCGTGAAATGGAACAGTATTCAACAGGCAATCTGCCAGATAATTATACTTATACTGAGATCAGCTGGAAGGATCTCATCACGAACTATCTCTTGATGAAGGACCTATCTATGTTACATGACCCAAGTTGCGTGTAATAACAGCAGCGTTGAGGCGGCACCTTGTGGCACACACTTATGCACGGCAATGCACCGCTGTCAGTGTATAAGAAGGCTATAAATGTCACGGATACACTAGACACGGCGTAAACTGACTGACATGATGTGTAGGTCTCTGTAGCTTCATTACGATATGCAAGACATGGGTATCACGTTGCTAAGTGCGTAAATGCTTGGCCATGAACGAGTAGACTTGTTCGCCAACTCTTCTTTGTCTGCATTTTTGCGAATTCCATAGCCACGTAGATTTGTTTTGTATGTTTGTTGTTTAACGCCGCACTCAGCAATATTCCAGCTATATGACGGCGGTCTGTAAATACTCGAGTCTGGACCAGACAATCCAGTGATTGACATCATGAACATCGATCTATGCAATTGAGATACGATGAGATGCATCAACCAAGTCAGCGAGCCTGACCATACGATCTCGTTTGTCGCCTCTTACGACAAGCATAGTCGCCTTTTACGGCAAGTATGGGTTGTTGAAGACCTATTCTACCCCGGAATCTTCACGGTCCACGTAGGTTGATGCATGGGCACATATCAGCGCCCGGGGGCGAATATCACACATACGAACGTACAGAAGGCAGCAATAAGTAATTAGATGGGCTTCATGTAAATATTTCTCAAACGTGATGTTACTTTTTTCAAAATGTTGATCACAACAGATCTGAAGCGGGGCCGTTGCTAATACATTCGTGTTGTGTGGTCTGGGAAGCAAGCCGTATTGTATTCTTACACCAGTAATTGACAAAAGATTTTTTCATGCACTATATTATTTCCGACAATTAGGCCATATTATACATTTTAAAGTCAATTCTTGGCATGTTGTTGGTGACCATGTCTACCTAAAATACTGCTTTGCTAGGTCCTTTCATATACTCACTTAGGACCTGTTTTCTATTCTTTCACATTCTACGTGTATATAAATTTGATCTTGTAATTAACCACGCGGTTTCTGCTTTAATCAAAATATGTCCACATCACAATTTCATGGAAAACGTGATCAAATAATGAAGGAAATAAGATTAAAAGCATTTTCTGTGCATTGAATACTGTTAATTTGTTGATTTAGATATAAATGATACTGCTCATTTCGTAAGTTTTCAAAGTATCCAGTTGGTTTCACCTGTAATATACCCCTCTCACGAATTTATAATAAAAAATACCTTACACCATTAAGAACAACCTTCCCCGCGATTGTTAATATTGGTCTCGGGGTCACGCGGTCAAAGGGACTTTTGGGGCGGTGGGGTAGCCTAGTTGTTAAAGCGTTCGCTCGTCACGAAGAAGGCCCGTGTTCGATTCCCCACATGGGTACAATGTGTGAAGCCCATTTCTGGTTTCCGCCGTGATATTGCTGGAATATTGCTAAAAAGCGTCGTAAAACCATACTCACTCACTCACGGAAAGGGACTTTTGTTTGACCTGAAGTATAAGTTCCTATTCAAAGACGAGAAAGGGCGTTATAGCTGTTACCAAGTGGGTACTTGTGAATCCTACATAGAAGTGGACTGAGTGTTGTTTCACTATATATCTCAACATCACTTGAATTTACAGCGGATGGCAACATAGCAATGCCTATGCTATGTCATGTAGACGTAAGTCTATGTTGGTGAACACTTCAAAACCCATTGATAGCATGGTTATCTTAAAGAACAGGCGATTGATAAACATATTGACATTGTTTCATCTCTGTGTATGTGAAAATGGCACTCGGTGCGTTTCAGACGTCAGATTTACACGTGTGACGTACGCTACATCAGCAGAACAGCAGTGCGCCTTTGATGCTGTAATTGACGACGAGACAGGAGCAAGTATCGGGGCTGTGTGGCTGATAGGCAGTGGCTGGGTCACATCTTGCTGACTCTCTGCCCTGGTAGTGAGTGACCTGGTTTACAGTTTTGTAACCACCATTCCCCATGCTTTAGACATCTCGCACGGTAACTGTTAACATAGGTTTGAATGATCGTTATACCAAGTACGTATGCATTTCTACTGAGATACCGATTCATTTAAACTGTATTAACCCAGAAACAACACATTCCCGGGGAATAAAGTTTTATGCAGGCGAAAAAATGCATTAAGCCTATGCCGCTCCATGTGTTGAATGTTAGAAAACCCGTTTTACCAGATGGGCACCATCCTGTTCAACGACGTTTACATGATTCAGTAAACAATCGATTCTGATTGGCCGACCAGAGGGTTCAAATTACAATAACATACCTTTGATTGTAACAACTTATTTGACGGTCTCATCTCAACGTGTTTAGTACAACATGGTAACATTAAAGGGGCACTAGGCTCGAGCAAACTGGCAGTACCAGCTAATTGTATTCAAATTGTTCAAACACCATAACAGGTGTTTGTCTGCTACGTTAGATTGCATGGCGTATATCAACTTGGCGTTGGACAAAGTAACTGTTCCCATCTGTATCCCATCCTTTTGAAAACTATGTGTTTTAGATGCTCATGTACCACCAATTGTAGTATTCGAGAATTAACACTTAAGTTACACAGTGACAGTGTCTCAGTTTCACACACTGCACATAGTTAACGATAGATCTGGTCGGACTGGGATGCAGGCAGTGGAACTTGCCTTCCTTTTATGTACTGTTAATGTTTGAGTAATGAATAATTATGTAATATATAATCAGTTTGCTTGGCATTATGATTTTATGTAAATATAAAACGTCAATACATATGTTATACAATAGAGGAAGTTTGTGCTGTATTTCGCCGATGTTTAGCTGTCACTACATGTATCCGTGTAGTACACAAGCCTTTGGCCTACATGTACAAAAACACGTTAGTGCTAAGACTAGTGTAACTCCAATACTTTCAATATGAAACGTCAACGCCATAGAATAACCACCGTAAAAAGCCAGCTGTGAAAATTATATGAATACGTCACTGAAAATTAGCGAGGAACCAGGATCTCATCCTCTATATCTCCTGGGCTCGTATTTCGGTAAACCTACACTGGGTGTAGTAAGTGTAGTTTTACCACAATGCGAGCCCTGGATATATAGAGGCTGGCTAGATGTTGGCGACACGAGTAAGTGTGTCCTGCCCAACCTATGCGGTAAACGGTTAATGCGGTTAAGATGTCCCTGTCGTTATTTCGAACTCAGGGCATGGGGAACTAATGTCTCCTTTACGACTGTTGAAACGGCCACTTGAATTCTTGCTTACATAACGATAACGCTGTGATTAAACTGATTTATTGTGCAAAGCGACGTTAAACCAAACCCATTCATTTCATCAGTATACATGAAACTTGTATTCTGCACCATACCATTTTATACACTAACCAGACGTCCAAGTACAAATATCTTCAACCAAGATCTACTCAATACTATTGACGAATGACGTAAAGTGTAACACAAGCGATAAGATATCCCTGCTTGAGATTACTACAGGTCAACAATCAACGAGAACCTTAATATCAATATTTACTTTCTTACAAGGATACGTAAACCAATATTAAATGCTGTTTCATTTGTATGTAGATATTGATAGTTACATAACGTTTCCCGACAATAAATCCTTTGTGAAGCACGTGTCCTCGTTGCGTATTGGACATTGTACTTAAGGCGATAAAGGGAAAACGGGGAATCTGTTATCGCTTGTCGTTTCGCTCTGTTTAACAGTAATAGTACATAGTGTCTGTCCTTGGTTGAATACGTTAAACACATTGCGAAATAATACGGACATCGAGATCACGTACTGATTGCTTATTATAAATATTGGTAGTATGAAACCGGATTCTAAGGACATTGAGCCGTTGATTCATTTTGACATTGCTTTTGAGTGAGTGAGTGAGTTGGGTTTAACGCCGCTTTGAACAGTATTCTTGTTACACCATGGCGTGTCAGCTTAATGTGGGAGGAAAGCCCGAAGTGATGCATGTCTTAGACGTTAACCACGAAACCCACGAGCACGGGTACGGTGCCGACAAATCAAGAAACATAACCGGGCCGAACCGGGATTCGAACCTTCAATCATATGTTTCTGGCGTGTCCTAAGGAGTCAAATCTGTACAGCGAATGGCGATGATTGGCCACCAGTTCCCCCTGTCTTTGATCGTGTGGTATTTACAGAGGTTATGGCATTTTTTCTGGCATGATATTTGTGAAATAGCATAATGCTTTTAATAGCTTCTAGTTGCATATGAACAATACTATAGTACAATATAAGAATGGTGGTTAACTATAGCTCTCAGAAATCCTATTTGATTTGAAACACTTCAAACCTTCTTGCACTTGTGTCATTAAATAATTGAAAAAGTGATTTACGATATATGTCATGCCCATTCCCATATACTATGACACACTATTATTATACATGGATATGCGAGTCTCATCATGTATATCTAGGTGGAGGAGGACTATATATGTATCTGTCTCTCCTCCAGTATATTCAGTTGGAGGACACAGCCTTATATATGTGTCTGTCTCTCCTCCAGTATATTCAGTTGGAGGACACAGCTTTATATATGTGTCTGTCTCTCCTCCAGTATATTCAGTTGGAGGACACAGCCTTATATATGTGTCTGTCTCTCCTCCAGTATATTCAGTTTGAGGGCACAGCCTTATATATGTGTCTGTCTCTCCTCCAGTATATTCAGTTTGAGGACACAGCATTATATATGTGTCTGTCTATCCTCCAGTATATTCAGTTTGAGGACACAGCATTATATATGTGTCTGTCTCTCCTCCAGTATATTCAGTTGGAGGGCACAGCCTTATATATGTGTCTGTCTCTCCTCCAGTATATTCAGTTTGAGGACACAGCTTTATATATGTGTCTGTCTCTCCTCCAGTATATTCAGTTTGAGGGCACAGCCTTAGAAATGTGTCTGTCTCTCCTCCAGTATATTCAGTTGGAGGACACATCATTATATATGTGTCTGTCTCTCCTCCAGTATATTCAGTTTGAGGGCACAGCCTTATATATGTGTCTGTCTCTCCTCCAGTATATTCAGTTTGAGGACACAGCATTATATATGTGTCTGTCTATCCTCCAGTATATTCAGTTTGAGGACACAGCATTATATATGTGTCTGTCTCTCCTCCAGTATATTCAGTTGGAGGGCACAGCCTTATATATGTGTCTGTCTCTCCTCCAGTATATTCAGTTTGAGGACACAGCTTTATATATGTGTCTGTCTCTCCTCCAGAATATTCAGTTGGAGGACACAGCCTTATATATGTGTCTGTCTATCCTCCAGTATATTCAGTTTGAGGGCACAGCCTTATATATGTGTCTGTCTCTCCTCCAGTATATTCAGTTGGAGGGCACAGCCTTATATATGTGTCTGTCTCTCCTCCAGTATATTCAGTTGGAGGGCACAGCCTTATATATGTGTCTGTCTCTCCTCCAGTATATTCAGTTGGAGGACACAGCTTTATATATGTGTCTGTCTCTCCTCCAGTATATTCAGTTGGAGGACACAGCTTTATATATGTGTCTGTCTCTCCTCCAGTATATTCAGTTGGAGGACAAAGCCTTATATATTTGTCTGTCTCTCCTCCAGTATATTCAGTTGGAGGGCACAGCCTTATATATGTGTCTGTCTCTCCTCCAGTATATTAAGTTGGAGGACACAGCTTTATATATGTATCTGCCTCCAGTACATTCGGGGTTGATGAGAATACGGCCTTACTTATGTGTCTGTCTCTCCTTCAGTATGTCCGGGTGGACGAGGACACGGACATGGACACGACGAGACATATGCTGCTGGAGGTGTGGCAGGTGCCCCCTCCGGACTGGATCCTCAGCGTGATGGGGGAGGTGGTGGACATGCAGGACAAGGACCAGAAGGAGGAGAAGTTCTCACAGGAGCTGAAGGCCACTCTGTCAAACATTGCATCAAACTCAGGTACGGAGATCCGTTTAGGATCCACTAGTTATAGGTATGGTTAATGTATGGGAGCTAGACTTAATTAACTATGACTTGACTAGATAAATATAAAATTTGAACAACGAAAAGAATTTATATACTTATGGTCACCTAAGTACTATTTGCTATGTATCGACTGTGGAATGAAAACTTGCTTCTTTACTAACCATTCTTGATTTCAACAAACTTTCCGCACTGATCCCACCTATTGACGTAGCAAGCACTTTGAAGTTGATAATAATTTCTTTGTCTGTTTAAAGCCGTCACGATATACTTTATGATAGACAGGATCACTCTTGATGCTCCTTCTTTCAGTCGTGTGGCTCATGACAGAGGGTCTTGACGAGGGCTTGTCTTGTCTCGCCGGGGATGCTGCAGCAGAATGTCGCAAAGACGAGTACCTCTGTGACAGAATTATTCCCCTTGGCATAATGTCATGGGGTGACCTTGAGTCCAGCGAAGGTCTCCTTAATTCCAAGGTAAAACTGGCCCTTGTTCAATTCGGATATCTTTACAATATCACAATTGCTTTGCTGCAAATGCCCCTTCGGCAGATTCAAAGCGTCGGAACGAAAATCATACTTTGGTAACATTGTTTATTGTTTTTCCAGCGCCCCAAATCTCGAGGACCTGCAGAGTACGTCATTCAAAGCGGTATTGGCGATCAGTTAGGAAAATCAATCACACACTCCATTTTGGTGGACAATGGGACGCGGAATCCAGTTTTGTGCAATACCTCCTTTCAGATGTTCTGGCTTAACATGGCGCTCAACATGGCCGACTTCGATGATGGTACTTGTTCTTTCGCTGTATACTAGTATGCTATATGTATTGTTCACTCGAAAATAATCATTCTTATATATTTACTCCGATCCATCTCACACACACACACACACACACACACACACACACACACACACACACACACACACACACACACACACACACACACACACACACACACACTTTCCAATGAATGATCGGTAATGGTTTAGTCCCATCAATACCTGAACTAGGTAACGGACGGTCGTGGTGTTTGCCGATGGTGGGGGTGGTTGGCTTAGTGGTTAAAGCCTGTGCTGGCCACGCTCGAGTGAGTGTGTGAGTGAAGTGAGTGAGAAGGGGTTGTCGATGTGACCTGCAATACCACGCCGGGATAAACCAAGAATGGGATTTGTACCGGTGTGGCGATCGAACCCGGGAGTGACAAATGAAGGCTTTAACCACTCGGCTACCCATATGTTATTGATTTCGTTCGCCCTGATTATAATACTTAGTAAACATCAACAGCCTGCATCACTTTAGGCTTTCCTCAGATATCAAGCTGACACGATGTTACGAAATACTGTTAAAGGCCGCATCTCATCTCACATTACCACCCACACCACACATTACTAATCACCACAAACTGCATCCCTTGGATTTTATTTAATTATCTCGGAATCATGTTTACATATGTGTCCATCCTTTTGGTTTATTTCAACTATTGCAGTCTTTTTATTAATATGTTTACTTACTGATTATCTCATGGCCTAACCATCAAACTCCCAGACCGTCTCATTTTCCCTCCCTGCCTTATCGCGGCTAGAACTCTCCATCCTGTTGGTCGTCAACATTAAGTAATACACGACACTTTTATGCATTGTTTGGCGTGTGTGTTATCCGAACCAGGAACTGCTATGGTAAGTTAGCGCGGTGTATTTCCACTTCGACCGGAAACCAGAGGCTAACTGAGCCAAATGCTGTACAGCTACCTTCCTGAACGCGGGTCGCCTTACCACAGAACTGTATCCCCGAGCAGAAACAGTGGCCCCCATGAGACAGATTGAGGTTGTCGTTAAGATGCCTTCCTTTTTATTTATGAAAAAATGTAAACGGATATAATATGAATGTTATATATAACAGATATAAAGACCTTCGCTATTGTAACGGAGAGCGGATGAAAGCGTGCATTGTCCACTGTTATTATCAACCTTGACAGAAGTTTAAGGAACATTATTTAGAGTGCTGAATGATGCTATTGTAAGACCCCACTGTATAAACATCTTTTATTATAAAGATCCTTGCAATTTGACCTGATTTCCCATGCCCGTGTGCCAGAACCAAACAACCTACAAACATGCACACATGACGCATTTAGCTTAAGAAAATAAACATATATCGCTAGTCTTCACTGATGAAATCCACAGTCGACTAAGGTACCCTGCTAAACGACCCCGGTTTCACAGAACGATATTAACTCAAAGACCATCTTAAAGCTGTGTTTTGGTGTGGTAGTTACGACGGTCGTTGCGTCTTATGTAACTATGCCGCCGTAAGCATTCAACCTTAGGGGTTTACGTAATATCTTAAAATATTGTTGTAATTATTTGTTAAATTATTGGAGTTACGATAGTCTTAGCATTAACGTATCTTTGTGCATGTGGCCCATAGACTGTGAGTGCTACAGGAATAAAAGTATTGACACCCAAACATCGGCTAAATACAGAACAGACTTTCTCTGTTGTAAAGCACACGCTGTAGTCTTGTTACTGCAGCACAATAGACGTACATAGTGCCACGTGAAACACATTAGTGAGCGCGGTATAAGAAGTAATTACTATAGCAGCCCGGATACAGGTTTTGATGGTACACGTGACACAGGTGCTGGCCTCATGATTCAATATACAGCGTTTACGAGTTTGCTGTGGTAACATTTGAACGGATTTTCCCCTGGTATTGCAAACACAATTGACCTTTTAACTCGGAGGAAATTGGCTGTTGAATGGTGTTTTATACCGTCTGCATTATCTTTAATCCGGTTTGAAGTATGTAAACCATTCGTTCCCAGTTTCTCTCGCAATGATACGAATTGGGATGGACTGTGTACAAACCAGTGGTTAAATTATCAGTCTTATAAGAGCATGGCATTACACTGACAACTTTCCTCTCAGTGCCGTGACCATTGTTGGATAGGTAACAATCCCTATTATAAGACCATGGCGCCACAATGATGACTCTCCCATCAGTGCTGGGATCTGCTGACCCAGATGTGATCTTTGGTCTGTCAGCACGTGGGTTTGCCAAATTCGTAACTGATCATGACCTGCATTCCATTCAACTGAATTCCTTTTCACTCACTTACGCCCTTTATAGACCCGTCAAGACCCGGGGTAGAATAGATCTTCAGCAAACCATACTTGCCGTAAAAGGCGACTATGCTTGTCGTAAGAGTCGACTAACGGGGTCGGGTGGTCAGACTCGCTAACTTGGTTGATGCATGTCATCGATCCCAATTGCGTGGATCGATGCTCATGGTGTCAATCACTGGAATGTCTGGTCCCAACTCGATTATGTACAGGCCGCCGTCACATAGCTGGAATATTGCTGAGTGCGGCGTTAAACAACAAACAAACAAACAAACAAACAACTGAATAAGGTCAGAGAGGGGCACCGATGGCAATCCCAAGAGTTGCTTCCCGTAGTCGTGCCGGAATCCTATGCTCATGGTTTCGAATCCCAAATTCGCTCTGGTTAGGATTCTTGGTTAGTTGACACCATACCATGCTTGTGGGTTTCACCAAAATGACAAACGCCAAAGACCTGCATCATTTCGGGTTTTCCTCCAAAATGAAGCTGCCAGGTCCTGATATAACTGAAATGATATTGATATCAGTCTAAGGGGAACATGGATATGATGCAAGATGTTCATAATCAGATCACATAAAACTACTTGTTACTAATCCTCGCTAATGGTTGATACACCACAGATATATCTGAGTAAACCATTAACACATACGCAAAAACAGTGTGTGATTAATCTAACAACAACCAATTGTGTGTGGTTTCATAAAAGTGATATATGTCTACTGTCCTCTTAGATTCCTCGTCCATCCCCCTCGTCACGCTGATGTACGGAGGCTGGTCCTACATCCTCGACGGCATAAAACGGTCGCTGCTGGAGGACATTCCGATCGTTATCGTGAAGGTAAGACACTGATATACGCCTGAAGCGGTGGCTTTATAGCCTACTCAGTGTATAGTAAAGATTCAGTTAATAACGGTTAACGCAGCTTGTCGCATTCTTGCATCAGCGTCACTACGTGACACTCAATATGGTTATAGATTGAACCCATATGGAGGATCGAGCCTGGCCTGGTGCTTGAACTAACACATTGAACCACAAGGCCACTGGCTTAAAATGGACGAACAATGGTTAAAATACTTACTACTTAGAGATAAGTAAATATGACCTGTAGTCAACCCGACAGAGCAACACTAAAGGGGTAGTGTTTCATAGTAAATCATGTGTAAATCATGTGTTCGCCCCAAAACCCGGGCCCGATGCCAAACATTGGAGAAATGTCGTGTAAACTGGTGAAGCCGCATCTTCCCGAGGCAATAGCGTAAACTGACTATAAAAGTCCCGTTTCCACCCTTGCCGAACTAGGCTGGAATTTTCAGGCTCGATCGAAGCGCCATCAGTAGCTGTTACGAGTTATGTCCCTTCTTTGTTCCTCCTATTGAGCAATCAGATTCCATCTCTCATATCACGTGCATTTGCTTCAAACAAAATGGCGGCGCCCAGTCAAGGCGATCTGCTCGATGATCAAGATCTATATTGAAATAAAACTTGACTTACCCCGCGAAGCGCATCATATCACGTGAGCACCTTGATTAAAAGCATGAAAGAATTTGCAAAATATCTGTCGACATCCAGTTGGCGTTGCACATGCTTTGCAAATCCTGCAGTCGACCGAAATCTGCACGTTGAAATCCAAGTTGTTTACGAACCGGATATCTAGTTCGTTACGCGATTTTGATTGGACTATGCATAGTCTCGTTAGTCCAGCCCAAATGTAACTCCATTATTGCAGCCTAGTTCGGCAAGGGTGGAAACTTGACTTTATACTCAGTTAACTCCCTTGCCTCGGGAAGACGGTTAAGCCGTAACCTACCAAATCACTCATGGCTAACCCAAATATTTGCTCGTGAAGTCCCGGATATGGCTTGACCTCTAAGACGTTTAGATTTCTAACTTGTGTATGTGTTTATTTATTGTTTAACGCCTCACTCAGTAATATTCCAGCTACATGACTTAGGTTCTCACGCCATGAATAAAATATAACATGTACGTTAAACACAGACATAGATGCAGAGTATAGATGGAGCGGTGGAGTAGCATGGTTAACGCGTTCGCTCGTCACGCTGAATACCCTGGTTCGATTCCCTACATACTGAAACATTGCTTAAAAACGGCGTAAAACCATACTCACTCATTCCCCTTCATTTGTTTTCATATTGCTACAATAATTTAACGGCATTGGTTTTGGTTGGTAGCCTTAGCAACTGTTTTCTAGACATTTAACAATCGGGATGCTTTGAAGTGTTTTAAAGGAAATTATTCTTGCAATGTCTGGACATCCGGAGAAGTTAAGCCTGCATTGAAATGTTTCACCTTGAACCAGGATTCTACGAAGTATAACCGCACGTCAATACAAAAGTTTACTTACGAAAATAATTGAGATTGATGTTTCACACATGCCTACCCGGATGTGTGAGTACAGGTCCCAGATTGGTCCATGAAAGGTATTGAATCTATCAATAGACAGCAAACTTAATGGACCGCGAAACAGAGTTCAGAAAGTACACATTCCACACCCCAACTTGTAGACAGCTTGATTTTAACCGACATGGTAATTTATGTTGCGAAAAGCGCTAAGGTTTGCTGGTTGAAACTTATGCGACTTAAAAAGTATGTTTTTATCATTTACATCTAGGTTATTGAAATTTGGGTCTTGTTCTTATCACGTATTGTGACGTCATGTCGGGTTTGAAGAAGGGGTGTCATGTCAGCGACACCGTGCCCGAAGTCACACTTCTTGTCCTCGTTTATTGCGAACCCAGCCGGGGTTATATTTGATCATCACAATGACAACGTTACTTCTATTTAAGCCTAAACTAGCAGGTATTCAGTCGTCAAAATGTTTTCATGAATGTACCCGCTCAAAATATACGAATGAATGATCACAGGGTAAAAGTGCATTATCACTGATTCTTGGCAAGTCGCCAATCTGTTTGTATATTTACGGGATGGTAATTCTCCGAGTGAAGACGTCTCATGCTGTTTCTCGTGTAATTACATAACTGCTTTTAGTGGCATTTAGACATTGGTGTGATTAACAAGGACAAGTTCCTATGGATAAACAACTTCTTTATTACAACTGTGTCTGTGTAGATTCTAACACTATTATTACTTGCTTGATAAAGTTGTCAGACATTATACTAAACGTCACCTCAGTTGCAATAAAGAAGATGTTTATCGATAAAATCTGGTCCATGTTCAATTAAACAAAGACATATATTTACCATAAAGTGTATTTCCGTGAAAAGATGGTCACCAAACCTGTGGTCAGTCTTGAAAACTACGCCCGCCATGTATCGAGAGTGAGCGAAGCAGTCGTAAAATCTACATTTACCGGCTGTTGGGCATGTTCGCAGATTTTATGTCCACTTCATGGGATTCGTGTCGCATGTTACCACAAGTATCTCCGAGATCGAAATGTTGATGAAATCACATCGTATTGTACTCAACCATGAAACCTTGTTACGTCTTATCGCTTCAGCTGACCAACCAGCTTTTAAAATATATAAATGCACAGTTGCAACAATCAGAAAGTTACCACACTCGATCTTTCTCTACTACAAGTAATGGGTATTATTCTAATTTACAACGCATTACAACTAGAGCTACATCGCGGCTACGACCACTCACAGTCAGTCAGTCACATCCAACAATTCATCTTCAATATTCATACCTGGCATCCATTTTGGCCACACGATATTCATTATGATGGCCTCGTACAATAATAAGTAACATTTGCAATACCCAGGATCCCGCCCCTCCACCCCACACCCCCACACCCCACCACACCCACACGGAATTACCCATGAAACCGTACCCTCTCATTAAGTCGAATGTCGTTAACAGAGATAAACATGAAAGAAAAAGATCATTTGTTTTAAGAATCATAATTCAGATTTGCGTAAGTTACATTAACGCAAAATCCTGAGATGCATCACATGTATTTTATTGTAACAGTGGTAAGTGAAACTACGACCCCTGTAATTGGATTCCGGGGATAGTATCTCCCCCCCCCCCCGCGAGGGTCCTCCACACCGTCGTGAAGAGCCTACACGTCAACAGTTAATCACGAGTATTACTATGTTGTTGTCAGGGGTCAGGAGGGATCGCAGACATCCTGGCGACTGGCTACAAGGAGTCCCATGCTATAGTCACGGGGCAGGGGAAGGACCAGGACGAGAGATGGAGGTGAGATCATACCATTATACCATTACGTATTTATTTTATTCTTACGAATTATTCATATTGAAGTACTAAGTATCGTTGTTGCTACTGTTTAATTACCCTGGGGCGTTTGTCAAGTTATAGATAATTTATTCGGATTTTTTTATCATTTGCTTGTTTTAGGGATTATATTTTGTGTGTGACAAAAACAATTCCATAATCATACGAAAACTCTGCTAAAAGCAGTTTATAAGGAAATGAATGACTGATTTTCTGTTACACTCTAAAAACGATTTAAAATGAGAATGGGAAATATGTATTTTTGTAAGTGTACAACATTCATGTACCTACTGCAGATCCATTTACAATCATTTAATAATTCGACAATTCGACAATTCTCTCCGAAGATAGGAATCGGGGTAAAACATCTGATTTGAATGAGATTGTCAAATGATACGGATAACTAACCGACTCACTACGACATTGGATGTGTGGCTTTGTCGATGTTGCAGGACGGGCACGGTGATGGACAGCACGTTGCGACAGAAGCTGCGGAGGAGGATCGAACGGTTCCAGAGACACAAGAAGGGCGTAGAGGAGGTACTGCATGCCATCCTGCAGTGTCTTCAGAAGAGATACCTCCTCACCGTGTACGACATGGACAACCCAAACGATAATCTCCTCAGGGCGGTCTTGCAGGCGCTTCTAAAAAGTCAGTTTGTGAAAATCACAATTAGTAAATAATTACATCATCAATGTGCTTTAAATTATTACGACAAAATCCTATTCATAATTATAGAAATATATGTTAAAAGCAGAGTCAATTGTACGATTCCGTTAATGTCATACAGTAAACTACGGTTATAACGAACTCAAAGGGACCACTAATTTTAGTTCGTTATAACCGTAGTTCGTTATACGCCTATATACAGCATATGTTCAAAAAATATAAGTTCGTTATATCGGTGAGTTCGTTATAAGCGTGTTCGTTATAATCGCAGTATATTGTATGTATGTGTTTATGAATCACTATGAAATAGTGATGACACGAGGTGTGTGCGAAAAGAGGGCTCGAGATTTTGTTTGTGAATCTTATCTTAGTATTTGCGAGTCATATAAGGACAAGACTTTATGTACATTTAATTATGACGCATTCTTGTGGTACGAGTCGTCATACCACTAATGTTTATCATTGGCATTTATCCTGTTTATGGGTATTAATGAATATACGGGAATAAGGAATGATTTGAAGTGTGATATTACAAATATACACATCCTTCCTCACCAAATGTGAAATATTCATTGAAGGTACATAAATACTGATTTATTTGTATCACCATAAATGTGCACTTCTGGGAATCTCATAGACAATATTAAACCTCTGTTTGAACCACCACAAAGCAATAACAGTCGCACAGAGGATCGAGTTTGAATTGATCGTCAATGAGTTGATATCTTTATTTATTCCGAAAGTGACATATTAGATATTCTTTTATAACATTTATGATTGTCACGTATCGCTGCAGCAAAGAAGACCCACGAGCTGTTACGACTGATGGATCAATTTTTCTCAACTCCCGTGTACGATCAGAAGAGCTTCGCCAAATTCGGTAACCTCGTTCTGGATGACATGTTCCAGTCAGAAAGAGGCGTGACAGGTAAGGTTAATTCTCGTACCCTTACACCAAAGGCGTTCCTGACATAAATATACCCTACCCTACTTGTATCATTGTTTATATTTAAAACAATTGTAAACGGAGTTGTACGGAATTCGAAAAAACAAACAATAACTGTTGCGTTTTTATTGAATGTCGTTATACGGATGGCGGTTATAATATGCTTTCTTTATCTTTTTAAAAGAGTTAAATGCTGATATGCATGTTAATGTAACTGTGGTATTTCGATGGTTTTGTAAAGTGCAAACTAATTTATTTCTGTATAAATTAAATATAATTTTCTTTGTTACTCGTACATTAATGATATTGTCCAACAGTTTAATTGTTATCATTATTGTGTATTTACCTAAGCACGTGAAGACGACACACAGATTAATAGTATCCCAAACCCTCTAACCCCCGAAGCCATACACGTTATCTTTGAAATGGATCAATTATATTTTATTATCACCTTCATCAATTGTTTTTTCAATTGAATTTAATTTGACACCGACAACAGGGTGTCAGCAATTTTATCGAGATGGTTTAACAGTTATATAATTAAGTCCCATTCTTGCTGACAAAAACACTTAGAAGTAGTATTATTCGACACAGCAGACGAAACGCCTGGTTTATTTGCACATAGTGTTTGAACACCATGACGATATCGTGGAGAGTAAGTGAGTGAAGATTGTTTTACGCCACTTTTAGCAATATTCCAGCAAATCATGACTGCGGGGGTACCAGAAATGGGCCATGTGGGGAAATTGACCAAAGGTCTTCGAACGAATGATCTAGCCACTATATTACCCCTCTGCCCCTAACTGATGGAAGAACATAAGGGGACACGTAGAACTGTTATAATTAATGTTTACTACTTCACATCCACAAAATCTTCACCCAGTGAAATGTTATTATGTGATTTGTTTACCTTTTTTGAGTAATACTCTGGATCTCTTCGGGCTACGTACCAAATGTCGTACCAATCACATGCTTTCAGCCTTTTCGGGGCTGTCGGGTAACCTAGTGGTTAAAGCGTTCGCTCGTCACGCCGAAGACCCGGGTTCAATTCCCGACATGGGTACAATGTGTGAAGCCCATTTCTGGTGTCCCCCGTTGTGATATTGCTGGAATATTGCTAAAAGCGGCGTAAAACTATATTCACTCACTCACTCACTCACTCACTCAGCCTTTCCGTTATTATTCTCCACCAGCATATGTAAGGACATGACATGTGGACATCTACTGGGTGTGAGATAAGCGTGTATGGGATAACGAGACTGGTGTACTGACATCTAAATATGCTCCAGATGGCAAGAAGACGATGGAGCTGATACTGTTGGAGGCCATTCTAATGGAGAGAGTGGAGATTGTAGAGTTCATCATTGACTTCGAGGGTGTGGACTTCAAAGGATTCTTCACGAACAAGCGTCTTGGGGAACTGTACGACAGGGTAAGGTTTGGTTTCATATACAGACGGACAGTTAGTTGTGCAGGGAGCATAACGCATGTCATGGCATGGGACACCAGAATTGTCTTCGCAGAGGGACGCATTTGGGACTCATGTGAATAGCGAATGCTTATATCACTTGGCTACTCCCTCGCCCCATTATCAATAGCAGACGTGTGGTAAAAGGTCATATTTTTGCAATGACGTTTGTCCACTAACTCACTCATACTGTAAACTACGTTTATAACAAAGACGCTTATAACAAACTGTCGGATATATCTTTTTTTGGTCCTGGCCATTTACAATATATTTGTATATTTGATCATATAAACATTGATTGATATCACGAACAAGCTACGAACTACAGTTAAAACGAATTAAGATTAGTGGCCCCTTTGAGTTCCTTATAACGGTAGTTTACTGTACATACATTCAGATCTGTGTACCAGCTGTCGCAGCTTCAGTCACATTTATAGCTTTGATTTCCTCCTATTTCTTCAGGCGCGATCTTTCCTGCCGAAGGCACTGATAGACGATCTTGACCATCATCAGAAACACGAGGTACGTTGTGCTTATATCCTTACCCTACACGCCTAAATCAGACTCAAATGGTCATTTTAAATTAAATCAGTTTATCCGGAATCTGCAATTGACTTAAAAGAATGACGTTAAAGATCTAGATGCCCTAGACCCTGGCTCTATCTAGCAGGTTCTATTTCATTTCTCCCAAATCCACTTTGTTTGTCTGGTAAGCCAAGTGGTATGGTGTATATCGATCTCTGTGTTTATGAATGCTCTAATTACACAGAGACAATGTTTAAGTTTCTCACACAGCACTGATCACAATGACTGGATCTAGGCTGAAATTGGCCCCAAGCCGTGGAGAATTGATCTCTCTATAATACCACTGATTTGATATATCCTTGTGACAAGAGTCCTACTGCTTGTACTGATGTAGAACTACTGTTGCAGACCCCCTGGCGAGTACAGAACTACGTAGACAGCCGCATCCCCAGCTTCTGTAAGATCAGAGAGGAGAAGACAGGGCTGCTTCTAGGTATACACATACAGCAGTAAACGCCATGGCGACCAGCACCTAGGTATACACATAGAGCAGTAAACGCCATGGCGACCAGCTTCTAGGTATACACATTCAGCAGTAAACGCCATGGCGACCAGCTTCTAGGTATACACATACAGCAGTAAACGCCATGGCGACCAGCTTCTAGGTATACACATTCAGCAGTAAACGCCATGGCGACCAGCTTCTAGGTATACACATACAACAATAATTGCCATAGCGACCAGCTTCTAGGTATACACATAGAGCAGTACACGCCATTGCGACCAGCTTCTGGGTATACACATTCAGCAGTAAACGCCATGGCGACCAGCTTCTAGGTATACACATTCAGCAGTAAACGATGGCGACCAGCTTCTAGGTATACACATTCGGCAGCAAACGTCATGGCGGCCAGCTTCTAGGTATACACATTCAGCAGTAAACGATGGCGACCAGCTTCTAGGTATACACATTCGGCAGCAAACGTCATGGCGGCCAGCTTCTAGGTATACACATACAGCAGTAAACGCCATGGCGACCAGCTTCTAGGTGTACACATTCAACAGTAAACGCCATGGCGACCAGCTTTTAGGTATACACATTCAACAGTAAACGCCATGGCGACCAGCTTCTAGGTATACACATACAGCAGCAAACGTCATGTCGGCAAGCTTCTAGGTATACACATACAGCAGCAAACGTCATGGCGACCAGCTTCTAGGTATACACATTCGGCAGTAAACGCCATGGCGACCAGCTTCTAGATATACACAAACAGCAGTAAACGCCATGGCGACCAGCTTCTAGGTATACACATTCAACAGTAAACGCCATGGCGACCAGCTTCTAGGTATACACATTCGGCAGTAAACACCATGGCGACCAGCTTCTAGGTATACACATTCAGCAGTAAACGCCATGGCGACCAGCTTCTAGGTGTACACATTCAGCAGTAAACGCCATGGTGACCAGCTTCTAGGTATACACATTCAGCAGTAAACGCCATAGCGACCAGCTTCTAGGTATACACATTCAGCAGTAAACGCCATGGCGACCAGCTTCTAGGTATACACATTCAGCAGAAAACGCCATGGCGACCAGCTTCTAGATATACACAAACAGCAGTAAACGCCATGGCGACCAGCTTCTAGGTATACACATTCAACAGTAAACGCAATGGCGACCAGCTTCTAGGTATACACATTCGGCAGTAAACACCATGGCGACCAGCTTCTAGGTGTACACATTCAGCAGTAAACGCCATGGCGACCAGCTTCTAGGTGTACACATTCGGCAGTAAACGCCATGGCGACCAGCTTCTAGGTATACACATTCAGCAGTAAACGCCATGGCGACCAGCTTCTAGGTATACACATTCAGCAGTAAACGCCATGGCGACCAGATTCTAGGTATACACATTCAGCAGAAAACGCCATGGTGACCAGCTTCTAGGTATACACATTCAGCAGTAAACGCCATGGCGACCAGCTTTTAGGTGTACACATTCAACAGTAAACGCCATGGCGACCAGCTTCTAGGTATACACATTCGGCAGCAAAGGTCATGGCGGCCAGCTTCTAGGTATACACATACAGCAGTAAACGCCATGGCGACCAGCTTCTAGGTGTACACATTCAACAGTAAACGCCATGGCGACCAGCTTCTAGGTATACACATTCAACAGTAAACACCATGGCGACCAGCTTCTAGGTATACACATACAGCAGCAAACGTCATGGCGACCGGCTTCTAGGTATACACATTCGGCAGAAAACACCATGGCGGCCAGCTTCTAGGTATACACATACAGCAGCAAACGTCATGGCGACCGGCTTCTAGGTATACAAATTCGGCAGTAAACGCCATGGCGACCAGCTTCTAGATATCCACAAACAGCAGTAAACGCCATGGCGACCAGCTTCTAGGTATACACATTCAGCAGTAAACGCCATAGCGACCAGCTTCTAGGTATACACATTCAGCAGTAAACGCCATGGCGACCAGCTTCTAGGTATACACATTCGGCAGAAAACGCCATGGTGACCAGCTTCTAGGTATACACAAACAGCAGTAAACGCCATGGCGAACAGCACCTAGGTAAAAACCACCAGCTTCTAGGTATACACCTTCAGCAGTAAACACCATGGCCACCAGCACCTTGGTATACACATTCAGCAGTAAACGCCATGGCGACCAGCTTGAAATGTAGTTGGGAAATTACAAAAATGTTGAATGTGTTTGTTTTACCAACTTCTTGATATCAGCCACAGTCTACGTATCATTTCAGACAGTCAGTCGATTATTGAGAAATTAAAACTTGGACCTTTCCACGAGCTGTTCCTGTGGGCGGTTCTCTCGAACAAGTCCACCATGGCCCAGTTTTTCTGGAAGAGGGGAAAGGTATGTCAATGCCATGTTAATATATCAATTATTTAGTCGCAATGATCCTGGGACAGATTTAGGATTGGTGACATAAACGTCCACTTAAGCAGTCTGGCTGATATTGTATCATCGTAGCCTGGCATCATGGGTCGATGTTCACGTTAACGATCACTGGTTTTTCTGGTTTATTATTTTAAACACGTACTGATTAGATCTCTGAGCAAAATTCATTCTCTGACGTTTCATACTGAAATACGTATATTCTCTATAACCAAATATGGCTAGAACACTTCAAATCGTAACTTGATATTCTCCGAAATGTTTCTAAATTTATTTTATTTCATATTCGGTACACGTAGCTTCTGCATGACATCCACCTTCAGGTTTACTCTCAGGAACAACAGTCCTACGTTGTTGTGGTCAAGGGGGCGGTGCGGTAGCCTCGTGGCTAAATCGTTCGCTCTCACGTTGAAGACCTGGGTACAATGTGTGAAGCCCATTTCTGGTGTCCCCTGAAGTGTTATTGCTGGAATATTGCTAAAAGCGGCGTAAAAACCACACTCTCACTCACTCACTCGTGTGGTTAAGTCAGTCCAGATGTAAATAATGTAAATATTTCTCTGACCCAACCAGTAGGACAGGACATGTTGACCCTTTACGCAGACATCTGGTGTCATCACTGAATTTTCACCACTAATTTGCCTTTTACGTCCTATGGAATCAGTTTCGGCCTGTAATCAAGATTACTGGCTTTGACGTTTTAGATTTACTCACAAGAGCATTCCACAAGATCAAGTGTTATACACTGGTGTAAACCAACATTATCAAAAGCACATAAATCGCTGTGTTGTTTATAGCTGTATATCAATGCGGAAAATATGATTTTTTAAAATATTACTTTGTTGTTATTTTCAACTTCTGTCATAAAATTTGTCTTGCCCATTCACAGACTGTAAACTGAACACTGCGTACTGATTTCTATACGTGTATGCGCCTTGTGTGCCCGGCTGTATGTATTACCCTGTTGCCAGGACCTGATCGTCTCAGCCCTGGTGGCCAGCACAATACTCCGATCTATAGCCACGTCCACCGAGAGCATCAACGACAAGAACAAACTCAAGGAACACGCAGGGTGAGTTTTTGTCAGTATTTCTCGATGTATCAGTTTAATTTGAAAACCAAGACACATTATGGAGAAGTGGATAAAAAAACCTCTTTTATGAAACCCTCAAGCTGTCACTGTACTGACATGCCACTGAATCAATGTCAGCTACAGAAACTCACAATAGTCCATAGTCACTGAGATGATGATAGGAAAACTCAATATTCTGTTATTAATTACTGTCAGTCCTATGTATATTTAGCCTTTTAGCATTGCAACTTAGAGGCTTTTGGATGACAGATTCTGTATCTGCAATAAGGACGTGCAGTTACTTTCTTCAGACCCGTGAAGATCCGGGGTAGAATACGTCTTCAGTAACCCATGCTTGCCTTAAAAGGCGACTATGCTTGTCGTAAGAGGCGACTAACGGGATCGGGTGGTCAGACTCGCTGTCTTGGTTGATATCCCAATTGCGTTGATCGATGCTAATGATGTCAATCACTGGATTGTCTAGTCCAGACTCGATTATTTTAAAGATCGCCGTCATATGGCTTGATTATTGCTGAGTGCGGCGTTAAACAACAAACAAACAAACAAGTTACTTTCTTCAGGCTTATCATTAAGTTGTGTGTAACTTCAAACGTATATTTGACTATATACTACTCAATAGAAGTAAAAGAACAGCCGATTTTGTCATGAGTGGTCCTAAACTTCTTTTATGTAGTTTGTCTACGTTGATATGGACTTGCACGTCTTTGGTTGGGTATTATTATCATATTATTCTTTATTATTTAAAAGGTATCGTTATTTGTCGTGTGGATAGTTCTGTGTTGTGTACATTCAATATGTCTTGACTTTGTGATAGCCTTCAAACTGTATTACACTTTTGCAGTCAGTTCCTAAGCCTGGCTATTGGCACAATCGACGGATGTTATAACGAGGACAAGGAGAGGACATTAACCTTGCTGTCAGACATGCAGAGGAAAAACCACTGGCGGGTCAACCTCCTCAAAATAGCGCTGACGAAGGTCAACAGAAGAGTGTTTTCTACGCTAGCGTACAGGAACTATATGAAGTACATCTGGATGGGCAGTATATCACAGGACATGGGACTCGTCAGGGTACACACCACAATAACTAAACATGTCAAGGGATCATTCGTATTGTACCCTGGCCCGTGAAGATCCGGGGTCGAATAGGTCTTCAGCAACCCATGCTTGCCGTGAAAGGCGACTATTCTTGTCGTAAGAGGCGACTGAGGGGATCGGGTGGTCAGGCTCGCTAACTTGGTTGATGCATGTCATCGATCCCAATTGCGTGGATCGATGCGCATGATATCAATCACTGGATTGTCTGGTCCAGACTCGATTATTTACAGACCGCCGCCATATAGCTCGAATATTGCTGAGTGCGGCGTTTAACAACACACCAACCAACCAACCAACCAACGTATTGTATCCTCAGAACTCAAGTCACTCTGCTTAGATATCAAAATTTACATCGTCTTGGTAGAGCTATCCAATGGTACACACCAGGAAGTGTTCGTGAACACGTGGTGTCATCACTATTTGATAATGATTTATAAACACATGCTCATGATGTAGTCTGGTTTTAGCAGAGATTTCTTAGGATATTAAAAAGGTTTTCTCACTTTTATATATCATCATTATACGCAGCGTTGCCGCATGACAGCCCCATCTTTATTATCATTATTCATTGTCACCGTGGATATAATGTAATAGTGGCTGTCTTCGTGATGTTGCTGTAATGCTGCTAAAGCGACTCACTCACTCATTCATCTCTGATTCAGATCGCCGTATGCACCCTGTGTCTCCCGCTCATCCCTTGCCTCATCACGTTCAAGAACTCCTGTAGTGTGTTCGAAGAAGCTAAGACCCAGGCAGACATGTCGGGCTTGGAGACGATGAAAGGGCGTGGCCTGAGACAGTCCCAGGATATCTTGTCCAGCACTACACGGAGAGATATCGCGAGACTACAGTACCAGCCCGAGGTAAGTAGCGCTTATCTCGTTGTCAAGCCCTGCTACAGTTGTGTGGGTTTCGTTGTCCGTAATTATAGCTGCTCATATCGTCGCTAATGACAGGAGTTCGGTCACAAAATACAACCCTGCTTTGAGAAATCGGTTAATTCAGTGAATGGTAAATAATTGAATAACTATATTTCTTGTTGCAATTTGTTATCGTTATAAAGCTTAGCAACATTTAATTTACATGTGTAACTGAAAAACAGTTCATTCACTCACCTATGCCTGATTGGCCAGCCACCGCTCCTTAGGAATGACAATCTCCTCATCTCGTAATAAAATCGTAATAAAGATATATAACTTAACAATTTGCTACAAATAATGTTTGATTAAGTTTTTGATTACAAAGACATTGAGTCAAACTGTATTCTGATACAGAGCCATTTTAAGAATCAGCCACTATGATACCTGTATAGAATGGCTTTTTTCTTGCGTTAACTTTGTTTTCTTAATTGTGGACAAACTAATCTTATTATTTACTACTTTTTTCACAGATCTTGCTGCAGTAAGTATATTTTAAGCCGAATCCTCCAGAAAAATGATATTTGATAATGATAAATATTGATTTAAAGGAAATACAAAGCAGCTTCCGCTTAGTTTTCAAAATACATTTTTAGAGATTTCAAAGTGATGTACATGCATGGTTTAAAATTCAATTTATGGCATTATCAGGTTTAACGTTTATTATGAGTTTTTGTAGCAGTAAACATCAACATTTAGTTCTTTGTCAGACTCTATGACATATAAGTTATAGTCATTGATGAATTTTCTTCAGGCGAAACTTGTCACCCTGTCAGAAAATTGGAGCTTTCTACAACAGCCCCGTCGTGAAATATTATCTGAATTTCGTAAGTGTAATTTTTTCTTTACGATGGAGGAAAACATTATGTGATTAACTGCCAGTGGGTTTCAGACGTTTAAGCTTATTTATGACTGGGTACATGGACGATCGATTTCCCATAAAGGCAACACGTTGTTGATATTTTCATTCATGTTTCTACAATTGAATCAAGAATTAAAATGAGTAAATACAAAACTACACAGGTATGACAGAACCAACACTGTGTTCACATTTATTATGTATAGGGGTGACTTTTAAAAAAGTTTAACTATTTGTTGTGCAGTCTTTAATTAAATGTAAATTCTCATTTCCTGTTGGGGGCACGGGTGGCCCAGTCGTCTAATGCGCCGCGATTCGCTGTGCAGAGTTGCGTCCCTTGGGCACGCCAGACACCTATGATTGTGGGTTCGAATCCAGGTTCGCTCCGATTATGTTTCTAGGTTTGTCAGCACCATACCCGTGCTCGTGGGTTTCGCCGAAGTGATAAACGTCTGAGACCTGCATCACTTCGGACTTTCCTCCCACATTAAGCTGACACGCCGTGATATAACTGGAATGCTGTTAAAAGCGGCGTTAGACCCAACTCACTCACTCACTCACTCATTTCCTGTTCATTCCAGGTTTTTTATGCAGCGTTTCTACTTCTCTTTGCCATCATCATCATGACACATCTGAAGCCGACCGTCTCGGCTTTGGAGGCGGTGTTACTAGTCTGGATATTCTCTTTCTTCGTAGAGAAAGGCTACCAGGTTTGTTAATCTCAGATTATTTCATTCAAAGTGTCTTCTGTAATGCTTAATATTGTAATATTGAAAAGAGTTATATCAATTGTATTTTTCTTTAATTAATAAAGTCAACACTCTGACAGGAGACAAATATAACAGAATTATCAACATTTTCATATGGTGAGAGTATATTTCAAATAAGGAACTATCAAAAATTATGTTTTACCGCTGACGTGTAGGAAATGTGAAAAGTCAACGCCAGGAAATACCTCTCGATTATCCGTCGAAACAAATTCCACTGGGCGTAGAAGGTGGAAATATATGAATGGTTTCGCCATTCCAAAACTGCATTGGACATACTAGACAGTTGGGGAGTGTGGTCGCAAGCCGTTTCCTCAAAATGTTCTGAGGTAGAAAATGTACAATATCCACTTCCAGTTCGTTACCAGTATCGCTGCGATGAACATCGACAACCCCCGTTTCATCGACTACCTCAACAACTTCTACTCCGACAAGTGGAACATCCTCGACACTGTCTCATTGTTCGGTTTTGTCCTCGGGTTTTGCCTTCGTCTCATACCGATAGAAAAACCATTTGAAGCCGGGCGTCTCATTCTCAGCATAGACTTCATCTGTTACTTCTGGAGGCTCCTGCATATCTTCACCATCACCAAGAGGATAGGACCCATGCTGGTCATGATATGGAAGATGGTAAGAGATGGTTATGGGGAAAAATAATACCACCTACCGCAATCAGCGCCACCAGCAACACCACCAACAATAATACTTTTAGCAACAACGATGATGATTATGAATATACTTCCTAGCGTGTACCATTATGTACCTGGTCATCATAACATACCATACAAGGGGAGAACAGCAAAATATCTATTGCAGTTGAGGCGGGGTATATATTTTTTACCAATTGTACTCCGCTGTCGTCAAAACGTCATTAACTAATAATATTCAAATATTTTACATGTAAGGTTAGATAAGAAAATTGATCATGCGTCATTGAACAATAAAATGAAAGTATTTTACTTGTAAGGTTAGATTTGGAAGGTAAGGTCAGGAAATCAATTCAACGTTAGTGACCAATAAAATTTAAGTATTTTTAAATGTAAGGCAAGATAAGGACCTATATCCACCATGTCAAGTAAACACAACGGGGAAACCATGCTTTCATTTTTCATGCACTGTAATGCATGTGACAACTAATCAGAAGTTTCAGAAGAGACCTCTAACGTGCAACCTGATTGTTTCAGATGATGGACCTCGTGCCCTTCCTTGTCATCCTCATGGTCTCCATCTTGTCCTATGCTGTGGCATCGGAAGCCATCATGTACCCAAACGCATCCTGGTCTCTCAGATTTGTGCTCTTCATACCCAGGAAGGCGTTCTTCTCAATCTTTGGAGAATTCTTCTTGGATGAAATTGAAGGTATATATAGGGCTTTCTTATCTGAAATACTGCACACAGTGACTTCGTTCACCCCTGTAGTCTTTTCTCGCACCATGCTCTGAGAGGAGGAGGAGTGGGTGAGTATGGTTTTACGCCACTTTTAGCAATATTCCAGCAATATCACGGCAGGGGGACACCGTAAATGGGCTTCACACATTGTACCCATGTCGGGAATCGAACCTGGGTCTTCGGCGTGACGAGCGAATGCTTTAACCACTAGGCTACCCGACCGCCCCTTTGAGAGGAGGAGAGATTTGTCAGTACAATATCATACCCAGGTCCAGGGAGGGGTACGGGTGCCGCCGTGTACACCCCACGTGTGCCTCATTTTGACGTAAAATGAAATCAACAATAATAAGAATTCATTGATAAATTCGGGCTAAGTGTAAACTTGCTTCATTGAGGCATAATGATTTTTGAGAAGATTGTCGATGCATCCTCTTGATTTGAAAGATTGTTGGTACATCCTCTTGATTTGAAAGATTGTTGATACATCCTCTTGATTTGAAAGATTGTTGATACATCCTCTGATTCTAAAGCTTGGAATCAGCTTAAAGAGACACGTGTCAACTGGTCAACGACAGGGAGAGCAACCAACTCTGGTTATAAATTAACGTAGGGTTGTTTTTGACTCATGTGAGCAACTCTTACAAAGTAATGTATCAGATATGACAACAACAGTCTCATCTGTTGAGCCTAGCCTCATATAAAGATGCTGCTTGTAGGCTCATGTTGAAACCAGTGTCACGGACATATGCTGGGGTCAGTGCTCCAGATACAATATTGAGCCTTTAAGTATTTTCTTTCGTTATTATTCACATTGGGTATTGATAGTTTTCCTTGGGTATTCAGTATAAATATAATCCCTTGAGTACAGTCTAGTGGATATTTTCAAAGCCCGAGTAAACATTTCAATTATTCTGCTTCAAATGCTGTGGCGGGTGACTTCTAATTTGCACCTGCTTGTGTGCGTTCGTAAGTGTGTCACATGTCCATTAGCTCACAACAGCGTTATACATGTCTAAGTTACAATATGCGAGACGTAGCGTTCATGTGCATTATTCTCTTTTTCTCACCCATAAGGGCAGCCGGATTAAATGTAATGCGCTTATGAATAACAGTTTTTTCCTATAAATAACTCGGTTTTGCATTGGTCGCCGGTACTACTTTTTATTCTTTGGTTCTTTCAGTGCTAATATGGAATGAGGCGTCCCATAAATTCTGGATTCTGATTCCGATTAAATAACTGCAACTTGATTAATATTCCATATCCATCCACCCATCCTCCATCCAGCGGCGATATGCATAACTGGCATCGACTCTTTTAACTTGGCTGACTGAGTCGCTGTAACTTTACGTCAACACGTGTGACCCACTTCAACTGACATTCTCGCACTCGCCGATGTTGACTTATAATTTGTTAAAGTTAATGAATTAAATGCACCAACACGTTTCTATATGTTTATCATGTTTTGTATAAGTGTCAAATACAAAAAAATATGTATACAAATATACTCTGAATGGTAACAGCGAGCTATTTTACACAATCCGACGTGTCGTGAAGAGATCGCCTGTTTACTGTTGCGTAGGGATACATTTGTTTTGAGTTACAGCCGCTAATAGTTTCGAAGGTGGTAAGGAATGATCAGGGATGGGATCTCCTAAGAAGTTTGCAGTAAATTTGATTATGGGTAAGAACGAGAATAACCAAATCGAAACTCGGAATTACGGTTTTATCTTTCCCTGGGAATTTCCATCATTGATCCCCTGGGTAAGATTAACCGTAATTCCCCGTAGCTCGTAAGTTATTCTCATAATAAAGATGCCTACACTCAAACAGTACATACAGATCTAGAAGAGAGAGCGAGAGAAACAGAGACTTTATTCGGTACTTAAAGAAAGACCAGTGGTCAAAGTAGCGCCCGCAAGGCATAGTCTTTTAAGTTATGAATATGATTACGGATTTGAACGAAACAATTAGGTAATTTTGATATATTTTGTATTTTAACCTCGGTCTCTGAGCTATTCAGTGTGGAATGTTTCACCTCAGTACGCTGTTCACTCTTGTATCGTTAGACAAACATTTCCGACGTCCATTATTTTGATTTTCAGCAACACCCCCAGACTGCAACATGGACTGGCCCGATGGCAACAGCACCGATCCACGGTGCCCCAAGCCCCTTTCCAAATATGCCGTGCCCCTCCTTATGTCAATGTACATCCTCATCACTAACGTCCTCCTGCTCAACATCATCATCGCTAGATTCAAGTAAGTATTTAGGGGTTGTTATTCCATGCCAGTGCCATATCAACAGACCCGTGAAGATTCCGGGGTAGAATAGGTCTTCAGCAACCCATGCTTGCCGTAAGAGGTGACTATGCTTGTCGTAAAAGGCGACTAACGGGATCGGGTGGTCAGGCTCGCTGACTTGGTTGATGCATGTCATCGTTCCCAATTGCCTGGATCGATGCTCATGATATTAATCACTGGATTGTCTGGTCCAGACTCGATTATTTACAGATCGCCGTCATATTGCTGGAATATTGCTGAGTGCGGCGTTAAACAACAAACCAACCGACCCATATCAACATTCATAACAACATTCACTTTAACAAGGTGATCATTCACCTGGTTAAGAAGTAAGTATATACTCAAAAACGATGATTTTTACCATAATAAAGAAGTTGGCAGCCATGAATTATCTTCCTTATGTGTGTCACTTCCAAATGCCATTCAAAGACTTGAAGGTGATCTTGGTTTAAGACTATTGGGAGCAATCAAGGGACGCCTGGTACAACTGAGGGGTGTGATACAGCTGAGTGGGTGTTATACAACTGATGGGGTGTTATACAACTGATGGGGTGTTATACAGCTGATGGGATGTTATACAGCTGATGGGTGTGATGCAACGGATGGGGTGTTATACAGCTGAGGGGATGTGACACATATCATATGGGCATCGAGGACTTACCTCTCTTGCCAATACCATTCGCTTCGTATCATAAAATAGTATATGTTATGTAAAAGAACTACCTGCTGTCGTAACCAAGACGTTGGTTGTTATTTGTTCCATTTTTAGTGTAAAACCCATTGCTGAATGAAAGTAACACCCAGGATAAGTTTCACGTTCAGAGAGCTACAGTACACTTTTCCTACACCATTAGCGGTGGTGGGGTAGCCTAGGGGTTAAAGCGTTCGCTCGTCACGTCGAAAGCCCCGGTTCGATTCCCCACATAGATACAATGTTTGAAGCCCACCGCGATGTTGTAGGATCATTTTTAAAAGCGGTGTAAAACCTAAATCACTCACTCACCCACTTGCACAATTAGGTAACTGACCAAAGTGATGAAGGAGTGAGTGAGTTCAGTATGGGTTATTAACAGCTTTGAACAATATTTAGCGCGGAAAGATTTCGCACCTTGTACCAACTCGTACTAGACGTGACGAGTGAAGTCGTTAAGCACTGTCCTACCCTCCTTCTCCAAATAACTGAAACAGGATAGAACTGTTCATAGAATTGTCACGGACAATTCACGGGCCTTGATTAGAATATTTCTGTTATTTAGTTCCATGATATTGTGAATATTAACTTGAGCAAGTTGATCATGCAAAAGTACATTTGCTTCAAGCTCTTCATATTATTATTACAGTAAACTACGGTTATAATGAACACGCTTATAACGAACTGACCGATAGAACGAACTTATATTTTAGTCCCGGCCATTTGTTGTACATATGCTGTATATAGGCGTATAAGGAACTACGGTTATAACGAACTAAAATTAGTGGTCCCTTTGAGTTCGTTATAACCGTAGTTAACTTATTTCCTGTAGGTTCAGCAATGTTGACTTTTCCATATTTTCATGTAAGTTCTCCATTGAAAATACTCATAGCTGTGCCATAATTTATCATGTTGACATTCGTAATCTTGAAAGCGGAGTCTAAAGCGAAATTACTCACATACTCTTTTGTCTACAGCTACACTTTCCAGACCATCCATGAGTTAACTGACGAGATATGGGCGTGGCAAAGCGTACGTCTCACCCTGGATTATCACAGAAAACCCCCCGTTCCTCCTCCATTCACCCTCGTGTGGAGATTCTATCAGCTGTGTTGTTACTGCTGCTGCTGCTGCTGTAGACGGAAGGCGACGCCAGAGTCTCAGGACGCCAATGGGAAGTCACCTCGCGTGCCAGATAACGGGGGTTTTGGTAAGTCCCGCAGTGTCAATCGCTGTATTTGGTCTTCGTCGTAGAGTTCTTCCTAATCAGGACTATTAGTCATTTTCATTAGGTCATAAAACCGACCGCTGTGTCACGCGAAGTGAATAACAATAAGATAGACCCACTCTTACTGACTGAAGCAGTCTATTAATTCCCAAGCAGTAGTAGTAGTAGTAGTAGTAGTAGTAGTAGTAGTAGTAGCTGTAGTAGTGAACGAGTGAGTTAGCAGTATCCCAGTCATATCACGGCGTGTCAGCTTGAAGTGGGAGGAAAGCTTGATGCAGGTCTCAGACGTTTACCACTTTGGTGAAACCCACGAACACGGGCATGGTGCTGACAAACCTAGAAACATTATTGGGGCGAAGCGGGATTCAAACCCACGAGCATAGGTTTCTGGCGTACGCAAGTGAAGCAACTCTGCAAAGGTATTAAAATGTATTTCAACTTTGTATACTGTGTTTGCAGATGGTGCCAAATCTCTAAGATCGTCAAACAATCTTGGAATTAAAAGGACTGCTTCGGACAATTCAATACGATCCCGCATGAGTGATAGATACGGTGAAGGGGAAAATGGCGACCTTGGCATGCGGACCCTCAACAGGGGTGACCTTTTGGTCAAATCTCGAAGCCGAACAGACTTATTGAAATCCATGAGCCGATCTGATCTGATACTTGCTTCAAGAACAGAAGACGAAGTAGAATGTACGTCTATAGCAGACGACACAGATAATTACATTGACGTCGATTTTGAGACGGAGATTGAAACGATGGGCGACTTCGAGCGTTCTATGGGCGAGATCCATCTGGCAGTGAGACCGATGGATATACCGACAAGAAGTAGAAAAAATGAGTAAGTGACGGTAGAGAATGTGCCGGAACTTCAAACACTGAGTATACATCTAGATATCTGGGGGAAAATCATTTGTTATTTCTTCCAGGTTTGCCATAGAGATACGCGTATGGCTATCCCTCAGCCCTTAGATGACGTTTTAAGTTTGCAAGTAAAGGTCTTTTAGTGGTTATTATATTTGCGTACATTACCTGATTCAGACAGTTCTTATTGGTAAAACTGAAAAATGTTCGAGTTAGGAGACGAATAAAATGTATGCCAAATGTATAGTTTTTAACCAATTCTTGTTTGCAGACAACCAGAAAGACGGCCCATCTCTGTCATCAGGTATGTTTTACAGGGTTATAGGTTCCTTTCAAGAAATTTGTGTACCCATCAAATATCGGGTAAAAGACAAGGAATCGATTCACAATTTACCATAGTGACATTTCACATTTATAAAATAAAATGTTCTGATTTTTAAACTACGGATGAAGTGTTGAGGAACGTATAAACTAATTATTGATGCAAATGAAAGTCGGAACTAGGAACATGTTCTTATTTTGCTATAACGTATTGAATTCCAAACCACGTACAATTAAATGTGGTTATGTTCAGTGCTGAAAGTAATTATATTATTTAAGCACAAAGTAGGAACAGTTCGTAGTAAAGTGTTGACAATGTTATTGTGCGTTTCCCATGAGTCTAAGGGGGGGGGGGGGGGGGGGGGGTCACATCACTGTCTGTGTTATATCAGGCTGGCACTACGCCGGCATCAGCTATGAAGCAATGCTGCTCTCTCATAAAAAACACCAGAGACAGGTTTCTCAGGAGGATAGCATTTGACTACCTTAATTTTTATTATGTTGTTTGATTTTAAAGCCTGATTTTCGTTTACAATTTATTACTTTAAGAGAGTAGTTTTATTCAGATATAGACATACATGTGGCTTCAATTCAATGATGATTAATGTAGGCTGTTGCCAGTAAGAGGCGACTAACGGGATCGGGTGGTCAGGCTCGCTGACTTGGTTGATGCATGTCATCGTATCCCAATTGTGTGGATCGATGCTCAGGATGTCAATCACTAGATTGTCTGGTCCAGACTCGATTATTTACAGACCGCCGTCATATAGCTGGAATATTGCTGAGTGCGGCGATAAACAACCAAAAAAATCCAAAAGTTATGATCAGTATTGATTTAGTGAGTGAAGGTATTTTTACGCCAATATTACAGCTATATAAAGGCGGCCATGAATATAACGTCAGTGCAAGGCAAACGGTGGTTGATGGCATAGACATCCACGTCGCCGGAGTTCGATCCCACATAATAATAACCCCATTTCCAGGAAGTTAGCGTCTGAAAGTTATTTTGTACAATTTTAAGATCATGTACACTTTGTCAAATTTCAGGCCGACGATTCGGATGAAGAGAATGGCTTCAAAGGAAACGGATGCATAAATTCCAGTGACAATGACCTTTGACCCCCTGACCAGTGCTCCATGTACTTAGTGTCCAATTCACAAACAATAATGACGTGTGCCTAAGGAATATTGTGCTGCCTAATGTTACTGTGATACCCACCATCAAATTGAACCGTTATGTGATAAGGATGCGTGATTAAGGCTGACAATGCATGCCTGTCTTTCAGCCTTGCATCCTCTGATGCTGCCTTCTCAGTGAGCATGGCATCCTAGCATAGACTGCAGCTGTGTAGAGGTAAATGATCAACATTCAAGACAAACTGGCAATAGTGTCAGCGAATGCATTTTGTTTGTGTTAAAATGTCGTAGCAGTTTGTATATACTACTGAACCGTGGAATACTGCCTGTAGTGTTTGGCTGAGATGGACACAACCTGAATGCACCTTTTAGCACTTGCACCTGAAATGTTTTCTTTTAAAAACTACATAGCATAACATTCTCTTATTGGATCATTGTCAGTAATGACTAACATTTTATGGTTTTCATTGCGACTTATGCGTAGTATGTGCTTCATTGTGTAGACTTTACATTCTCCTTTACGGAAACCATTGGAAAGACTGAACCGCTTCTTCGCAGTAATTACTACAGTTGAAACACTCATGTCTCGATTGATGATGCATGATAGCATGTTATCATGTATGTCCCATGGTGCTAAATCTTCTCCAAACATGGAGTGCTGTTGAGGAATGTATGCTTCTTGACTTTAATTACCTGGTTCTCCCGTTTCACATGCCATGACAATTTGTTGTGATAGGATCAGAGATGCTGCATGATTTGACATTGAAGTCATTAGATAATTTGTGTGTGCAAAACGTAATCCCGAAAACTCAAAGTTGTAGTTGCCTTGCCAAAAAACTGTTCTTAGCAGAGTATCGAGTGCATCCTTATTGTACGCATACTGGATACTCTATTCGGTAATGTTTATTCAGGACTGAGAAGGAATATATTTCCGTTACCAACGTTTATCTGTTATGTGATACCTACCTCTCAGTGGTAACCTGTATGTGCCTTACAAATCTCAACGTCGACGGATGGCAATTTGCCAACTCACGTTCAATCAGTCTACTGTAACACTTCAACTTGAACCGCGACTAATGTGTGCCTCTCAAACAAACCCCTGATGGTCACCGTGACTCATCCCCTCCCACCCAAAGTGAAAATGGAGTCCACGAAGGTATCCTTATCTGCCATTCTCAATATTTCTCATTATTATTATTTTTACTCATTCAGTTTGGCTTAATGTTTGGATGATTGTGGATGATCTGGAACCATCTAGTGAAAAATCACGTGACTGTTTGCTTTAGGTCGATTGGATGCTTCTATGTTACTATTTTGAAACATGGAAATTGTGCCAATGGTATTGATTCGGGGTACATATTAACAAGTGCCTTTCTGTAATCACCATTGTGTCATGTCAGAAGCACTATGCACAACTGACTCCTGAAAGCTGGTTCTTGAGGACACCAAGGGCAACTTAACATGAACACATAGGATACGATGGTTAAGTGATGGGTTCAAAGCGTCACATAGAAGCAAGTGGTAATAGTGAAATAGTTTCTTGACGACATTACATGCAACCATAGCGACATATCCACATCCATATTGTTTCTCTGAGATATGTCAGTAAAATATGCAGGCGCTATGACCTTTGGATAACAGGCAAACAGGAACAATACCGAAAACTCAAACGTATGACGTAAATCCTTCTATGTGAAGCTTGAAGTTATCAATCAACCTTCCAGGTTCATCAGTCTTTGCTGCATACGAACCTGAGCGTGAAAATGTTAATAATGTGTACTTGTACTATGGTGGAACCCTGCTTGACTGACTTACATGGAGATTCATGGCGCACACCACAATGTATGGTCAGTGGAGACGAACAATCTTATACGTTGAGGGCACGGGTGATGTAAAAAGGGACTGACAGATTCTTTCCCTGTGCTCAAAGACACATAAATGTGTTTTTATTTCAACAATGCTGCAAGGTATCTTAAAGCCTTCGACAAGTTATTGTGAAATAGGCAGCTAAAACGAAATCATTTCTTACCCATAGTAATACAGACTGACACGTGCATCTATCCTCTATATATGCCGCTGTCCTTTTCTGTTTCTTTTCCATTCGAAAGCGTCGTTGATACATGTGAACCAGCACGTGACCACGGTAATCAAGTTGTGAAAACATGTAGACACACTGTTTCAAACAACTTTTAATATTTGAGTTAATTTGATATTAATGCCAAAACATTTAAATTATTTCAATCAGAATCCATTCTTTCAGCAGGATCGAGTTATGAAGGCCATAGTTGGTCTGTTGTATACAGTGCCTTTTAAAAACACTTCACAGACTTTTTCTTCAAATGGCAGGAGTATCATTTTACAAGATTATGATCTATTAATACTAGTGTTTCAAACTTTTATATTTTCCTTTAATGTTATCCACTTCATAATGTAATACAACATTGTGTATGTAATGTTTTGTACATTTGTTTAATATATTGTATATTTTAATACGAAACCCCATGATATAAAGTATTTGATTTGAAATATGATTTGCCTCATTCATTGTGTGACCTTGTGTTTTTGATAAATACATATTCATCAGTTTTTAAAGATTTCGGATGTCAAGTCGTCTAAGGCACAGCAGGTCGCGGTGCAGACCAGTGTCCATTAGTCGTGCTAGATGATCGAATCCCAGAGTATGATTCATGGTTTGTCAGCACCATGTCAGTGTTTGTGGATTTCATCAAGTTGAACATATCTAGCTATATGTGCACCATGCACGAATGATTAATAATGGTGTCAATGTAACAAATGTTAAATGAGTTAACCAAGAAAGGAGTAGTAAAAACGACCTACCTTCATGGTTGTAGCGATATTCAAGGTGTAAAGTTGCTGAAGGTATATGCTCCTTCACATTACCAAGATGGAGAATTTCCGAAAGAACCTGGACAAGCACTATGATGAGAACAGTCGTGTCTTGATACCTAAAAAGCATACAACAAAATCATAGACGATATATAAGAAGCCACACACACTCCAAGAAATCCTCTAGCCAGTACACTCTTCTGAAGAAATACGAAATTCTTCAGTGTGGTGACCCACAGAAACTAATCAGAAAACGCAAACAAGAGCAAGAATCTCAATTTTACTTTGTAACCACTGAAGAGACATTTGGTGTCATCAAGAAGGTGCATGTTTTCCCTGATTCTTTGTAAGTCTTCGTATGGCGCTAGTATCATTAAAAGAACGTTGGATCCACGTATCATTTTGAGTTTCATGGAAAGCATTCGGGACTTTGTACCATGGTCGTTTCTTAAGCTGCATTTTGGCGACCCATATATCCATATCTGTGGCACCTTTTGGCCGTTAACATTAACTTTGGATACAGACAAGTGTCAAAAACAAGATGACCCCCAATTTTTTATTGATGTTTCAATGGGAAACTTTCATGAAGTGCCGTTTCTTTTGCGGTTCAATATATACTCAACAACAAAAGTTCCTGTGACACCAATATTTTAGTGTATTTTTCAAACAAGTAAAGTTTGGTTTTTAATATTGTAGTACATGTATGGAATCAAGTCACAAAGACGCAACTTCTACAGAAAAGCATGCATTCCATGCAAAAGTTGACTTTTATGCAAGCCCTATGCATTTCACTACCCAAGAATGGGTATAAAAACATGTGCGTTAACGGGTTCCATATGCTTTGTTTAGCATCGTGCTGACAACAAAAACTCAGAAAAACAACAAAATTACGCAATTATTCAACATTATGAAATATCACGCCTGTCCGAAAATGAGCGCCTGCGAGACATTGGTATGCTTGAAGAAGGATCGAGTCAACGTGATGTTGCAAGACAACTTAACGTCCACAGAAACACCATTTGGTGTTTATGGCAACGTTGGCAACAGACGAATGCAGTCCGAAACCTTCCTCGGAGTGGCAGGCCACGCGTAACCAAAAAATCGCCAAGACAACTGCGATGGATTCGAACAACACACCTACGAAATCGATTCCAGCCAGCAACAGTGACTGCAAGAAGCATCCATGGCCTTCGACGAATATCTTCACAAACCGTACGTCGTCGCCTCAGATGTGCAGGGATTGTCGCCAGAAGACCCGCAAGACGTCCAATTTTGACAGGAAGCCACCGTCGAGCACGTCTACAGTGGTGAAAACAGCGTCTACGCTGGACGGCCATGCAGTGGGGACAAGTTCTATTCACTGACGAGTCTCGTTTTCACCTCAGCCACAGCGATGGACGGATTCGAGTGTACCGACGTCGAGGTTAACGTTACGTCAATCATTGTGTCATGGAAAAAGATCGGTTCGGGGGCGGCAGCATTATGGTATGGGGTGGGATTACAGCAAGACAGAGGACCCGTTTGATAGTGGTAGAGGGAAATCTCAATGAACAGCGCTACTGCGACGAGATCATCAACCCTGTTGTTCTACCGTTTTTGCGTCCAGGCATTACTTTTCAACATGACAACGCCCGGCCTCATATTGCTCGACTTGTTCAGGATTCTCTTCAACAAAACAACGTGAATGTCATCCCCTGGCCGGCTCTCTCCCCTGAACACTCATCAATCGAGCACATGTGGGATGAGATGGATTGGCGCCTTCGACGTCAACCACGTGTTCCACAGACACTCCAGGAACTTCGAAACATGCTCCAGCAGATGTGGACAGATATCCCACAGGACTTTGTGCGACGCCTGTTCCATTCCATGAGACGAAGATGTGTTGCTTGCATCGCAACCAGAGGTGGACACACACGCTAAATCACGCATCTGAAGTCAGTATGGCAAATTAAACCATTTGAACACTTACAGGAGTCTTTTATCTGTGGCAAACCGAAATTGTTTCAGATTTGGTAAAAAACATAACTTTGCATTAAATCTTATTCAATGTCACAGGAACTTTTCTTGTTCAGTATATATACATGATATGTTGTGATAAGTAGCAGATTAACATTAACAGGAAATAGATAAGAAAAAACACACAGGTAATTGGATGAAGACCGATGTACAGTAAGAATAAGAAATGGCACACAGGTTGTAATAAGCTGATTGGATACTAATAAAGGGTTTATTTCTTCCTTAGACCTGCATAGGCAGAGGGGGTGTGTGATACGCTTGATCTCTGTAGATCAAAGGTTTGTGACGCCGCATTTCTATAGCTTCTGAGAATCTTTGTTTTAGTGAAGTCCTGACATGATGTTTGATGGAGAGAATTTTGACTTGCTGCCTGTGTTGGCTGTTGAGGTTTTATGTTCTTTGATGTATTCTCTGGGTGGATATCTACCAGGCGGCAGGTTTCCCCTACATGCGAATCACCACAGCAACGTTTAATGTTGGAGGGTGGATTACGGCCATAGGCTTGGAGGATAGTACTGGGGGATGGGGTGCCAGTGGAGATGGTATCGATGCCTGTTTGGTGCTTAAGTAATCTGCTGATTTGAGTTGAAGTTGTGCCAATATAGGGTTTCTGATGGGGGTGGTAGGGGTTAGAGTTGAAGTGAATGTAGTGCTCTGAATGGGTAGGATTCTTGTAGACGGTGGTTTGCTGGGTCTTCTGTCGCAATCCTCTCATGACACTGATCTTGTGTTGATTGTATAATTATATATTTATTAGACATCTCGTGTAACCAAAACACGAAGTGTTGTGGTGCAATGTTCACTTCAGGCCATTATAGTGAATCCTCGGCTTTTTTTTATACATTTCGCTGTGTTACAAATCGTGTTGGGTGCAAATTGCGGTGTAGACTTTACATAGACCACGTTGCCTAGCAACACTCACTGTGGCGTGGAAGTTAAATGCTGAGTGTGATGAGAAACCTGCTCCGTTCGGAGATAGTTATAGATCTGTGGCGAATGTAATAGTTGAGTGAAGTCCGTGGGGGACAAGCAGTTTTTTCCTCCCTGTTGTCTGGCACGAGATTCACACAGAAATAACAGTTGTCAACATTGATTCCCATGTCGAAAACACTAATTTATTATCATTAATTAAAGTGCGTGAGTAAATATTACAAGAAAACACACTATCACAACAAATCAAGGCGGCATTTAAATAATCGAATCTACAAAGACAACTGAGTATGAACAACGATCAATGCAGTCGGGGCATTGGCCGAGGTGATTTGAAATGTGGTTTAATGTCGAGTTGAAGATTATTGTGTGTGTGTGTGTGTGTGTGTGTGCGTGCGTGCGTGCGTACGTGCGTACGTGCGTGCGTGAGTGTGTGTGTGTGTGTGTGTGTGTGTGTTTGTGCTGACTCCAAGCCGAACAGTCCTTGTTTTATTCCATTAATGATATGCGCCAGGCGGGGTAACAATAAGTACCATCTTAAAACGTCTTTTGTCATGACGCGGTCGGGGATCGAACTCCCGACCATCCTGCCCCGAGCATACGCTCATTCCACTACACTGTGGAGGCGGTTGATTCTAGATTGAGATAAACAAAAGAGGTACAGTTCCTACAAGTTCCGGAGTAACGAGATTTCATTGTACGTTTCGAGAAACATTTGTAGTCCAGTGGTCTGAGCATTCGCACCTCGCTCTGAAGAGTTTCATCCCTTAGCTGTCACTGCCGCTTTTTGGTAGCCTTCAGCTTTTAACAGTATTCCAGTTACATCACGACGAGTCAGCTTAATATGGGAGGAAAGTCCGAAGTGATGCAGGTCGTTTGTGACGTTAACCACAAGGAGCAAGACTAGAAACATTATCGGGGCGAACCGGGATTCGAACCCTCAATAATGCCTGACCACACACAGATCGGCGGCTTGTGCCAACAACATTCAGGTCGTGAATACACAATGCCTTTTAGAAAGTAGACAAATGTAACAAATGATATATTTGGGATGACACTTTCTAAATAAAGTACAAATTCTTGTACTTTGTAGGGTTAATGGTTGACGCATGTAACCTTCACTTCCTGCCTGGTGGGTGGGTGTAAGTTTATATTCGTATGAAATCGAATGTTAAAGATTGAGGATTTAAGTACATGCAAATGCATTGCCCCCATCCGAACAAATAATATATAATCAAGTACGCAATCGCCTGTGTTTGGACATTCTATTCATGGTAATAGCTTTCCCGGTTATGACGAGCATTGTGCAAAAGATGGCATCACTGTCATATCAAACAAAGCGTATTATTAGATTTAATCAACAAAGTGTTTATCGGTCAAATTACTGAAGTCTCGCATGCCTATAAGGTCATTCGAAGAGTAGACGTTATGTCAGCATGTGTCGTATTATATGCGTTTTCTTTACTTTACCGAAGACTTTCTTCCTGCAAATCAATTCAAAATTTATTCCGCGGAAG